TGTGAGGGGCCGGACGGGTCTGGTCAATTTCGCCACGGAACGATGGTCGCCCGCCGGTTCGAAGAATGGCCAGATCAGGAGTGACAAGGTAGTTATTTCCTCCCACATAATCAGCGAAGTAGTCCGAGCCGAAGTATGCCGCAGGACATCTTCCTGAACAAATTAGCCGATCTATCACGCAATGAACCTAGGCCATGGAAAATCCGACACATATACCGCGGTATGTAAGCAGAAACAGCGGTCTATTCAGAGACATACGATGCAATTATTGAGTCCTCCAAGAATCTTTGACCGGATGAGTGGTTCCACATGGTACCGTGCTTTATTCCCCCCCTGGCTCTCCCGAAAGTCTCTTCGCAACAAATAACACGGGAATGATTACTCGAGAACTACCGAGCTATAGTCTTCCAGGATATCCCCCTGCCCACGCACTGTCCCGTTCATTAGCCAGGGGGTGGAACGACGAGGTTCTGGCCCTGGGTCTGCCCAGGCTCTAGCAGGTAGTGTGGGGTTCGTATAGCCAGTAACATGGCCGATCCCCCCTGTGACTCTGTGACATATCGTATAGATCTCCTTAGTAATGCTGGCTAGTTCCTGTAGCTGTTTTGTAGGTTAGCAAGGTGAAGCCTATCCATAGCAGGGGTACTTCTCACCGGATCGGCATTCCGAGAGCACTTTCTCTTTGGTAGAGAACAGGGACCCTTCTGGGTGGCTGATAGGTAGGAGTGTGCTGCGGGGACGTTTGCATTTTATGCTGTTTCCAACATAATTCTCACTAGACTATACAATCGATATTATATTCTCCGTGGTTGTAAGTTGCTATCGGCCCCTTTGTAGACACAGATACAGAGAGTCGTCACGTCGAGATGCTTCTTCTCTGCCTGGAGGCAGGTATTCTCCGCTGACTATCATATCTCAGTTCGCTTCTGATCTCGCTTTTTTAGTTTGAAGATAGTTAGATGATGAATATATCCAATGCTCACTCATTCTGCGGCTGTCGCTGATAGAATAATTCTCCAAACGCATAAGTCATCACCGTTACTAGTCGAAAAATCTATCGATCCTCGCCTGGCCGCCCAGCTTGAAGAACCAAAATATTGCCAACGATCCGATTCTCCGACTGCACCATCGCCTGTGCCAGCACGCCCAACGCCTGTCCCGTAATCGTGCCGACCTCCTCCTGCGAACCCTGTCCCGATGCTCCATTGACCCGGTTATTCTGGCGGCCCACGACCACCAGGTTCCCGGCTTTGTGGGGAGATTGGCTGAGTTCGTCTTTCACGGTAGTGGTGGCGAACTTGACGACGTCGGTGTCAGATGTGTTGGGCGCCACGCGCTTGAAGACAACGCGTGACGCAAGGAGTTCAGGAAGCGAGTCCCGCAGGGTCGTGAAGAATGTGGCGTCGGACGACTCGACCTCTGCGGTGGTTATACCACCTTGTGTTGCGGGCGACTTGGGGCTTTCTTTGCTGCCATCGCTGGGCCCGGTCGTGGAATCGATGGATGACGGTCGCTGCTGGGCTACGTCGATGTGTACGATAGTGGCAGTTACCTGGTCGTTTTGCGCGAGTTGCAGTACGAAGCGCAATGCGTAACGGTCATCCTCGCCGCCCAGGAAGGGTAGCACGATGTGATGCGACCGTGCGGCGGCAGGGGGGCGGTTCCAGACGGAGCTGCGCACACTCATGGCGCTGATGGACCGCTTGCCGGCGAGTGTGGGCCGCCGGGTGTACGTGCTGCGCTCGATGAGGACACCAACGTTACATGTCGTCTGGTTCAGGACGCTGGACGCAAATTCAGTGTATGGTCCGTTGGCGAATCTGCTGGCTTCGTTGATGCCCAGCCCGCTCTGGTGCTCGCTCATCGTGCCTGTTTCGCTCCATGGGAGCAGTAACAGGTCCGTTGATTCTTCCCGTGCCATGCCGACGACTGTGTCTGCGTACGAGTACTCGGGGACGACGGCCACCCCAGCGAGAATAGAGATGTCGTGCCACTGTCCAAAAGCACGGAATGTGTTGACGACGGGATCCCACAGCGTGTATTCGTCGATCTCCGACACCTTCATCACGCTCGAGTCGCGATCCGTCAGTTCCATCAATCGCACGCCGTGCACCTGCAAGGCGGGCTCTGCCTCCGCCTGCGCCGCAACCGACTCTTCCGCATCAGGACTGGGTGACAACGTTTGCTTCTTCTCGGGATGAACTTTGGGAGTGGGTGGCTGGTCGAGACGGCTAGGTCCCAGCAGCGCAGCTAGGGTGCAGATACTGGACAGGCCGTCGAGTCGAAGGTACACGAGCAGTTTTCGCGCAGCATTCGTCTTCAGTTGGTCTTTGGCCGCGGTGACGCTATCATTGCGTGAATCACTCTGGATGGGGTTGCCGTCCCAGTCAATCTCTCCGCGACGCCATCGTTCAACTTTGATCTGGTACCATTTCGGGTACAGGGCGACCGTCAATGGAGTGGTCGCAAATGTGGTTACGAGAGCCATGACGACGAACATGGTGAACGTCCGCGTACTCAGAATCTTGGCTTGTAGTCCAATATTCTGCTCTGGTTAGCTATGTGATATCGATCGGGATGGAAGGCGCACCAAAACAATCAGCTCGACCAATCCCTTGCAGCTCATCAAAACCCCGATGGAAAAGCTCTCCCGCCAGAGCAACCCACACAGTCGCGACGCAGCCGCACCACCGGCGACCTTTGCAATAAAGGCAATCGCGATCACCCCCACAACGTAGCCCCACACGTGGCCGCTGTCCAGCAGCCCCAGGTTGGTTTGTAACCCGGACAGCGTGAAATAAAGTGGCAAGAATAAGGCCGCTACGAGGTCTTCGATCTTTTCAGTCAGTTTGATGGCGAAGCCACCCTCGTGCGGGCACAGCAGACCAATCAGAAAACCGCCAAAAATGGCGTGGACGCCGATGACTTGGGTGAAGAATGCCGAGGCGAGTGCGATCATCAATGTCAGCGCCACGACGGATTGGCTAGGCCCCTTCTGCAAGCTTCCCGTTCTCTGCAGGAAGCGCAAGAAAACCGGGCGGAAAATAAACGACAGAAACAGTACGTAGCCGACGCAGACCAAAAACACCCACAAGGCTGTCAGGCCAGTCCCCGCGTTCACCAGAGCCACGCAGAGGGCTAGGAGCACCCATCCCACGACGTCATTACCCACGCCTGCAGACAGCACGATGACCCCGACGTTGGTGCTCAGAAGCTTAAGCTCAGTCAATATGCGGCAGAGCACGGGGAACGCCTACGCAGGGTTAGTTCAGACCACAACACCCAAGGGACGATACCTACCGTAATGGCCATGGCAATACCAATGAACAGCAGGTAGGTGCCAAAATTGATCGGAACCGTGTCGGGCTCATTGCGGAAAGAATTGTAGAGACCGTAGGAGATGGCGCAGCCCAATCCAAACGGTAAGATCATCCCCGCAGCTGAAACGCTGGCGGCCACGCGCCAGTTACTGACCAGAAAGCGCAGGTCCGTCTCGAGGCCGACCAGGAATAGAAATAGGACCAACCCTAGGTTGGCCACGAGATTCAGATTAGGAAGAGATTCCGTGGGGAAGATAGCATCGGTAAATCCGGGGATGCGGCCAAATACCGAGGGGCCTAACAGCACGCCGGCGATGACCTCTGCGATGACTCGCGGCTGACGGATCTTGGAGAGGGGCCAGTGCAGCAACCGGCAGAAGACAATGATGATGGAGGCCTATTGATGTTGGACATTCCGCTACCAACACGTCGAGCAGGGAATTATACCTGGATGATAAATATGACGATGGGGTTTTTGGGATCGTATGTTGACGGATTACCTCCCTCGAGGATGCCGCCCTGAGGCGCAACGACGTGGGAATCGGACGACGACATGATGGCAGCTTACCGTGATGGCCACCTCGCCGGACTATCCGAGAAGCAGTCGTAGACACCAGAATGGAACAGTAGATATCCGTCTGCGAAGAAGATACGAGATGAATAGGGGAAGAAAGACAAAGAAAAGCGATGGCGCAGAAGGATGCTAGTAGGAAACGTGACCGGCGATGTCGTGGTCGAAAACGGCCTAGTGCGTTGGGCCCCACGTGGAGAATCCGGAGAATAAAATGGTTGATGTATACAGGTGCGACTGCTTCACAACGTAAGTAGTTCTTTATAAAAAACCAGTCATATTCTGATTATCTAGCAACACAACAAAAATTTAACATCAGTTGTAGACATGTCCTATCTCAGCGTTGATGACATCCAAGCTACCATCACTTGGCGCTGCTCTACCAGATGCCAAGCCGTCACTCCAGACCCATGACTCCACCCCGTGATCGACTCCACCAAGTTTATTCTTTGTATATTGATCTATACCTCAGAGATGAAATTTTTTGTTCTGCCAGTCTGAGATCGACTATCCCACCATGACAGAGCTGGATCTGGCCAGGTCCAAGCGCCCTCAGGCTCGTATTCCGGCAGCCACTTATTGGATGAACGGTGGTAACCGCAGCTATATCTCTCATATATTAAATCAGGCCAGTGCTGTCATTTGCCAAGTCTTTACGGTGTATGGTGTAAAGTGGTTACCCCATGGCGTCATACTGCATTCAATCATGACCAGTCATAATTCACGCGGCCACGGTGAGCTGTTTGGTGTAGCCTGGTGGTATGGGACTGCCTTTTGGATGCTCTACAGAGAAGCTTGGACCTCATCGGGTCGTACTAGTAGCTTTTGATAACTACGCAGTAAAAGGAGCACTAATTATGATGGCATGAGGTAGAGGTAGTCATGGTATTAAATATATCAAATCATCATAATATAACACGGTCATCGCAGCACAAGAGATGAGATTTTACTGTACTGATATCAAGATTTAGGATATGATTAGCAAATAGTCTCGATAAATAAGCCTGGTCAAAATGAAAACTGAACTACAGTCGCTTTCCTACGTTTGCCTCCAGTGGGCTGGAGGTACTTAGATATCTTCCCCCGCTTTCCCCTCTAGGTACCTAGTACTATTCCAGCCTTGCCCTAATTTTGGCTCATGGCAAACCCACTGATGACAGTTCTCTAGCACTCGCTTCGTAGGTCATGTCGCGCTAGACTCGGTGAATAAAGAAATGTAAGCTCCTTGGCCATCCATACACACAACCGTCAACCTGCTCGTTCCCGCGAAGACAGACAAGCCCTCGGATACCCATATTGAAGATCTAAATCTCAATCACTAACCTGCTGCTAATTATAACCCAAAATCTTTGTACAAATTCATATGCGACCATCACAATCAATGCTCCAAAATACGCACCACTCAATTTGGGGGTCATACCGCCTCCAACCCCTTCACCACCCCATCCGCCCAAAACTACGCCTTAAAATCAATCCCATCAATATCTTTCGCATGACTCTCCTCCCAAGGCGCCTCCACCTCAATCACCCGAACAAGCGCCTCATGCGCCTCACTCCGCGGCGTAATCTCAATTTTATACGGCGCGGGATGGCTCACCACGCCCGTTGTAAAGTCAGGTTTGCCGATATCCTCCGTCGTCGCGATATTAAATACAGCCAGGGACTGCGCGATGCTCAGGAAAATGGTATTGTCGGCGAGAAGTCGGGCGGGACAGATGCGGCGGCCGAAGCCGAAGGCGATTATGTGTGGATCTAGCTCGGGGGTGTGGTTCTCGGTGGCGAGGAAGCGGTCGGGGTTGAAGGCTGAGGGGTTGGCGTGTGCTGAGGGGTCGTGGAACATTTCCCTTTTGTTTGGCTTAGTTTGTGTTTTCGCGGAGATGAGAGCAACATTGGTCATTGGAAGAGGGAGTAAGGTATGTAGGGCTAAATGGATGCATACCAGATGTTGGGCAGGATGATCGATCCCTTCGGGATGCGATAGCCTTCGTAGATGTCCTCTTCAGTCGTCATGTGGGGAAGTCCTATTGGGGCGACGGGGTGCCAGCGGAGTGTCTCCTTGACGACGGCGTCGATATAAGGGAGGTTTTCGCGGTCAGCGAAAGAGGGGAGCTTGTTCGGGCCGAGAACGCGGTCGATTTCCTGTTGGGCCTTGCGCTGAACATCCGGGTTGAGCGCCATGGCGAGGAAGAAGCAGGAGAGAGAGGAAACCGTCTATGCAAATGGGTCAGTGGTTAAGTAAGGTAGGTAGGTACAACATGCTGGGGGTATCGCCCTACCGTGTCTGCGCCTCCGGTGTACAGAGATCCCGCTGACCACTTGGCTAAAAGTTCGTCGTCGGCCGTCCACTTGTGCGCCCCTTCTTCTACCAGGCTAGCGAGATACGACGGCGAGTAGCTGCCGTGTCGCATTTGTTGCCGGACAAAGATGTACGGCTTTTCGATCGTTTCGATAAGTGTTTTTCTCCATGCGTTGGCAATCTTCTTGAAGCCCATGCCTGGGAGCCATGCCGGGAGATTCTTAACTGGTCGGTGTCAGCAACCCATCCCAAGTCAAGCACTGCGAACGCATCTTACGGAAAGGGATAGTATCAACGATCCACTTCCCCGGCGCAGCGGCCAAGGAAAATTCCTCCATCGCATCATTGACAAGAGTGACTAGAGGATCGCTCCCGTGCGGCTCGATGTTATAGCCGTACGCAATCTTCAGAATGACAGCTCCGGCCTCCCTGCATCCGCTCATCAACATTTCGCACTCAATAGTTCACAGAGCAAGAGTCAAACCTACGTCCGAAGATGCTGCACCAAATCCTGCGGCTTCTCCAAAACCCGCAGCAAAAACCGCCTAACCTCAACATCCTGCAGTGAATTGAAGCGCGCCGCAAGCGGCTTCGTCCCAAACGCCTTGTGGATCGCTTTGCGATACGCGCGGAACCGGTCCGAGTACGCCTGCATGACGACGGTGTCATCCCAGCCCACCCTGTCGTTCTTGTCAGCCTGGCTTTTTTTTTTTTTTTTTTTTCCCTTGCACGACAGTCATGGTGTCTACGCACATTTCTCCGGCAAACGTCATGCGCGGGCGCGACGAGTTGATCGACGAGCGCTTCTCCATCAGGTCAATGGACATCTGGCGGTCGTTGACCATGATGATTGTCTGGCCGAGAATTGTGATCGAGCTAATCGGACCTACATATCATTGTTTATCCACCGTTAGTACCGCCCAAAAGGTCGGACAGTGGACGGCGCACCATAAAGTTTCTTGAAACCCGCCCAGTACTCCCAATCTTTCTGCCCCGGCGGCGGCAGGTCCCCCAAGTTCCCTATAATGGGCTTTCCCTTGGGGCCTGGCGGGAGCGGGGCCAGGGCCCGTCTAGGGAACAACACGAGTTTCAAGACATAGAGGACAGCAACACCCACGAGGGTGCTGACAAGGAATGGCAGCCCCATGACGACCGACCGAGTTGTAAATATAAATCCGTTCGTCTGTCTCAATCACACCGGAGGGAAATGGCCCTTCTTTTTATCTGCACGGTGACCGGCCTAATTGCGTCAGATTTGAAATCCCGGTCCCCACATGTGGTTAGTGACTACGTCGCTGTTGGTGCGCTGTCCGTTCAAACCGAGGCTACTGTAGTAGTTATTTTAGTACAGAGTAGTTCCGTGGCTGTTGTTTAGTAGTTAGCTGTACCCTTGACTAGCGGAAAATGGGGTTTCCGATGTGGCTGACTGGTCGGTGTTCAGTCACAAGCAGTGCTGCCCTATCGCGGGTGGCCTAGGGCTGTCATGAAACGATGATCAATGATTTCCCATTGACAGTCTGCTGCAGGATGCGCTACGAATACGCATGTATGAAATCCTTGGGACTCGGGGATCAATAGTCTTTCTCTATCTTGTTCCCGGAAACGTGTCTACTCCTGGCATCTCCAGTCAAATCCTCTGGCTAGCAAGCGGACGTGTCAAAAATGGATTCTCCTACGATTGACGATTCCTCTGAGCAGATATCTACCTACCTACCTACCTCCTTTCCATAACCGTGCGAGGAGCATTTTCAAAGTTTGTCAGGCCGTCCATCCCAAATCACACGACCCACTTAGAAAGGGTAAAAAAACACATCCAACCTAGAAATCCTGATCCTATTTTCAGCTGGCATGCTTCCCCCTTGTTTCGGCAAAGATCGCCGCCGTTGAAGCTATCTTGATCTCGACGGAATAACATCCATTATTATGCTTGCGTTTTTCCTCATTTGGCGGTTTGTCCAGCAACTTTAAATCACGTGAGTTCAGGGTAATTACGACTCCAGTGACCATATAATAAGATCAATGGGTTGCTGTATGCATTGCAGTTAAGGTCGTATGATTCAAGCCACACGCTAGTAATCAATGAACTGCTAGGGATTGACAGCATCTTGGCAAGGTACGCTTATTCCCTAGTCCTATGGTAGGGTGGTGTTCAGTACTATATCATCAATCCTGATATTGATTGTATAGTTGGTACTATAGCTAATCTCGACTTAAGATAGGGAATCCTTTGGGTTCAAAAACAGTTCTTCCTTGGTAATCAAATACCTAAACTCTTCACCATACATGAATTTCGACACACAGCAGATAGGTTAAAGAAACCCAAACAGTCAAATCATGATGGTGTTTATGGCCGCATCTAATAGCCGCTTTTTGTGCAACGTCAACCCACCCCAAACATCCAGTCCAGGATAATGTATCACATTCTTCCCCTTTACTCTACATACCTGACTTCGCGATCGGAACAAACAACAAAGATGCTATGAGAAAACGGCCGACTTAGATGGAGATTGATTATATTAAAATTTCTTGATCCTCTTATAACTTAGACAGGATATCAAGATGTTGATACATAGGAGATAGTAAATAGAACCAGTCTAATCAATGTGAGGGCTTGATTATAGCAAATAACTCGGGGTGATGATGGCGGTGACAGCTGACAGAATACCATTGATTTATATATCATAGATGCACTCCCTTGAAACAACCCCCAATTCCCAATACACCCTCAAACCCACCCCAATGCCAAAACAATCACAATGACTTTCAACCCCCAGCTCGACATCCCCGCCCTCACGGACAAAGTCATCCTCGTAACAGGTGCCACCGAAGGCCTAGGCAAGCAAACCATCCTAGACCTCGCCCAACACCATCCCGCGAAGATCTACCTCGCCGCGCGCTCCCGCCCGAAAGCCGAAGCAGCCCTAAAAGATATCCAAACCAAAGCCGGACCCAACTGCGCGCCCATCGCCCTCCTCGATCTCGACCTCGCCTCCCTGGACTCCGTCGCCCGCGCCGCAGAGAAAATCAAAGCGCAGGAGTCACGGCTCGACATTCTCATCGCCAATGCGGGTGTTCTAGGCGCAAAAGGCGCCACTAAGGACGGGTACGAGATCCAGTTTGGCGTGAATCACCTTGGGCATGCGCTGCTTATCCGGCTTCTACTACCACTTTTAATGCGCACTGCGCAGCGCGATGACGTGGCGGTAGGTGAGACGCGCGTGGTGATCGTTGGCTCCCTCGCGGAGAAACTCGCTGCTCCTGCAGATGTGATCTACCCATTTGCGGAGCTGGAGCGCGGCGAAGCGCCGCCGATGATGGGCATGATGGCGAGGTATGGGTTGAGCAAGCTGGCAAATGTGCATTATGCGGCGCAGCTGGCGCGGCATTACCCTGAGGGGGAGTCTGGGGTGAGGTTCGTGGCGCTGCATCCTGGGGCTGTGAGGACGAATCTTGGGGAGATGCTGAAGACGTGGCCGAGGGTGCAGAGCGCGCTGCGCGGGTTGGTGGGCATGTTTTTTGGGCTGGTTCCTGTGGAAGAGGGCGTTTTGGGACAGCTTTGGGCGGCGACTTGGCCGGTTGGGAGGGTGGATGGGATCGGTGAGCCTCGGTCTGGGGTGTTTTATCATCCTGTTGGGGTAGAGGGGGGAGGGACTCCGTTGGCTTATGATGAGGGGAAGGCGGGGGAGTTGTGGGAGTGGACGGAGAACGTCTTGAGGGGGCATTTGGAGGGTGCATAGTGAGGTGTAGAGGATTTATAGATTCATGGGAATAGATAATTACTATAAAGTCCGGCCCTGGGGGCATTGATTGACTTCATCTGGCATCCTTGTTTGGTGTCCAGGTGAATGATCAGGCAAGTGACGGCACTATATAGACATTCTCCAGACATTACATTGGCGCGAATAGGATGTATGCAGATGTCTTCAGTGTAAACTAGTCTTGCAGTAACTGAGAAATAGAATAGGTTCATCAAATAAGCCTAGCATATGTCAGTTTTGCTCTGGCATTAATCTACTACTCCCAAAACCGTCCACTGTCCAGCCTGTTTGTTCAACATATATCAAGAAGACAAAGGAAATTGCCGTCCATGCCTCAGCTGTTGTAACCTAATACACCTTTTTGATATGATAATTTTGACTTCTTTGTTTTATCTTCGCATTTTTAGCTTGGTTTTCAAACTTAGTTCATGTGATCTTTACTGGTCTATAGTTTGAACAGACCTACTTAGCTATTAGCCTCTCACAAATATCCTAGTCTTGGCTGACGCCGCAGCTGCATCCGGTATTCATGGTAAGCAGTAACCACTTTGACCTTAACCACGCCACTGGCTTCTACACATGGGAAAGTCTATGAGAAGTTTGAAACAGATGTAACAAGCATTAAAAGGTAAAGCACCTGAGACATGCTTTGATCAATTGGCATTGAAAGCCGCAAGTTGTAGGAAGAATAAAGATCGACCGGGTAGTTGATTCACCGCGTTGCCTGATCCCAGTCTAGCCTGCCTTCTTTTTCTTTTTCTGCCAGCCTTGGCACGGTCATCCATCCCATTTTATTATCGATCCTGCATTCCCCTCCTTCCATAACTCTACGGGCATTCCTCTCTTCGTCATTTCGCCCGTTGTACAGATTTCATCTCTCCTATTGCATATACGCTCTTGTCGCGGGCTTGGACTGAACGTGATCCCGACTATTGAAGAAGCCCGCCATTCTCTTATCGTTCCTTTTTCGCGGCGACTCGCGCTCGGTGGCGCGCCGCAGACTTGACCGACGATGGGTCTCTCCAAGACCAACAGGATCCTCATCCTGTTGGTGATCGATACTGCATTTTTTCTCCTAGAATTGATTGCTGGTTCGTTATAGAGCACGTCGCTATGTTTATGCCCACTGACCGTTGCATAGGTTATTCCGTCCATTCGTTGGCCCTCGTTGCGGATTCCTTTCACATGGTACGCCTGGTTCCCGTCCTTCCCGTTCCTGACTGCAAGAACCTCTTTCTAATCTACCCCTCATAGCTCAACGATGTCCTCTCCCTCCTTGTTGGTTTATGGGCCGTCAAAGTCGCCAACCGTGAAACAACCTCGCAAGTGTACACATATGGGGTAAGCATCAACTCCGCCCTCGCAGCTTGGATCGTAACTGACCGCGGATCTCTCGCTAGTGGCAACGCGCGGAAACATTGGGTGCTCTGGTGAACGGTGTCTTCTTGTTGGCGTTGTGTGTCTCGATCTTCCTGGAGGCGGTTCAGCGCTTGTTCGAGCCTCAGGAAGTGAAGAATCCCCGGTTCGTCTGTATTGTCGGCTGCCTGGGTTTGCTGTCCAACATCGTTGGCCTGGTCCTATTTCACGATCACTCTCATGGCCATGGCCACAGCCACGGACATGGGGAGATCGAGGAGGCAATCAGCGACGAGGATACCGCGGAGCAGGGTTTCGCCTCCCCTCAGCCGACAACCCTGGCGAATAAGCGTAAATCCATTGCCAATGTGAGACCTCCCATCCATACAACTTAATTCCAGTCAAGTGTCTGACTCTTTCAAAAAGCCCGAGGGTATCGCCGCAACCGAATCTTTGACTTCCCCTGCCCATCGGATCCGGTCTTCGGACGGACGGACTCGTGGTCGCCGATACAGCACCGCGACCAGCCGAGGATTCGGCGTGGAGGACATCCAAGTGCACCCGGCGACCTTGCGCCAGGAGATTATTGCCGCCAGCCGGAACAATCGTTTCCTTGGCGAACAATATGAGTCGGACCTTGACCAGCCAGAGGACGAGTTGGATGGGGCAAAACCGACGGAGCGGTCTGGTCTGCTGCAGCACCAGGATCGGGCAGCCAACTATACCGATGAGAGCGATGACACGGTGCTGAGGTCGGAGGAAGCTACCGAGGATGACATCCACAAGTTTCACAACCACGCTCAGCCGAAACCGAAGGATCACAAGCACGGGCACTCACATGACCTCAACATGCGCGGGGTCTTCCTACATGTCATGGGTGACGCCCTGGGGAACATCGGGGTGATCGTCTCGGCACTCATTATTTGGCTGACCGACTACTCGTGGCGATTCTACGTGGACCCGGGCATCTCGCTTGTGATCACCATGATCATCCTCGCCTCCGCCATTCCGCTCTGCAAAGCTGCATCGCGCATCCTTCTGCAAGCCGCGCCTTCCGGGTTGAGCATCGATCACATCAAAGAAGACATCGAGGGATTGCCTGGTGTCCTTGGCTCACACCATCTGCACGTCTGGCAGTTGAGCGATACCAAGATTGTCGCTTCTATCCATATCCAAGTGGACACTGAGATTAAGGGAGAAGGGTCTGAGCGATACATGCGTCTGGCGAGACAAGTGCGCAATTGCCTCCATGCGTACGGGATTCATTCCTCCACGATCCAGCCAGAATTCGCCCCCGACAGCGACGCCGAAGACAACAATCCCGCTTCATCTCACGCCAGCAACAGTGGCTCCCCGGCGCCGAAGCAGCCGAGCCGAGCCGCTAGCATCCGCGACGCGGACCCCCAGGCGTGCCTCCTGGAGTGTGGAGATGAATGCGCGCGTGGGGGACAATGCTGTCCTAAGAGACCGGCTTAGTTCATATCCCTATCCCTTCCCCGTTGATTGGTCTTTTTGTCTCAAAACACTATTTCGGCTATCATCCCATCCATACCCCTCCTATTGTATTATTTATCCTATCTCTTCCTGCGACATGATACGTGTTCTAGATGGTGGGCCTCCTCATAATGGTTCATGATGCATCGCATGACATTCGGTCGGTGGGCTTGGGCGTTACCTATTTTTTTTTTTTGGCATATGTAGTCCAATCCATTGCATGATTTTACATACCAACCTCGTAAACGATATCTTGTACGGAGTAAAGGGGGAGAGTATCCCATGTCACCCGTGGTCGACACCTCAGGCAGACATAGATAACGCATCACGTGACTACTCCGCGGATCGCCTCAGGTGAATCCACTAGACTAGGGGCGGTCGATCTGCTCCCTGCCCAGCAGGGGCTGAACTATGCTGACGTTCGTGCTTTTCCCCGATCATTCCTCGCTCGTGCCAATCGGTTCGGAGTCTTGTTCCTGTCAATCACCCTCTCCTGCATGATACCCCCCTTGCGTTGTCATTTTTTGCTCCGTTTGAACGCTGTCCGCAATGCCGCGGAGGCAATAGCAGCACCATGCCGAGTTACTCGTACCCTCACACCGCCGGTGCCAATCCGTACCACCCCCGCCACCGAGATTCATTCACCGAGCCCACGACCTGGGAGTCTTTAAGAGAGATGCTTCCGCTGTGGGCTACGCAGTGGATTGTTGATTTGCGCGCTTATCGGACGCGAGTTACTGCGACTGGAGAAGAAGGGGTTAGGAGTCGCGCGGCCATGAAATCGTCATTCCGGGCGCTGCCTGGTCGTTTGTTTACAGTTGTCAATGCGCTGGTTGTATTGTGGCTTTTTACGCTGTGGTGGGGTGAGAGGACTGTTTTCCACGAGAGCCTTGAGTCGTGCGAGTGGGGGAATTGGGAGCAGTGGGTGAGTGATCCTTTGTCAGATGATTCTATACACCGATCTCGACTAACGGGTGGTTTTTGGTTAGCCTCAAGATGCCACGCCTCACCATGTCGCCTTCGTCGCCGATCCGCAGCTCGTCGACCCCCATACATACCCCGGTCGTCCGTGGCCTCTGTCGACGCTGACCGTCAAGTTCACGGACCAGTATCTTCGGCGGTCGTTTTCCTTGATTTCGAGCCGGCTGGGTCCCGACTCGGTGTTGTTTCTGGGTGATTTGTTCGATGGTGGTCGGGAGTGGGCTACAGAGACGACCTCTAGCCCCGAGGAGCGGTACAAGAAGTACAAAGATGGGTTTTGGAAGAGTGAATTCCACCGCTTTATGCGCATCTTCGCCCCCCAGTTCAATGAGGGTGACGCGGTGTCCAAGGATCCGCTAGGTCGCACGATGATGGCTAGTTTACCTGGAAATCATGATCTGGGGTTTGGCACTGGCGTTCAGGTACCCGTTCGCGATCGGTTCCAGGCCTTCTTTGGTAAGGGGAACCGTGTGGACGTTATTGGGAATCATACTTTCGTCTCCGTCGACACCGTATCCTTGAGTGCCATGGATCAGCCGGACCCGGTGACAGGGAGTATGGGTGTCGGATCGGGAGACGGCGAGCAACCGAACGCACGGATCTGGAAAGAGGCGGAAGATTTCCTGAACAACATGGGTTTGCACCGGGGTAGGGCAGAGGCAGAGAGACTGCGCATGATGCGGAACGAAAGCGAAGGTATCCTATTTGACCACCGCATCGTGGATAACATCGCCGAGCCCACCGTCCGTCAACACTCCAAAAAAGAGATTGCCGGCCTCCCCGCCATCCTCCTCACCCATGTTCCACTATACCGCGAGCCCGGCACGCCATGCGGGCCTTTACGAGAACATTATCCCCCCTCGGAGCCGGGCCTCGAAAAGGACGACCGGAACGCACTCACCATCGCCGGCGGCTACCAGTACCAGAACGTGCTGACCCCAGCGATCACAAAAGACATCATCACCAAAGTCGGACCCAACCTCGTACACGTCTACTCCGGCGACGACCACGACTACTGCGAAGTCGCACACCGCGAGTTCAGCGGATCGCCTAAAGAAATCACCGTCAAGAGTCTCTCCTGGGCGATGGGCGTCCGCAAACCAGGCCTAGTCCTCACCAGCCTCTGGAACCCCATCGACCCCGAAACAGGGAGACCAACCACCGACCGCGCCGGTCCCGCGACAGTGCAAAACCACCTCTGTCTACTCCCCGACCAGCTCACCATCTTCATCAACTACGGCCTCCTCTTCGCATTCACCCTTATCATCCTGCTCCTCCGCGCCGCTGTACTCGGCCTCCGTCCGCCCCAATCGGATCCCAACTTCAGCCCCATCCTCCCCCTCCAAGAACAACCTCCCCGCCAAACATTGCACTCCAAATCCCCTTCCTCCAGCACATCCAGCTCGACGTTCGCCCCCGGCGGCCTAGCTAGCCGCGCCACGAACGCCAACCCCCGCCTCTCTGACCCGTCTTACAACGACGACGCTGACGCTGACGCGTATAACTCCAAATGGAAAGGCGTACACTCGTCTCGCCATCGGCGAAAGCCGGGTCTGTCTCTCGTTAAGGATGTAATGGTTGGGTCTGTGATAGGCGTGGCGAAGATCGTTTTGCCGGTTTATTTCTTTTTGATCTGGCGGTGGTAGATCTAGTTGGTTATATGCATATTTGTATAGGACCGGATGGTCGGATTTAGATTAGTGACGTTTGAAGCGCATTGAATCATGGAGTTTTGGGTTCTGCTTCGTTGGTTACAGATTTATAAATGTTCGTTATACGTCAAAATAAACAAATAAATATATACATAAATGAACGGCCCTAATCGCAACAACACTACATATTGCTCTTCCAGAAGAGAACAAGACCATGACACCTCCCGCCTATCTGCGAGATTTGAAAATTAATACAAAAGTCTACTGATCCTATGACTCCAAAAGCCCACCACTCCAGCCATTTCTCCACAAGTCAACCATCAAGAGGTCGCAGATTAGCCAGACTACCACGCCTGGGCACAACCTGATCCGTAGCAAGCTGCACCCTCCTACTCTCCACCCGACATATATCCTCGAAAACTCCCACTAGCTTGATCGCTGGGTACTTATCAATATCTCCAAGATGGATCAAGCCAGTCGTTGTATACGACTACCTCCATCATAGTCGATTGCGTCGTAATCTTCGAGGGTGTCTGAGATCTTGTAGAGAATCTTGGATGTCTCAATCAAGGCTGGGAGCCATTCTTGGTTTTCGTCAGTTATTCTCCTGCGGGCAGGTGTGTAATCAAGTGTACTAAGGACGACTACTTACTGGTTTTATTCCAATCTCCAGGTCCATCCTCGGGGCCTAATTACTGGCCCAGGCGGAGGACCGTTGCTCTCAGTGCGGATCGTCGTTCTTGCTGCCCGGATCAAGATGCTGCGAGATAGTTGTCTACGGTTGCGTGATTGTATATAAACCGCGACAGACAGGCAGACTCAAAAGGATGAACGTCCGAGTGAGTGCTGCAACAATTGCCATACCTCAGACTACAAACTAGATAACCTCCCAACAATATCCCAGGTCAGCTCGCACATCATTGGTAGGCGGTGCCCCAGCCGCTCGGGTGAACGCCCGACATTAGCGAAGGCTATAATTCGGTGGATGTGACCCTGACAGGGGTGGATTGCGGAGAATCGGGCAGGGCCTGGACTAGATAAATCTATAACTAGCAGCCCCAAAGGATTCTCTTCCCCGTCTTCAAGCCCCTCATCCAAAAACCTCATCATCATCTTCAAAGCTCCCGTCAAAATGCCAATCACCAGCGATATCACCCTCGACGTCTCCAAATTCCGCTCGGAGAACGCCACAGAGCCAACAAAGAAAGCCGCCGCGCATCTAGAAAGTGTCACTAAAGGCTGGCCCCGATGGTACGAGGTAGGCATCGAGAAATATCGTGAGATGCGGGAGCTCGGTACTTCGCCGCTGCCTAAGCCTGTCTATCTCCCCGAGGCTCTCGATGGCACCGTTCCTTCACGCGATGCTGGCCGGGAGATCCCTATCCGCATCTACAAGCCGGATAATGACCAGCCCAGCCAAGGCGTCTTCCTGCACTTTCATGGGGGCGGTATGGTGCTGGGAACGCACAAAGAGTGAGTTTCCACCCGCCCTTCTGGAGCCGGGGTGATTCCTCCTCCGCAAAGATTGGTGCTCATTTATTGGACAGCTCCGATAGCATCCTCCGGAAGTACGCCAACCACTGCCAACTGACGGCCATCTCAGTGGGATACCGTCTGGCCCCAGACCACCCCTACCCAGCCGCGCCGAACGACGCCATCGACGTCGCCGAGTACATGGTGGACCACGCAGAGGAAGCATACGGCGCCCCTCTCCGCTTTCTAGGCGGGGAACCCGCAGGAGGCTATCTCAGCGCCCTGTCAGGTCTGCAGCTGAAGCGGTCACGGCCGTCTCACAACCTGTCGGGACTCATTCTGTCCTACGGCTCATTTGACCTGGCCTTCGGGCTTCCCATGGTGACGGCTCTGGCCAAGCCTCTCATTATAGATCCAGAAATCCTGGAGCGCTTCATGGGCGCGTATGTGCCGGGCATGAGTACGGCCGAGCGCAGGAATCCTAGCGTGTCTCCGCTGTATGAGAATCTGCCGGCTCTGGTTGCGTCGTCTGCTAGTTCGTTGCCCCCGGCGCTTTTCCTCTGCGGGACGGAGGATCCGTTGCTTGATGATACGATCCTGTTGGGCGGCAAGTGGAGTATTGCTGGTGGTGAGGCTACAGTGAAGATTTACCCTGGTGCCGTTCATGGTTTTACTCTGCTCCCCGGTCTGCCTGTGGGGGAGGAGGCCAATGCAGTGATCCTGGAGTTCATGCAGGAGAAACTGAGCGGCTCGGCGTGAGCAATGAAAGATCTGGGGGTTTTCCGAGGAAAAGCCTATATCTATTAGAACAGCAATGAGATAATGGACTTTTTGGCTTCAATTGCACCATTAGTACTTACCTAAGCTTAATATACCTTTACTCCCTTGGTATCCCCATATCCCAGCGCTGGGCTTTGAGCATTGCCTATTACCCCCAAGGTTCTTAAGCGGCCCTAAACTCCCTCGGCGAGAATTCCAACACTGTGCTATTGGCCGAGTCGTATGCGTGATTTGCCAAGGCGAAGGCGAACGCGCTGGGACCAAGTTCGGGGCATTAGCATTCGGGTATATATATTGTACTGGGGCTCCACCGGATTCCAGGCGCCTTTGATTAGGTATCAGGTCGGAGACGAAGAACTGAAAGAGGAGCTGGAGTGGCTCCCTCATATTGCGGATGGCGTGGTTGGTGATACAGCCACAAGGTTCCAGCGACGTACCGATCTTGTAGGACGCTGTACCTAGGTTTAGAGCTTAAAATTGGCTATAGGCTTGGTGTGTGACATTGAGACAGAGGTTCAATTGTACTATAAATCTAGTTTTAATTAGATATCGCTCCAGCCAAGTGGATGTGTACTAGACGAAACAGTATAAGATAGGGTACGCCTGTCCACGTGCGGGGTCAGAAATTCAAGTCCTGGCATAAGCGGCAGAACTACCGCAGACGGTGAGGTGATTTCATAGTAGGGACTTCGCAAATAAGGTGCAAGAAGGTTTACCCCTGTTTGTAACCCTACGCAGGAAGTTGCTAGTTGCCTGTGTTTGACATCGCTGGCGATACTAGCCCTAATCAAGAAGAGGCGGCGGGTCCCCCCGTCCTATACAAGGAATCGAAGCCTGAAAGTGCCATAGTGTCTTCTGTAGCCGAGTGGTAATATTTACAACAGTCATGAGGCCGGTTCGCACTTCAATACATGTTTGATCCTGACCCCAAAAGATCACAGAATCAAAATCTAGTAGGCACGGAGTATAGCATTACTACATAATAGGTTGACTCGCGTCATCATGTCCCTTTCGGAAATAAGACAGTGCATAAAATGGTGCCCATTGAGCTCAAAAAGTGTCTAGATATCTTTCGTAGCCGAGTGGTATCCTATTCCATATCTCTATAAAACCAGGATAGAAGACTTGCACATATCACCTTATGAGATACCAGATTGAATCCAATGTTTACTGCAGAATGAGGAATGTGGATTCTCTTTCTGATGCCAGATGGGGGACAAATGGTCAACTAAGGTATGTAGGAGGCTGAGCGCAGGAGCGGCTGAGCGGCCGAGTAAGGTATCCAAATATCTACTAGTTAGTTGATTGAGTATTCAGGCACGATTTTATGGTTTCTCTGTGTTCATATCTGTTTGTTTTTTGATTTGTTTATATTCACTCTGCCTGATTATTTTATCTTATCTATTTTTATTTTTTTTAATCATCTTCTTTGGCTGTCTTCGTCCATTAATATACCTCGTCCCATCCATCCTCGCTCAATTATGAACCATATTGCCGATCACTTCATATCAACATCAATCTGATCATACAGACAGTAATGGTATTATATCATATCCATCATATCAGAAGCAAACACAATATAAATCATAATAATAAAATAATAAATTAAAATATACAGCTTTCTCATCACACATATCTCGCCCATCTCTCATCTGTCTAGTTGCCATTACATCAATAATCCGAGTATGGTTCGTGCGGGAATCCATATCCGCTTGTTTGAGGTGCCCAGGCGGGTTGCATGCGGAGGCGGCGGTCTATTTTAATACACATGTTAGCTTTTTCTATTTTTCTCTCTAGGATAAAAAGGATGACCGTGATAAGGAAGGGGGAAAATACCTTTCTCAAAATCCCTCCATCGCTTCATCGTAATCTTACTACTATCGAACTCGCCCTCACCCGCCTCATGGCCCTTATCCTTAGCGCCGGCCGTCTTGCGCGTGTCGCCCCAGCTGAAGTCGTCGAACTTCCAGAACGAGTACATCGGAAGGACGAAGTTCCAGATGGGTAGGGAGATCAGGTAGATGAGCATCCACAACACGTAGACGAGACGGTGGGCGGTCACGATGATGAGCACGCCCGGCAGACCGAGGATAAGCGCCAGCAGGACAAGAGGAATGACCTGGACGGGCTTCTTGACGATGGACGAGACGACGACGTAGACGGTAAATGCGATGGCGGCCGGCAGGACGAGTGTCCCGACCAGCTCGATGAAGATCACGAACTGCATGCTGAAGCAGAAGGTACCGCAGAGGTCGCGCACGAGCACGAGCTCCATTAGATTGTGCACTGTACTGTTGATCCAGCGGCGGCGCTGGGAGAGCAGGACGAGGAATTTGTCGGGGACTTGCGTCTTGCAGACGGCTTGGGGGACGAAGATCTGCTTGCGCTTTGGGAAGGTCCGTAGCATTAGTGTAGAGAGGTAGCGATCTTCGCCGAGGAGGAGCAGGTTCTTCTTGTGGAGGGTGTCGACGACGTTCTCCGAGTAGTGCTCTACTACGTCTGGGTTTGCGAGGATCGGGACCCAGTAGTTTTGGCCGCCTTTGGGCGCTTTGATTCGGTACATGGAGAAACAGCCGGGTAAACAGGTGACACCGCCAAAGACCGATTCAAAGGATTTCGACTGGTGGTGGGAGATAAAGTATCTACTATGGTTAGCATGGCCCATCCCTTCATGAAGAAAAGAAACGGAAAGAAGAAAGAAAGAGAAGAATAACATACTCGAACACCTGGATCATCGTCACCCAGCTTTCCGTCTTGTTGGCAATCTTGGTCTCCCCACAGAGACCCATGACTTCCGGATCCTTCACCATAGCCGAGATCATATGCGTCAAACTGTCCGGGAACACTTTCGTATCGGCATCCACCATGAGCACCATCTCGTAAAAGTCCGGCGAAATCCCAGTCACATTCCACAGCCCCGTGAAAATGTCAAACTCGAGCTCCGTCATGCGCTCGTCGAACATCACCTTCTGCAGGAAGGACATCAGGATGATCTGGCTGTCACGCTTGCCGCGGTTGCCCGGCTTCGACTGTTCGCGTTCCGGGGGCGTGCCGCACTTGACGATAATCATCATGGGCACACGCTGCTGCTTCTCGGGCGGGATGACGGAGGTCTCGCCGTAGTCGTAGAAGCCCGCGTAGACCTTGGCCATGTTGTGTCGCTTGGCGCCCGTGGCGACCGCCACGTACGAGTACGGCTGCACCTGGTCCGGGGCCACGAGGTGGTCCCGCATCATGCGGATGACGATCTCGGGCGTGGAGAACTCCTCGCCCTTGCCCTTGATGATGCCGTCGCAGATGACGACGATGGTCTTGTGGCTGTTGGGGTAGTCCGTCATGGCCACCGAGTCGAGTGTCGACCGGATGCCGTCCTCTCCCTCCGAGTAGCAGGTAACCAGGCATAGCGCATGCGCGAGGGGGTATCCGTAGGGCTGCCACTCGGGCGGGGGCTGCGGTACCACCAGCTCGTGGACCTCCCCGGCCGAGCCCGAGCCATCGGGATCGCTGGGGTGGTGCGGCGGCCCCAGGCTGGTGCGGCTGCCGGCTGGGTTCGGGCTCAGTGTGCCGCCGCTGCCGGTGTGGCTCTGCTTGTAGATGGAGGTCGATCCGGTGGGCGCCAGGCGGGCGGTGGAGTTCTGGCTCGCCATGGTGACGTACTGGGGTCGCTGCTTGCCGCCGTTGCCGACGGTGTAGGGGCTGGAGAAGCGGGAGGTGGTAGGCAGGAAGCTGGCGCGTTTGTTGGAGAGCGTCGGGTCGGTCATGCGCGGCCCCGGCCGGTAGATGTCGTTGGACCAGTCCTCGATCTGCTGCTGACGCGATTTGGAGTCGGGCCCCATGCTCGTCCGCTGCGCGGCGAAGCGCGGCGCAAGGAACCACTGGAACAGTAGCGCAAAACCGAACTTGACGATGACGATGGAGAGGATGAAGACGAGGGAGATGTAGAGGACGACCTTGGAGGCGATGCAGCCGACGGTGTCGGTGTCGATGGTGCCGACCTTGATGATCTGGGACAGGCACTTGCCCAACTTCTTCTCCGCCCCAGTCTGCAGGTAGTAGGTGAGGTCGACGCCACGCACGGCGGGGTTCTCGCGGAGCTCGTCGAACTTGGAGGGGTAGCTAACCTGCGACGGGTCAAGCCAGCGCAGCAGGTCGAGGTCCAGCACGTTGCCCGAGTAGATGACCAGATTCCGGCTCTTGTTCCGGGTGTCTTCCCACGTGAAGTAGACATCGCCGGAGCTAGAAAGGCCGTAGAAGCTGTGGCGTGCGTCGCCGGAGGTGTGGCAGGCCCAGCCGTTGTAGTGCTCGGAGGCCGTGCGATTGGGCGATGTTGAGCCATCCTGGTTAAAGGGAGTGCAGGGAAAGTACCAGGCGAGGTCCCCGGCGCCGTTGGTGGGGATGTCCGAGTCCTCGGCGCGGGTGATGAGGCCCTTGCAGGCGCCGTTGACCTGCTGGAAGAAGAAGCTCCCGTCCTGACCGCCGTACTTGTGGGGCAGGTCGTAGAGGACATTGGAGCCCTTCGGGATGCCGGCGGCGGCGTCGTGTGTAGATTTGGAGAGGTCGTAGGCCTGGCCGTGGAAGATCATGTAGCCGCTGGAGACCTGGTTGATCTTAAGGCGGATCGGGGGCGTGCCGCAGACGGCGGCAGTGAAGCCGAAGGTGAGGAAGCCAACGAAGGCAGCAATCATAAGGATGATGCTGATGAGACCGATCTTCTCCCGCCAGGCGCTGCGCTGGGCCTTCTGGGGCATGCCGAAGCAGCGGAGGATGAAATCGGGAGCCCAGAAGGTGAGGACGGCGCAGTAGGTGGTCCAGAGACTGGGCGGGCGCACCTGTTCCATCGTCCGCTGACGCCGGCGCTCCTCGGCGGAGAGCTTCTTGGCGATGCGACGCGAGCCCCGTTTCTTCTTGGAGTGACGCCGACTGGGGGCGCGCTCCATGGGCTTGTTGACGTTGCCATGGGCGCCGTACAGGGCGTCGCGCTCCCCGACGGCTTTGTCCTCGAGGCTGCGGGAGCTGTTAGTCTCCAACTCGGGGTCCTCCGCTACGGGCACGTTCCCGGTGGCGGAGGGATAGGTGGGCATATGTTGGGAGCGTTGGCGATAGTGATAGTTGGGGTGGTCGGGGTCGATGCGATTGCGTTCGGGCTTGACCATACTGCGCTTGCGCCGCAGGTCGGCGGCCGCATCCATGCGCTCTTCATCCGTTCCTCGTTTTCGGTGACCGCTGTGCGAACGATGATGGCGGTGGTGGTGATGGCGATGGCGATGGGTCGTCGGGCTCGCGAGGGACTCGTCCTGGGAGGGTTGGGACTCCCGACGCCGTCTGCGGGACGGTTCGCGAAACGCGGAGTGTGTCTCTTCGCGGCGGGGGGACACCTTTCCCGGCCGCTGGGGCAGCGACATGGCCGCGATGCGATCTGACTGTCTGTCCGGACGAGCTGTGGGGGGGCGGGGGGCGGAGGGTAAGAGATTCGTCCGGTCAGGGCGATCGCGACATCAACAGTCGTTCGGAATTCCTGCGATGCATGCGACTTCAAGGTGGATCGCTCAGGTCGACCGCTGGTCGCCGTCCGATGCGACAGCGATCGAGGATGGCAGACCCAGACGGATCGAGATGAGGACGATGACGATCTCGGAGCGGATGAGAGATAGGGTTTTGATGGTGGATATGTGGTGGTGAACAGAGCGAGGGAAGAGAAGAAAAAAAAAGATAAAATTAGAATAAAATAAAATAAAAACAAGTAAAGTCAAATCGAATAAAATAAAAGCAAAAAAAAAAAAAAAAGGAAGAAGGAGAAGCAGGAGAAGGAGGATGGCGATGGAGATCAGGCGAGACCCGAGCCGAGGAGGAGTCTAGTCGAGAGAGGAATGGTTTGGTTGACTAGGGATCTAGCCAGAGGACAGTAACGGAGGACAGAAACAGAGAATGACAGGATAAAAACAAATAATAGTGAATACAGCGCTACGGGATGCTAAAGCAGTCTAGTCCCGACGGAGGGATTGGACAGGGGAGAACCCACCAGTTAGGCTGTGTGTGTGGAGGGAGGTTTCATGCAGGGAAGATAGGAGAGAAACAAGTGCATTGGAAAGAAAGAAAAGACGGGAGAGGGAGAAGTGGGGGAAGAGAGTGCTTGACTAGTAACTGAGGTAGAGAGAGAGAGATGTAACCTGATGGATGAGATGAGACAGGAGGATCACGGGATAGACTGATGAAAGGACCTTGAATGCCTTGTTATTGGGAATACTTCATTAAGAGAGAGAAGTTGTACCTACATGACAGTACTGTAGGTACAGACCAAAGACTAGGGTCACAAGTATACAAACACTAAACGTCGCCTGGGGCAATCACTCCATTGATGGTCAGTGTGAGGGGGTCTGATATTCATTCTAACCGATAATGGTTAGACCATCGCTATTTGATTGGTTGGAACATCCATTGTCTCAGGTCCCCTCTTTCCCTTTCACTGCACCTCTGTCACTTGCTGACCTTTCACTGAACTCTCACTTGGAACCTGAGTGGACGTACATTCAGTGAAGGGAAAGTCAGCTAACCATACTAGCTCTAGTGGGTTGAATCATATCATCGTACCTACTCAGAGACTACCTCAAACAGAGAAAGAAGTGATAATTAGGTCATGTACTGTATAGATTGATAAGGTACCTAGTTGTCATGCACCTCAGTCCTCCGAGGCATCTGCCTGAGGCTACCATGTTGACGGGCAGGGGCAGATATTCAAAAGTAACCTGTCACACCCAGGTATTCCCCAGAACTGTACCATAGTATACTCAGTAAAACGTCAACCTCCAACATCCCATCAATACCTTCATCATGACTCCCCGAACTATCTACCTAGTATCCGACCGCCAAGCCTCCTCCCAAAGAGCCCATTTCTCCCTCTTCGTTCCATCAACGGCCGATCCTACCAGGGGAACCATCATCCAAGTCATCGGAGCACCCATGACAGGCTACGCCCTTGAATTCAAACGGAACCACTCCCCCAGCTCTATCCAGCACAGTTATGAGACCTGCCCCATCGGACAAGTCGCGTCGGCCCACATTGTGGATTCCACGCACACAGCAGCGAGCACAGACTGCGAACCGAAGGGGGATATCGAGATCGCTGCCGCCCAGGTCCCGCCTCCGCGGATTAGCGAGAATTTTCTGGCTCCTGTTAATGATGTATGCAACACGATCAAGGCCTTCCTTGTGGGAGTTGAATGTAACTAATGTTGCGATCTTATGACACGCACAGACAACCAACAAAAGATGTCAAGAATGGACGATGGAGTATATCCGACATCTGGTGCGCAAAGGCCTTGTAGATGCAAGCGCGGTGGAGATCGTCCAGTCCAAACGAGACCCACCCGGCCATGGGATTGGTTTGCAACCCGCAGGGAGACATTAATCCGGGATTGTGTCTGTTTGCTTTTCTTCTTTACTATCAAATTGCAGCCTATCTAGCTATTAATACTACTACGACTAACATCTAAACAGCCCTAATAGCTGTAGTATATTCATGAAAGACATCAAATCCTTGCGTTCACGGTTCCAAAAATAAATATATTCAATCTCTCCGCTACTCACTCTCATACTAGCATGTATAAAGTGCTTTACAGTACTTTTCATAATTAGGGTATCACCCTGCCTGTCTCTATTCCACAACGACTAGAATTTGTGATAACCCCGTACTAGATATCATGATGTTGCTTCGATGGAGATCCGTATGGGTAAATCAGATAGTCTCATAATCTGGCAGCAAGTATCTATAGGGGTCTTTGAATATTTTCGATAGAGGAAGCCGGGCCTGCGGTAAATTGGAAACCCAGTCGTTGAGTTCTGCTATGCTGTGGAAGGAGCCGGCTTCCGGCAATAATTAAAAGACATAGTCCAGAACTCGCTGCTGTCCAGGAGAACCTGAAGAAAAGTCCCGTTAAACCATACAATATCAAACACCTCCAGCCGGCTTCTTGGGCGTACCAGTGTACTTGCCGGAAGATTCTTGTTCGAGCTGGTGTAAATTGTCAATAATTTGACATATTTCGTCATTCAAGTACACTTTCATCCCCCTCACCCAGCCCATCCCAAGCATCCAGCAATGTCTGCCCTTGTATCCGCTTCATGTGGATAAAAACATGGTTGCCTGAAGCGAACACGCCATCCAAACACCTCCGAAACGAGACCCTCCCCTCGAAAGTCTGCTGGATAACTGCAGACACTGCGCCTCTGCGACCTTGACGTAAGGACCGAAATTGACGAACAAGTCAAGATGATCCAATACGAGAAACTGGGGCTGAGAACCCCTGGGTGCGTCGTGAGATCGAGCCCTTACTTCTACTAGGGTGGGCAGGTGTCGGCTGGGGAGGCTGAAAAAAGAGGAGTCTGGATAGTCTTTCTCTCGTTGGTCTATCCTCGGTATGTGGGTGTGTTGTGGCTCTTGGATTGATGACATTGTGGAGTGGGTTGTGGTGTTTCACCGGACGGTGAATGTTGTGTGAGGGGGATTGTTTTTATGCAAGTGCTTGGATTGCCTGGGTCTCTTTGATGATGGTGGTGGGATGGTGGAAGTGTAGCAGTACTGCTGTAATTCCGATACGGGAAGCATTGGGAAGATACATAGATCCCATGCATGTAGGCTTACAGCTTGACTTGGAGATAGTCGTATGTCTGGGATCTGGGACTAATAAGGCTACTAATTTATAGAATCTTCATTTATGGAATAGCTGAACAGATTGATGTATACATCTCGATAAGATTAGGTGTATAGAATACAGTCAGGCGTCAAAGCAATAAACTCAGGCCCAAAATATCAATGCAACAGTCATCACTATTAAAAAAAAAAATCTACAGGTCAGGTGGTGCATAACTGTAATACCCCAAGATCGAAATAGATTGAGGGCGGGCGCCGTGTCTCGTCCGGCCGTCATTTGGCCGGGCTCGAGACCCGCCACGATGGAGTTCGGAAGAAAGGGGAATTATCCTGCATATTCGACTTCTGTAAGTATGATCTGTGTGATAAAGTCAAATAAGAAAAGAACTCAACAACAATCCTCGATGGTCTAACGGTCATGATTTCCGCTTGTCATGGCTTCGTCCTTACAAGCGCGGGAGACCTGGGTTCGACTCCCAGTCGGGGAGATTTCTTTTTATTTTTACTTTTACTTTCTTGTGATATGGTAAGGCAGGTATTGTGAACCATGGTTGATAGCTCGTGGGTCAACCCGACCCTGGCGGCCCTACGAACCATACCCCAATCCGACCATTCTTCCGCCACGGTTCTCCTGATCGTGTTATGAGGCTGAGGGGATCCGCGATCGTATTCTAACTTTATTTATATTTGTTTCCGTATTCGCTATCTATTCGAATATATTGTATATCAAATAGAGAAGAGAAAGATCTGGTCTGGTTCGGCCCGAGTTGCCTGATCAGACAATGTGAGACATCGGGTGGGCAGCCTACCGGATTAGGAGGGAGGCAGATACTTTGGTCCAAGTCCCTCTCGTTAGTTCGTGACTCTTGAGACATTCCGAAGTGGCTTTGGACGGTTTTTCTTCCCACCTGGAACATCGGGTCAGCTCGTGTTGGACAACACATTCATCCCAGGCATCTGACGCCCGGACATGGGTCCACCCGGATCTGGGGATTAGGCATGAGGGTTCTTTGACTCTAGAGTTTAGACAGGGTGTTGTTCAAGGATGCTATAATTATCCTGGGAGGGGATTCGGTGCCGTTCGGCTGATTCTGTCTTGATTGATTACACCTAGTCTTTACTTATGTATTGATCCTGGATGATCGGGACTAGGAATGGATTGTCATCATTCAGAGATGACCAGGAATGATCATCCAGATAAATTCAACAATAGAGAGAAATAAGAATCAACCGATCTGCAGGCACTGACAGAATACAAAATACCAATACAAAAGAAAGAAAGTGACTAAAGTGATCTAACCCAACCTGATACGAGCCTCTCTGCCCTCCCTCCTCACTGGTCCGTCTGTCGCTCTCTTTGCCGCTCTCTTTTCTTTTCTTTTCTTCTTTTCTTTCTTTCTCTTCTCCTCCATCTGGCTTTCTCTCTCTCTTTCATCCACTTCTCTCCTCTCTTTCCATCTCTTCAACGCCCAGGAAGAAGAAGAACGACCCAGAAGATACGAGAGACGAAGGAAGATAAGGCAAAATAACCATCCATCACTCCAGACATCAACATCCCTTTACAATCTTTCCCCGGTGGAACCCCGACTTACTCCAGTTGACACCACTTCCATTCCAATTCCTATTTCAATCTCAATTCTAAATCCAATTTCAAATCCAAATCCAAATCCATTCTCATCTCCTCGCCCGTTCGATCCCTTCATATCCATCAATTGATTCTGTCCGTTCGCTGTTACACCAGGCGATCCCATCGGTTCCCCCGCTTCCTCCATGTCCGCTTGACCCGTCCCCACCCCGCCAATACATCCTGGTCGGTCGCGGACTCTCGCCCGTAGACTGTCGCCGTGAGGGGTGTTGCAACATGGCCACTTCCATGGCCTCCGAATACCCCCACCCGCTACCCTCCCCGCCCCCCGTCTACAGTCGCTTCTCGCCCCCTCCGCCCATCACCCAGCGACGGCCCAGCATGATCGCCCGCAAGCCATTGCCCGCCGACGCCTCGCTGCCCCAGGCGCTATCCACCACCTCGGCCCCGCCCGCGGTCCAGCCGCCCCACGACCAGTACGATGTCCCGCCCATTCCCACCGCCGCCTTGGCCCGCCTGTCCGTGGTCGATCCCTCGCCCTCGGGGCCGACCACCCATGGGCCCTTCCCCCCGCGTCGGGACTCCTACGCCGCACCGCGTCGCCCGGAGCCGGGTCACACCCGGGCCGGCAGTGGCTCTTGGTCCGCGGGGGAGCCCCAGGCCTCGGAAGAGACCTCCAGTCTGACCAAGACCAGTGGTTCGTCGTCGGAGGATCATGACGCGCAGAGCGGACACCAGAGCTCCTCGCGCGGCAGCCTCGACAGCATCCCGCAGGCCCCGGAGAACTGCGAGCCGCTGCACTACCACCACCGCCCCTACCGCAGCTCCCTGGGCGCCCCGCGGTCGACATCAACTACCGCCTTGGTCGAGAACGGCCTCCACGCCGGCAGCCGACGGCCCCGCCGGCCGCGCTCTGCCTACTCGTTCGTGTCGGACGGCCAGGGCTCGCCGCACGCCTCCCCTTACCTGCACGCGCGCAATGCGTCGCGGAACTCGACGGCGTCCCCGGACGTTCGGCCCCTGTCGTTCGTCGACCTCCTCCACACCTCCTACCCGCAGCCCGGGCCCACGGTGCCGTCGGGCAACCACGCCCACCTCCGGGCCTCGGTCGGCAACCACGCCTCCCTGCTCACCCACCAGCAGACCTTTGACATGTACCGGGCCAACGTCAAGAAGACCGACGACCCAGCCGTGCAGTACGACTTTGCCGTGTTCATGGTCAACGCCACGCTCGAGACCCCCGCGGGCCAGTCCCCGGGCGACGGGGCGGCGGCGATCACCCGCCTGAACCTCCTCAAAGAAGCTCGGTCCATCCTGCAGCGGCTGGCAGACCGCAGCTACCCGTTCGCGCAGTACTACCTGGCCGACGGGTACGCGTCGGGCCTCTTCCACAAAGGCAAGGAGGACTACGACCGGGCGTTCCCCCTCTTCGTAGCCGCAAGTAAGCACGGCCACGTCGAGGCGTGCTACCGCACAGCGCTCTGCTACGAGTTCGGCTGGGGCACGCGAGTCGACGCGGCGCGCGCGCAGCAGTTCTACCGCCAGGCGGCGTCGAAGAACCACCCGGGCGCACTGCTGCGCATGGCCAAGGCGTGCCTCGCAGGCGACATGGGGCTGGGAAAGCGGTACCGGGAGGGAATCAAGTGGATGAAGCGGGCGGCGGAGTCGTCCGACGAACAGTACCCGGCGGCACCGTACGAGCTCGGCTTGCTCCACGAGCAAGGGTACGGCGACGACGTGTTCGCAGACCCGGCCTACGCCGCGCAGCTGTTCACCAAGTCGGCGGACCTGGGCCACGCCGAGGCCAGTTACCGACTAGGCGACGCATACGAGCACGGAACACTGGACTGCCCGCGCGACCCGGCGCTGAGCATCCACTTCTACACGGGTGCAGCGCAGGGGGGACACGCGCTGGCGATGATGGCGCTGTGCGCGTGGTACTTAGTGGGGGCAGAGCCCGTGTTGGAGAAGGACGAGAACGAAGCGTATGAGTGGTCGAAGCGGGCGGCCAATTTGGGTAAGCCTCTCTTTCCGTCTTTCCCCCCCCGTTTCCCTCTGTTTTCATTGTCCATGATTATTTGAAAGAAAAAAAAACTAAATCAGTAATAGGCCTCGCCAAAGCGGAATACGCCACCGGGTACTTCACCGAAATGGGCATCGGATGTCGGCGCGACCCCCTCGAAGCCAACGTGTGGTACGTGAAAGCGGCGGACCAGGGGGACGAGCGGGCGACGCATCGCATCGCGGCGATCCGAGCGGCGGCGGAGGGGGTCAGCCCGGGGGAGGCCGCTGTGTATGGCAAGGGAAAGGGGAAGGGGAAGCGATTTGGTATTTTCTAAACTCACTTATGACGAGGGTAATAATCGTAATGTTTGTATTTACTTGTGCGCGTTGTACGTATGTATTTGGCGTTGTATATAGTGTATCTGATCATCTCACTGCTTGACAGTAAGGACGAGTAGTCGTCCTAGCTAGAACCTAGAAGCTAGTAGCACGACATGGATACATACCTAGATATAGGAGAAGATAGCACCCGTACCTGATAAGTAGGGGCCTAGAAAGAGCGGCAGGAGGAAGAGATAGCCTGTTTGCTAACTGTAGGTACCTCACAACAACCAATGATCAGAACCGGCTCCAGAAAGCAAGCACAAGAATAGAAACGCCCAGCGCCGATCAGATCTCCACTGCAGCTGTGTCATTGGTTCTCGCTTGGGGGGAGGTCTGGGATTGTTGTACGATCTTCATGTTATTATATTAAATCGATCATGTTGTAATATATTTAAAGCGATCGATAGGGGTATGGATGATACTTTGGAGTTAGTATGTTATATGATATTCTCCCGTGTTGAAGGGGTGGATGGAATCTTTGCCTGCGTTGTAGGGATGCCATCTAATCCTGTAAATCGATGGATACAAGTTGGATGATAGAAGATCAAAGATACTCCGTCGAAGACGATGATTAAAAGTGGAGTCAACCCCCCTCTCCAATCTATCCAGCAAGTAAGCCAGAAGAAAAAAAACTAACATAAATAGTAAAACCAAAATAAATAAAAATAACACCCGTAAAATAAAGGGGAAAAGCGACGATCGCAACCCACTCCGTTCGAACTCGACCAAGTCAGTCCATGCTGGCTCGGGCATAAACCAGTCCATCCCTTTCTCTTTTTCTTTTCTTTCCGGTTCCTTTCCCTCTTTCTCCTCTTTTATCTCTCTTCCCTCGTTACTTTATCTATCTATCTTCTATCGATCATTATCCCTTGAGTGACACTCCACCACGTTCATTCTTCTTTCTTCATTCTTGACTAAGGTATGTCGATTCTGTCATCCTCTTAGATAACACCCTATGGAATGTTCCCTATACTTACCCTTATCTAATTGAAACCACTAATCAATTAAGAATCCCCAAGCTAATCAATCACCACCCATCGCTATCAATCTAGATCTTCTCTCCTTAACCACCACAACACAACACAACAACACTCACCACCATCCACTCCTTACCATCACGACACAACCACCAATCAATACCCACCCAACCCAACAACAAATCAACCAACAAAATGCAATTCCTCCTCCCCATCACCACCCTCCTCCTCACCCTCTCCGCCGGCGTCACCGCCCGTCCCTCCGTCGTCGAGAACCTCGTCGCCAAGGATGTGAACAAGAGCTGCTTTGGTGTATGTCCTTCCTTATCTTCCCGTCTCCTTTGAATATACATGATATATATGTATATGTATATATATATATATATATATATATGATTCAACAGAGTGAGTGAAGCTAACAAAGAATGAAATGTACAGCGCGCCGTCACCTGCGAGATCGTCGCGGGCATTGATCCCTGCTGTGCGCCGTTGGAGTGCAAGAACTCGGTATGTCTTGTCTTTCTCTTTCTATCCATCTGTATAAATATATACATGTGTGTATGTGTGTATGTGTGTGGTACTAACAAGAAACAGACCTGCGTTTAAACGGTCGTGAGATTCTGAGAGTTGGCTGATAGCATAGTAGAATTGAGAGGATAAGGTGGATAGGTTGATAGGATAGGATAGGAGATAGGAAATATTAATTGACTTGGGATTGTTGTCACTACTTTGTTGTAATATGTATACCTTTGACTAGTTGGGTATGTACTAGTTTGATTGTCTTCGTATATATGTTAGTTTATGTTGGAATAGAGCGATCCATGACTAGGTGGTTGACATAGGTATAGAGGAATGGCATTACTTGATGAATGTACGGAGTACAGGAGTGAATACTGGCTAAGTACATGATACCAATTAGATAACTACTGCTGTACAGGTAAGTTACTACATACATACTCGTAGCCCGTAGAATTAACGCGTATAAACAATAAAACGATGCTCCCAAACAAGTTATCTACCAGAATAAATATAAATCACGATATGATCAAAAGAACGGCTTCCGCCGACGAAGAGAACTTCCGACTTCTTGACTAGACTTTTGTCAGATCCGTCTATTTGAACTGCTCAATGCAGCCCCAGTAGCGCTCGACGTCAAACTCGCCGGCGTCCTTCCACAGGTCGTTGGAGTAGGAGAAGAACACCGACTTCTTGCCGACGGCCTTGACCAGCGCGGAGATGGCGGCGGCCTGCTGCTTGGAACCGGGCACGGCCGCACCGTTGGAGTTACCCTGGCTGGGCCATCCGGTCTCCAGGTTGTACACGTCCTTGCCACCGCAGAGATCCTCCAGGATCTTCACCTGGCCGGCGGCGAACTCACCGGCCTGCTCGGGGGTGACCTCGGCGTTGAAGAAGGGGTGGATGTTGGCGCCGACGACGTCGACGGCACCGCACATGTCCTTGCTGTTCTCCTGCCACACGTTGAGGGGCTCGGTGGTGGTGACGTCGCCGCTGTAGCCGGCCTTGGCGAAGGCGGCCTTGGAGGACTTGATGAAGCTGGCCAGCTCGGAGGCGCTGCAGAAGCCGTTCTGGATGGCCTCGTTACCGACGACGATCAGGGTGACGAGGTCCCACTCGGCCCACGAGGTGATGTCGGTGACCTGCTCCTTGGCGCCCTCGATGCCGGAGCCCTCGATGAAGACACCGATGATGAGCTTCAGGCCGTTCTCCTTGGCGGCGGCGCCGATGTTCTCCAGGGAGGAGCAGTCGGTGGAGTAGACACGCAGGTGGGTGAAGCCCTTCTGGGCGATGTGGGAGACGTCCTTGCTGACCTCATCCTTGCCCTTGCAGCCACCGTCGTTGGAGTAGGGGGAGTAGGTCATACCCATGGGGCCGGCGGCGGGCTCGGTGGGCTCCGGGGTGGGGGACTTGGTGCTGGAGGGGACCTTGGTGGTGCTGGCCGGGGCGGTGGTGGTGACAGCCGGGGCGGTGGTGGACGGGGCCGGGGGAGCGGTGGTGGGCTCGTTGTCCTCCCAGGGGCAGACGTAGGTGAAGTCCGTGCGGGTGGCGGTCACGGTCTGCTCGGTCTGGGTGTAGGTGCCCGGGGTGATGGTGGCCGGGGTGGGGTAGACCATCACGGTGCTGGAGGGCACGTAGGTGGTGGTGGGGGCGATGGTGTAGGTGCCACCGCTGGGGCAGACGTAGGTGGTGGTCTCGATGACGCTGGTGACCGTGGAGCCGGAGGGCTTGACGGTGGCATAGGGGCAGGTGACCGTGGTGGCGGTCTCCACGACGGTGGTGACACCACCGAAGGTGTGGGTGCCGCTGGGCAGCTCGGTCGAGGTGGCGCCGCAGACCGTGTGGGTGTCGGTGACGGTCAGGGTCTGGGCGGGGATGGTGTAGACACCGGTCGACGAGAAGCTGGTGACCCCGGGGGTGGGCAGGCTCGGGGCGGAGGTGGGCTCCGCGACGGGGGTCGACGTGGGGGTCGACGTGGGGGGCGGCGGGGGGGCCTCGGAGGACGAGGGAGCCTTGGGGGGAGCCTTGGTGGAGAGCGTGGCCGTGACGGTCTCGGTGCTATAGCTGGTCGAGTGGAGGGTGGTGACGGCCTCCGAGGTGACGGTAGTCGGCTCCGGCTCGGGAGAGGGGGAGGGGGTCGGGGTCGGGGTCGGGGTCGAGATGGGGATCACTTATGAAGTCAGCTTGCTTTCTACCTTTCTGGTCCCTGGAATGAAATACATACAAGTCGGGGGACCCTCGACGGTGACGACCTCGGTGGTGCAGCCACAGGTGGCTTCAGCACCCTCGGCACCATGCAGGGCACGACGGGCATGGAAAGAGTCATGACCATGACGCTTCATGTGCGACAAGTCGGCCAAGGCAGTACCCGCCACGGCGGCCGCGGTGGCCAGGAAAACAGCACCCTTCATGATGAGAGAAAGGAGGCGGAAGATTAGAAGTAAAAGCAAAGAATGCCCGCTGAACGAGTGAAGCGGTAGTCAGTGAGAAGAATTAAAGAATGAAATTCACGGTGAGAAAAAAGGGCGCGGGGGCCTCTTTTTTGATCTTGACTCTGGGGGGAGGCAAAAGGGAGTGTGAGAGAGAGAGAAAAGAAAGGGAGAAAAAAAAAGAGCGAGTGAGAGAGAAGAAGAGGAGAAGAAGAAGAAAATCAGGGGAAAGAGAGAGAAAGAGAGAAAGAGAGGAAGAAAGTCTGGCCAACGATGAGTGGAAAAGGAGGTGCCTCCATGCCTCAGTCCTCCACCGCTAGATCAGGGGTTGATCAGGCACGCAGGCTGGCTGATTGGTGGAGTGCCTGATTTAGTACAACTTAGTGTCGAGTCGTGGATAATTAGTGGCGGATAGGGTTTGGGGTGCCTGAGGATGGCACATTCCATTGGTCTGTCATTCTGACCTTCATTTCCGACGTCTCCACTCGGGTTGATTTGTTTACTCCATCTACTACACCTACTCCGGACTAGGAGGAGATAGTCCATGACTAGTCACCACAATAACCTGTTGATCTCCATTTCTTGAGTTGGACAGGATTATCATGGTCAACTTATCACCTTCAGGGTCTGGCCTTCTAGATATCGAGTACTCATTACTTGATCCTTAGTATGGGTACTGAGTATAGATACTACTTCAGGATCGTCTTCCATCAACTCTTGCTGTGGTCAGGTGACGCCGGCAGTCAGCCTGGACGCCAGACTAACCTCATCCTGACTAGTTCTCTCCTCTCGCTTCGAATCCTCTTTTTTCTTCGTATTCCAACGCTCAATCATCTCTCACCACATATGCTGCCAGGATGAACAGGGTGATTCATCACCTCACCCTCATTACACCTCACACCTCACCCTCATACAACTCATAACTCACAACTCATCAGGTCTCCATCCTGAATATGGCTACTCCTCCCCGAAATGTCCAAATCCCTCCACCCCATACCTCAATTTCCATCAAAAGTATCCCTCGCCATCGCTAATCCCAGAACGGCCACCATCCCGACGATCTAAGGGTCTCGACCCCGGTGATTTCTCCCGCCAAGATGTTGCCTCCCCTGTTCCAAGGCTTGGTACCAGTCCACCACCGTTCTTTGTTGTCCCAATCTCGTCGTGGAGGCTCAGCACGCGACGGTTGCAAGGCTCAGTCCCTCCAGACCGAGGCCCTGTCCCTGTAAGTACTAACTTCTAACCTACGCAGTACCATCCAAAGGATCAATCCGTCAGACCGTCAGACCGTCAGACGCAGGGGTTCAGCTGGCAACAATCGTCGGACGGGTCCGTCGGGCGGGGCGGAGTTCTGAATCTAGTTTGGTTCTCCTGACCGGATCCTTCGCCTGTTTTCTTCCAAGCTGCTTACTTCTAGTCACAGACGGCTGGCTGAGACATGGTTAAATAGTCCGTCTAGGTCTGTCTAGGTCTGTTTAGTGTCTATAGAGGGCCATCGCGACTAGCCCGTCAACTCCAGACTATCTGTCATGGTCGGAGTCCTGTTCTTGCCGTTTTCCGTCAGCTGTTTGTCAGCGAGCTGGAACGAGGCCAGTTACTCCGCGCGATCCGGCGGTACATATCACTTGATGATAGGGCGTCGACCACGAGTCTTTGACCGTTACGTCTATTATGCTAGACGTTGACACTACTGCGCTTGACAGCCTACTCTCATTGATGTCGCACGAATATCTTCCAGCAGAATGTCACCACATTGGTACCTACAGAGTACAGCGAATACGTACAGGTAAGCAGATAGACAACCATCCTACCAGTCTGGAGGGCAGTCTGCTCAGTACGTAGGGCTGTTCGTTTACTGCCTATTTACGTGCGAACAAACATTATAGATCTGGCTGATCACCACACTAAGCTTGTACATCGACTGCTATGGAGGCCAGCATCTGACTCCACAGCTGGGTCGTGTATTATTTTGATAGACTACTAGAAGTAGAAAATCCAACGGCTCAACCATCAACAAAGTGCTGAAGACACCCACGTGGAATGACGGATGTATACCCAACATATGATATCCCATCTGACCTAGTAAAAAAGTGCAAAATCAACACAAACCCACAACCAACATGATACAACGCCACCTGCAGACGCCCCTCGAAACGCCCACGCCCACACCCACGCCTACGCCTCCACTCCCGTACGCAAGTATCCATCCCATCTCCCGTCTGCAGTATGTATGTATGTATGTATGTATGTATGTATGTATGCACCCCTACGTACTTCAGCCCAGTTTCACCACCGAAACATCCCTTGCATGGTTCGCGGCAGATCATGCACGATATAAAGTTATCGGGTTTAATATATCTTTATTCTGCCTTTATCTATTTTGATTAATTTCAACGGCGCAGTTGGATCGCACTCGAACTCAATAACCCTATCCTTAGTGGAGGGATTGTTCGGGAGCCGAGTTTCAGAATAAGTACTCGACCGTGGTCGACGGTCGCTCTTGTCTAGCCATTTTTGTTTTTTATTAGGTTGGAAGGTTGGAAGGATGAACAGTCTGGTCTGGTTTAATTATCTCTTGCCCGTACTCAAAACACAAGGTAAGTAAGTAGGTGGTATCTAGTGGATGAACTGAAGATGGACAAACCACGTGATGTGTATTATAACCATGATCGCATGGTATCATCACGTGATATATCCATTTTATGCATCGCTGTAAACAAACAACCACCACCACCTCCTCCTCCTCCAGACGAGCATCATATACATACCTATCTGTATATACCTACCTGTATATACCTATACTATCAAAGCCAAGTATAAGGATAATGTAGGAGATACACGGGTCTCAAAAACAGGAGGAACAGCCGAAGAAAAAGCAGTCCAGGGAAGAATCAGGCCACCAAGCAGTCCGAAACCCGGATCACGAGGTTCACACCACGCCACTATTTCATCATTTTTTACCACCACAACTCAGTACTATCTGATATATATATGTACATGATAAGTATAGTAAGGCTACTAACACTAATGCTCCCAATATTATTGGCTATTCGCATGGATATTGTCTGATCGTCTGTGCTCTGTCCCTGTTGTGTGGAATGGGGGTAGTTGGGCACGGACAGACCCGGTTCCTATCATATCCTATCCTATCCTAGATTGGAATAGATAGTGAGTGAGTTGAGATGTATGAGGTGAGTCGGATTGGGGAGTGCCGTTCATGGCATGATTATCATATGCTGTATGATGGTTTGTATACACGATGTGTAGTAGGAGGGAGGGATGGTATATAAGTTGCGTGTAGACAGCATGTACTTTCTTCTGAATATCATCATCAACAACATCACCATCAATATCTTATTGATATCATCATCACCTCTCTCTCTCTCTCTCTCTCAGGGAACCCCCCATCAAACAACACAACCAAAACCACCACCAACAATCAACTACCACCATCACCAACTACAATCCAGACCACAATAAAGAAAGATCAAGAAGGAAAATGACGAAATCCACCCAAACCCGCCTCCAAAACGACTTTGGCGCTGACCTCTGGGTTCGCCAATCGACTGTTCAAGGACGGGTATGCCCCTCCTTTCCTTCCTCCCTCCCTACACATAAATAATACTAACTGCAAAATGAAGCACGCAACATCCGGCCGAGGCCTCTTCGCTGGCCTGCAAGACGTCAAACAATACAACGTGGAGAACGGATTTGCCGCTCGCGGGGAGGGCCAGGGGACGGGGTTGATAGGGTTTTTGTGGAGTCGGTATGTTTCCTCCTTTCTAAATATCACTTACCTCGCCTTTCTTTTCTTGTGATTGTTTCAAGGCTGATGCTGACTATTGTTTGTGGTTGTAGTATAATGGGTGGTTCGTATCGGCCGCCGTCGAATTAGACCCTACCTTTTTGTTTTTTCTTTGTTGGATGTTTTGAGGGTAGGAGATGGGTTGCTTCTTTCTTCCTACTTTTGTTTACTGTTTAGATGATTAGATGTTTTGTTTGTTTGTTGTGTGTTTTGTGATTAGCTGGAGCTGGGATACCTTGTTTTTTGTTTCTATATTTTATATCTTATGTTATAGGTTATAGGTTACTACCTATACTTCTCATACTTCGCATCCTTCTCATACTTCTCGTACATTTATACTACTAATCCCATGTTAGTAACTACCAGTAGTAACTGCATGATATAAGTGATAGATACACCATGACCATTGCCCCGGAATCCCACTACGATATACCATATAGATACAACCAACAAATATAAGAACAGTCTAACAATATCCATGCTGTACAATATAAACTACCTAACTAACAACCCAACACGCCATACCCATCTGCTAAACGCAGTCGAATCTACATAATAATAACATTGACAAAGTAAAAAAAAAAAATAAGCTTAAAGCCTAGCTTAAGCTTACTCCCAGCTGTTGATCTTCATCGTGCCGTTCTCCTGCAAGTTCTGGTGCATCTTGAAAGCCTGGAACAGCAGGTGCGGCTCATGGGCCATGCCCTTCTTCAGACACTCGAACTCGGCGCGGTCGAGGTAGTCCGTGAGGATGGGCTGGTAGTCGGGGTGAGCGCACTTCTTGATGATGACGCGGGCGCGCTCGCGCGGAGACAGGCCGCGGACGTCGGCCAGACCCTGCTCGGTGACGACGACGTCGAGGTCGTGCTCGGTCTGGTCGATGTGGGTGCAGAAGGGGACGATGCAGGAGACGCCCGTGGGGTCGGTCTTGGAGGGCCGGGTGGAGGGCGTGTGCATGATGCTGTACTTGGAGTTGCGGAGGAAGTCGGCGGAGCCGCCGAGGCCGTTGAGCATGCGCGAGCCGAGCACGCAGGTGGAGTTGGCGTGCGCGTACATGTCGACTTCGACGGGCGTGTTCATGCCGATGCAGCCGAGGCGGCGGATGATCTCGGGGGAGTTGGAGATGGACTGGCTGCGGAGGAGGAGCTTGCCGGCGTAGCGCTCCCAGTTGTCGTAGAAGCGCTTGAAGCCGTCGGGGGAGAAGCGGATGGAGGTGGCCGTGGCGAAGTCGAGGTTGCCGCTGTCGAAGAGGTCGAGGAAAGAGTCCTGCAGGACTTCGGTCCAGACCTTGAGGTTGTGGAAGTCGGCGCCGCCCTTGGAGAGACCGCCGATGACGGCGTTGGCGATGTTGCCGATGCCGGACTGGATGGGGAGGAGGTTCTTGGGGAGACGGCCTTGGTCGACTTCGTGCTTGAGGAACTCGATGAGGTTGGTGGCGATGGCCTGCGAGCCCTCATCTTCGGGCGCGTTGGGCGCGGTCTGGTCCGGGTAGTCGGATTCGACGATCGCGACGACCTTTTCGGAGTCGATGGGGATGTAGGGCGTGCCGATGCGGTCTTCGGGCGCCATGATCAGGTAGGGCTTGGTCATCGGGGGGGCCTCGTAGGTGGTGATGTCGTGGAGGCCTTCGAAGGACGGGCTGGCCGTGTTGACTTCGATGATGACCTTGTCGGCCATCTTGATCAGCTCGGGCGAGGCGCCGACGGAAGCGCCGGGAATGATGCCGCCGTCTTCCGTGATGGCGGAGGCTTCGATGACGGCCACGTCAAGCTTGTTGTTGGGCTTGTTCAGAGTGTACCAGCCCTTTTTTCACCTGTTAGTTACCCTATCCCAGAGACACGACGGAAGAAGAGAGCGTACATAGGTCAAATCCTGAGGGAACATGCTCAGATGCTTATCAAAGAACTTGATCTGGCCATTGTTGATCCCCTTGGAGATCTCCTTGCCGACCTGATGCGGGCTGCGGCGCTCAATCATGTTCAGACGAGCCCAGCGGTTCTCGGTCTCCGCGCCGGACGAGGCACCCACGAAGAGGGTGTACTTCAGCTTGCCCTCCAGGTTGTTCTTCTCGACGTGGTCCGCCAGGGCGGTAGGGACCTTCCTACACTCAAGTTAGTAGATATTCTATGACACCCACGATAATGGAGGAAAGCATACTTGGGATACCCGACACCCGTGAACCCGGACCAGCCGATATAAGTGCCATTGGGAAAGAGGTGAACGAGGTCCTCGGCCTTGGCCAACTTGCTCAGGTAGGAGGGTCGGCGGACACGACTTCTCAAGAGTGCGGAGGCGGACATGATGAACGACACCGGGGGGGATAGGAGGGGAGATGTTCTAGGAAGAAAGAGAAAAAGAGTGGAGGAAGAAAAGAGAGAAGGGAGGTCTGGGGATAGAAATAGTCTAGGAACCTTGGGACGAGAGGCGCGATTAGGGCTAACAACCCCACAATCTTCGGGGAAAGGGAGTACGTAGTACGGAAGTAATGGTAAGATGTATGATGGTGTAATTATCTTTTTTTTTATCCTTTTATTATTATTTCTGTGTTGGTATGGTTGATATCACTCCTCCTAGTCTACACCTAGCATAGCATAGACATCCATCCTCATATAAACAGTCACACAATCAATCCAATCCCCTCAAATCAAAACAAATCGAAATGAATTATCTGAAACAACGCGGACCATCCCCATTTTTTGCTCACGAGGAGAGAAAAAAAAGAATAAAACGGTGAAGAACCTTCCGTCCCCCAGTTCTGGCACGAATTTCCCTCCATTACCCAAACGGGCAGAAAAAGTGGAACTGACGTCAGACTCTTCGGCCTTAACTCGGTCTTCTCTCTCCCTTCTTATGTTTTCTTTAGTCAACGTCACCCTGACCTCAACCATAAACCACAACCACAACCCATCCGGGACAGCCGGTCAAATCTTACTGATTTGGTAGTATTATGGAGGTCGGTTGTGGATTCCGTTATATTATATCATCTTTATAATAATATTAATTCTCATAACATGATTCAATCCAGAAGTTCCCCCAGAATGAGGAAGATCCAAGATCGTGGATCAAACGGACTAACATTCGACTAACTGACTGACTAACTTAACGCCGGGCGATTTCCGGGGTCTGGCCACCGACTCCAGTCTCGGCTGGTCATCGGGTAATGTCTTGTCGGGCAGATGGATATCTTCTTTCGACTCCTAGATTCATCCCCCTTAATCCATTAGGATGACCTACCCCATTACCCCATTTCTCCATCCCACATTCCCACATTCCCCAACCCAACCGCGTACCCATAATGGATTTGGGTAAGGGTGAGGATTCTGGGAAGGGGGTGTGGTCCACTTCCTACTACTAGTAGTGACTGATGATCATCGGATTCTAGTTTCCAATCTACTGGTACCACGAACTGATACTACAACTGAACAAGATTACTATAGGATAGTAGAAGAAAGAAGATAGAATACCCTAGCTCCTAATACAAATACACATCGAAGTGGAATGAAATAAAACACTGCACAATATGAAGAGATAATGAAATAAAAAACCCAGACTCTCGATCAATCAATCAATCAAACCTTCCCGTTTCCCTCTACACCAGTCCGTGGGATCAATTCAATCACCCACCAAAACACAGATAGAAAATGAAAATAAAATAAAAAAAAGAGAAATGAGAAAGGAAAAGAAAAGACCATGTGCACGGGTCAAGTCTTCGCTATCATAAACAAGGTACTCGGCACATTCACCCCCACGTGTGGAGAAAGATGGGGAGAGAGCTCGACACCCTAGAGATGATCCAGAGCTCTAAAGAGAGGTGTCTATTCTGGCTTGCTTTCCGATGCAGTAGCATCCGGTTCCACATCCGCCATCTCGGTATCGCCCCTCTCCTTGCCATCCTCGGGATGATCCTCGGGATGACCCTCCTCAGCCGACGGCTCAGTGGCCGGAGCCTCAGCGGTTCCCTCAGGTTCACTCCCCTGGACCCAGGATCGGAAACGCTGATTGAAGTCGTCCACCTGGTCCTTGCTGAACCCCTGCGCCCAGCCAGGGTTATTGACAAACTTCTCCGTGAACCGGTCGCGTCGCCGTTCCTTGACGGCCGCCTCTTCCTTGGCGACCTCCTCGGCTGTCTCGTCGGACGGCGCCGTCGGCCGCCACCACCAGTCCTGACTGCCCGGCTCGTACAGGATGTGGTAGCTGTTGGCGCAGATGCGGATGATCAGCCCGTCTTGGTGGACCAGTGGTCGGTAGTACCGGTTGTATTCGTCTTCCTGGTCCATCTGTGCTGGCAGGCTGCGCTTCAGGAAGGGCATCCGCATTCGCGAGAAGCGTACTCCCTCTGTGGGATCACGCATCGTGTAGGCTGACACGTAGTATGACCAGCGTGCCTCCTGGCTGAGGTCTTCGTTCTCCAAGGTTGCATCCTCGGGGGTCAGAAGCTGGACGGTGGTTTTCTTGTTGGACGGGTGCTGTTGCCATATGTTAGCAAAAAAAAAAAATCAACTTGTAGGATCAAATGATACGTACGTAGGTGATGCGGTAGATGTCACCATCCTTGACCAGTCGTTCCACTTGCTTGCGATACTGGATTTCCTGGTTGTGCGTCGTCTCCTCCCGGTCTCGCTCCTTGAAGAACAGCGCCATGATGTCGGAGCTGCGGTCCTTCGAGTCGCCGCTGAAAATCGACCCCGCGAACTTGGCGATCCCCGCGAACATCTTCTCCAGGTTGTACAGCTGATAGCCGCTGCGCAGATAGTGACGACGCAGCGTCTCCTCCAGGTGGGACGTCTCCATGTCGCCTTTGATGACCTCCTCGCACATCCGCACAATCTGGCTGTACAGGTTGGCCTTGGGATCGCTGTCGTAGAAGAAGTCCGTGGGCAACTTGTCGAGCAGGTTGAGGTCCCGCGCGGCCCGCTCCTGCAGTCCACGGCGCACGTTCTCGTGGGCATAGTCTTCGTTCAATTTGATCCTGAGCAGACGCGAGTAGAGAATCTCAAATGTGCGGAAGAAGCAGTAGATATTCAGGTTCCCGTACAAGTGATGGGCCGTCTTCTCGTAAGACTCGTTGAGCGTGTACTCCCGCTGCAGGTTGAAATTGCCCTGCGCCGGGTGCTCCATCCATCGCAGCTCGGCGACATCAAAAGTCTCGGTGGGATCAGGAGCCGGCGTAGAAGGCACAAGACCACTATCCGGAGTGCCAGCGCGCGATGTGGGCCGACTGCTTCCCGATTTTTCAGCCCGGGCCTTCTCAGATCGACGCTCCAGCACGTCGCGGAGCAGATCCATCTTCTTGTTGTTGGCCCGTCGACTACGGGGCGTCGAGGGTCCCTCCGCAGAGGAGCTCTCCCCGTCGCCTTCATCAGCCGGTGGAGTCCCACTGGACAATTCGTTCATGTAGACATGGAAAGTATCACGGTCCATCCCAAAGAACATGGGAACAAAGTCCTTGATGAACATCATGACCTTCTGGGGATCGGCCCCGAAGCCAGCCGAATTGCGGTCAATGAAAGTCAGCAGCAAGTGGGTGGTGTCGATGATCACGGCCGGGTCGTCGAACGTAAACTCGAAGTGGTGCCTAGGCACCTGGAATCCGCTCTTGCGCAGGGTCTTTCTCTCCTCGAATTTGTTCTGAATCTCGTTCTGGATGTGCTTCGCCACGAACAGCTTTTTATCCATGCTCTTGCTGGCAATGGCCTGGTGGTCCAGACTGCGCCAGTAGGCCTTCTGCGTCTGCTCACGCCAGATCTTGTCCCACTCGCGCTGGCTAGCCTTCCATTCCTCGCACTTCTGCTTCAAGCGGAAGAGGACGATGGGCAGGACGTGGCAGGGTCTCTCGAACATCTCGTGGATGATCTTTTCGCCCTTCTGACGATCGTAGATTTTCTTGATGACGCGCTGATAGATGGCTTCACTCTGTCCGCCGAGACCCGGAGGCAGTCTGAAAGCGGCGCGCTCCGCGTCCGACATGACCAGAAATTGCTGGACGATAGGCTCAATGAGCTGGATCGTGCGGGTGCAGGCTTCGATGTGATGATCGTAATCATGTCTGTCCTCTTCGATACGGTGCAGCGCATCCTCGTACTGGTTCTTCCGGTGCGCAACAAATCCCGAATCTTCCGACGCCCACGTGGGGTGAGACGCCCATTCATCATTCAGAACAGCGTAACACAAGGCATCACGGCCACTGCACGGTTTCTGGCGTTCACGTTTCGGCAGAAGCCGGTAGCTTGGTCCCAAGGAACGGCAATGCGAGAGATTGACGACTCCAAGGTCATGCTTCGGTTTGGGCTCAATGATCTTGTCTTCGGGCTCATCCACATGCATGAACCGTTTGAACCAAGCCATGAGCTCCGGGTTGGAGCCGATGTAGCCGGCCGCTCTCTTGACAAGAACATGACGATCGATGAGATCGGTCGAGTAGAGATTGCAGAGTTTGAGGAACTCACTGAAGGTCTGCTTGTTCCCAATGTACTTCTTGACACGATCGAAGAATGCAAACTCTTCCTGCGTGGGGGTCAACGAGAACACGGGAGGGATCGGCTCTGGGAGAGCGGGAATCAAGGTGGGAGACACGGCAGGGGCCTCTGTCGGCGTAGTTTTAGCGTGATGGACCTTGGCTCTCTTGTTGACTCCGCCAGCTTGGAGACCAGGCGCCCGACCCGCTTGGGCGTCGCCCATCCGGACTGCGTCATTATTCGCAGAGGGGCCGGATATCGAAGATGCCAGAGCAGAGGGAGCCCCCGGCCCTCCCCGACGCTTCTTTCCATCTTTGGCAGAATCTTTGACATTGAACTGACCCAGCGGAGGCATCTTGACATCGCGATTAGGAGTCTGGGATTGAAGGTTGTTGCCGGTGCTAGGATAGCTAGGCTCTCCACGGACATTGCTCGTCGGCGCCGCCTCTTCCGCCTGGCGGGCCGCTGCCTGCTGTTTGGCATGGGCAGCAGACTCAGGCAGGAACTGCTTGAAATCTTCCAATAGGTCGGGTGCAGTGTTGAACAGTTGGGTCACTTGCGCGTAGACATCCTGGATCGGCTTTGACTCGCGCTGGTACGTCTGCAGGATCTCCAAAAACTGCTTGTAGATCTCGGGGGCTTGCGCAAATCGATTCTTCAGATAAAGCATTAGCAACTTTGGATGCATCCAGTGACTGGAAGGTGGCAAACCTTGATCTTGTTCACATAGCTTATGGCATGGTTGAACTCCACGGGTCCACGCTTGTTCAGGTCAGCTTGGGAACCCTGGAGCATATTCGATCCCACACCGGCCAGACTGTTCATCGGCTGATTTAGGTTGTGAGCCTGTCCTGGGCCAGACACTGCGAGCAAGCCAGGCCGCCCAAGCCCCGCGGACGCAGCCGAGACGGCGCCCTGGAGCTGCGACACCCCACGATGATCCTGCTGCTGGGCCATGGCCGCTGCACCCGCCGCAGCTTGCTGTTCTTGCTGGGTAGGGTAGCTGTAGTGGTGGGGCTCCTGATGCGGGCCCTGGTTCTCTTGCCCGAACATACCTGGGCCCATCATGCGTGACCCAGGTGAATATGATCCCGGCAGGTTGCCCTGTGGCGGCTGGGGCTGCGGCGCGGGCTGGGGCTGCGGCTGATGCTGCTGCCAGCCAGGTCGGGATTGTTCGAAAAACTCAGGACGGCCATGCGGACCCATCCCACCATGGGTCATCTCGCCCGTGGCATCCAACGACTGTCGTGGACGGGGCATACTCAAAGTATTTGTGCCGGACGGGGTGGTCACTCGGATGGCGTCAGGGTTATCTTCTGTGCCGCACTCGATTCGGTATCCAGGGGGGAGAAAAGTGTTGAATCCCTGGATCAGCGCGGGGTGTCCATTGAACAGCGTGGAAACGCGTTGGATGACGCCAGGGGTATCGATGCTACTGCAAGTCAGAAAGAAACCCTGCATAAATTTCTCCACGCTAGCTACTCACGCTTGGCTTTTGAAGTCTTTCATTATGTCCAGAAACCGGTTATACACATCGGGCTGATCGACAAAGCGGACCTTCACTTGGTCTAGGTAACTTAGCGCGTCCTGCATACCTGTCAGTTTGAATTCAATTCAAAGGCAGGGACAGGGATGACTCACATTCAAAATTGGCTGCTGACCCTGGGCAAGAGCCGCAACGTTCCCCGGGATTTGAGGACCAGACGCGTTGAAACCCATCAGGGCCTGTCCAGCGGGACCAGCAGGGTGTTGCATGTACGATCGCGGGGTGCCTTCGCCATGCGGCATCTGAGGCCCGTAGATCCCACCAGGTCCGCCAGACGGCTGCATCGGGCCCTGAGGACCACTCTGCGGGTTTGACCCAATATTCGACAAGAGGCCATTCGGACCGTGGATGGAGTTGGGCACCTTGGACGCCACCGGCTGGTGCAGCGGGATCGACCCCGTGTGGCTCTGAACCGGGTGGTGCTGATCGCGCTGGCGCTCCAGCTGCTGTCGCTCCAGCTGCTCACGCTCACGATGTTCACGTTCTCTGTGGGCCATCTCCTCCTGGCGCTGTCTCTCGATCAGCTCCCGCTCCCTCGAATCCCGCTCGCGCTCGCGGTTGATGGACTGGGGAGACGGGTGCTGCATCGCCTGACCGATGCCTGGCAGAGAATGACCAGCGCTGTGGGAGGGGGCAGAGGGGTGTTGAGCATAAGCGGGTGGTTGATGGGGGCCGGCGTGGCCCTGGCTCAGCTCCGCCAGCCCAGGAAGGGAGTGTCCGGGAGGTTGGCTTGCAGGGTGATAAGGACCTAAACAGAAGTATACTCGTCAGTCGACGAACCATGGCAATCCTTTGCCCACGGGGTACTATGGGAGGGCTGGGGATTCTAACCTCCTGGAGGGGGAAGGACGGGCCCCGCCGGCTGCGAAGACGGGCCTTGCTGAGGTGGGTTTTGACTGCAGAGAGAAGCCAGTTAGTTTGGCGTCCGATCGAGAGATAAACTCTTCTCAAAGAGGTGCCATCAAGAAAACTTACCCAAAGGGGCCCAGGGGACGAGGTTGGTGGTTCATCTGGTCCATCCCGGGGTGCGATGGGGGTCCACCAGGGTGCCAGTTATCGTTTCCTGAATTCATCCTCTGTGCATGAACAACAGCACGCCCACGACAGGAAGATCAGGAAGAAGAGTGTTGTTTAAAGACGGGATCAAAGGAGGGATTGAATCGCTGCAAGATGCAGTACACTTCAAAGCCAACCTCTCAATCAAATAATCGTTTTTCGCACGGTCGAGTTTCTCCTCCAGCACATTTCACAGCGACATCACCGGGCTCGGGACGGTGACAACCGCAAACGAAAAATAGTAGAGAGAGTAGTCTTCACGGGGGAAAGAAAACAATAGGATCAACAGGAGATACAGAAACAGGAGTCAAAGGAGAGGAAGTGAATCACCATGCAACAGCAGCAACAGTGGCAGCAGCACCGAGAGTTGCTTCGTTGGAGATGATGGTTTGCGCGCGACCGATCACGGATAGTCCTCCAGACAGAAGGCGGAGAGAGCCTTTGACCGCGCTAATCCCCATTTGTTCCATATTGCCGCCCACCGGGATGGTGGTTTTTCCGTGCCATATTGTCGGAGAAAAAACCCTGCAATGATGAGGCGGTCAGGAAGGCGGAATCCCACCTCTGGGTTCACTTCTGCCGCCGAGCGGATTGCTCGACGTCATTGACACGACCGATTAGGAAAGACCTGGCAGTTACAACCATCAGGTTTGATTCATTGCAAATGTAGTGAATTCACCCTATTTGCTAGAAGTGTACTGGTCTGCCATGAAATGAGTGACTTGGTTCATACACATCAAAGGCTGCACAAGCCTACACTAAGCGAACTCAAGCTTAAACCCGCGTGGTTTCATTATCTACTCAATACGTGATTTAACGCCAACAACATACGGACACCATGTCGGTCCGGAGCCCTACACACGCTTCTCTTAGTAACGTCAATGCGGCATCCACAATATAAACAAAGTAGGAATCCAGAGTCCTCCCGGGGAGACAGCGCCACGGAGGTATGGATAGGAGAGGGCACATGACAGGGCACCGTCAAGAGGTCACACAACCACAGTTAGTTAGAGAAGGGATATAATCGGCTGAACTAGCAAAGGAGCATAGTTTAGTGGGTAAAGGAAAATGGTTTAGGGGGTAAAAAAAAAAAGAAAAAAAAAAAAAAACGGATAACATGAACTGGCAACTTGAATTCTGGATTTGGAAATGCTGCTGCTAGTAACCTCTTTTTTTTTATTCTTCGTTATATCTGGCCCATGCTGGCCACCGATCGACACGCTTGCCCGCTGAGGACAACCCATACCTGTCACGTACTTACAAGGCGGAGAAGACGAATAGCTAGGAAGGTGATAGTTAGCACAGCCATCCACACACAAAATGGAGGAGGAATGGCTCACGTTATTGGTCGCAGCAATGGCAATGCTATCCTCGTAGGGATGCCAGCTCATGTGCAAGATCTTCTTATTGAAATCGATCTGCTCCGCGTCCGTCTCCTTCTTCATGCGACTGCCAGGCCCGGTCGGGCTGCCGGACCGGGAGTTGCTCTTCTTTCCATTGGCCCCCTTGTTCATCGGCGTGGGAACGCCGACCTTCTTCGCCTTGAAAGCCGACTTGTCCGCCTGCAGTACAATCTCCGTCTCCTTGGCGGGGTCTGTGGGGTAGATCATAAAATTGTTGTTGTAGCTTCCGGTCATGACATTTTCAGCATCGCCGGAGAAGACCACTTCAAACTTGTCGAAGATGCTATCATTCTCGTACGTATCGCAGAGACGGGGCCGCAGATGTTCGTGGATCGGAATCGTCTTCACCGGCTGTCTCTCCATGTTGACGTCCCAAATCTTCACGGTCAGGTAGTCCCTGGACACGATGTAGCGACCGTCGTTCGAGAACCGTACGTCCGAGATGGACGAGATGATCTCCGAGAAGAATGAGCGGGAGGAGGCATCTTCTTCCTGTTCGAACTCTGCATGGAGAAAGACGTTAGCTCGGCTACATTAAGAGTTGCCCTCGAAACAAGCAAGCCACTTCTATATCCGAAGAGGTACACGGAGAAGGAATGCCCTACGTTTCTGGTGCTCGTCGCACAAAGCGCGCTGGCGCATGTCCGCCAGCTTGATCGTTCCTTTCGAGCTCGCGTACATGAACCAATTGCAGCTGGTGGGATGGAATTCAGCCGCCGTAATGACTTCCGTCAGCTCCTCCATGTTTGCGGGCTTGATATCGACGATGTTGAAGCTCTGGTCCTGGATGTTCAAGTTCCACAGGTTGACCCGGAGATCGTCGCTGCTTAAGAAGGTCTCTCCGTCACTGTTGACCGAGATGCTGTTGATGTGGTATGCGTGTGCATTGGCGTACGTCCGACGCGGCACGGCGGCCACAACGGTATCATGGTGCGTCATTCGAGGCAGCTTCAATGCCGAGGGATCCTTGAACGATAAACGTGGGGGGCGAGGCGCCCCGCCGCCACCACTCACGCTGGCCGGGGTGAGTTCATTCGAAAGATTGTTCTCAGCGACGACCTTGAGCGACTTGTCGAACACCTTCCACAGCTTTATCGTCTTGTCGTTGGTCGAAAGGAGGAAATGCGAGGAATTTTGCCTTCTACACCATTTTATCTTGTTGATCTTCTCTTCGATCTCTAGGGATTTAAGGTAATCGAATTCCGGTTCGTGCGACTGGAACTCGGTGTGAAACTTATACTCGCAGGTTTTTTTCTGCCGGCTGTTAGGAAGGTGGGCCCCACGAGAGATGCAGCGAAGATGCAGCAGAGGGGGAGGGGGAGGGGGAGGGGCGGCTCTACCGTTTCGTTTCTCTCAAATAACACTACTCTGCCGCCCTTGTCTCCCGTAGCCAGATAGTTCCCGGTATGGTCGAATTCAACGGTTGAGATAATATCAGCTGTGGAAGGTGGGTGGGTTAGTTATGGACGAAACCCCGCCTCGCACACCCGACACAGCAGTAGCCAGAGGGGAATAATTAAAACGTACCTTCCGTAATATCCTCCACATCGCCCTTATCACCGAAGCATCTGCCACCATCGTTAGTATCTCCAAACCACATCAGGCCGATCGCTCAGGTCGCATATCGACCCATAGGATTTCCCGTAAGGGACGATCGGTCCTTCACCGCCACAAGGGATGCTGAGGGGTCGACTCACTGCGTGAACTTCCAGGTAGGTGAACCTGGATCCCTGTCTACCATTTTCTAACAAAAACCACCCTTTCCTGGGGTAGCCGACCGACAACCAAAAAGATGAGAAGATAAATCAAAAGGTAAAAAGGCACGGTCTATGGGTGTTGACGGCGAGGACGGACGGGGTGGGGTCGACAGACGCCGAGCGGTCGAGGGAACGAGGGACGGAGGGCGCTGTAGACGGGATGTATGAATTCTCGATCGATAGCGGCGTTCAATGGGCGAGCGGTGAAGCTGACGGCAAATCCACCAGCAGCGTCGGATATAGGTAGTCGGGAGGGAAGTCGAGTGGAGATAAGGGATCACGGAGATCCGACGAACGGTATGGGGGAGGGGAAGGTTGTGTCGGTGGACAAAGCTCGAACAGAGATTGGCTTCGTCACTGGTCGGGCTGAGACGAACGATTGATAGCTTGAGCTGATCGAATCGGACGAGGTTGATGGGTAGGACGGAGGGGAGCTATATTGAATTTTTTTTTCCCTCTGTTTTTTTTTTTTGTGACCGGATTTCCCCCCCTCAGGGTGGTTGATTGTGGATGGTCGGGGGAAAAAAAGAACGAAAAACGAAAAACGAAAAAAGGATGGTGGACAGATGGCCACAACAGACGGCAAGTCTGTTCAAACGAGAAGAGGAGGATAGGAGGAGAGGGGAAGGGGAAAGAGTTGATGAAGAAGTTGGATGAAGAAGTGGGATGGGGGAGGTGGAGTGGAGGAGAGAGAGAGAGAGGGGAGGAAGGAGGAGAGGAGGGGAAGGAGTAGCGATGATGGCGAGAGGTAAATTGTGGATAGCGAGATGAGCGACAAGTTTGGTGGGGAAGTACTGGCTGTCAGACAACACAGTCTTTATAATATGATATTATCTCTCATCTGTTCAAATACTACTAAGTAGTTGAGTTATTCAATTTAATTATTCTCGTTATCCTGGTGAGTTCCATGCCTTACGGCCGCCTGTCTGTCGGCCTGTCTGCCTGTCTGCCTGACAGTCCTCACCCAACAACTACTAAACTAATACTAAACTGACTAACTCTTCTTCCGCTGACATCAACCACTGACCCCTCTTACTCTTCACTCTCTATGTTGAGATCGTCGGGATTTTGATTCCCAGTTTTCTGGTGTTGTTTCTTGATCTCTTTCACCTTTTCATTTTCATGTTCTTTGTCTTCTGTGGTATTTCCTTCTTTATCTGTACAACAATTTCCCCTCCTTTGTTTAATCCCTCTATATACCCTAAACAAGTATTGAACAATAACCGCCTAGAAAGATGATCCTGCATTGGCAATGACGTACGTGATGCTGGGTATAGACTACATCACTCACCAGCTTCTACTATTGTAAACTGGCGTGCAGAAAACAACATTCAATATCAAACTCTCTATAGGAATTAATAACCATAACAATCTCCCTCGTTATAGTCTGTAGTGCCTGAAATATCTGGCCTTCTGATTCACATGTGCTTCCTATCCATCCCGAGAATGAAGACTCCACTGGGCCGAACTTCCCTCTACCATCCAAATTAAACTGCGACATAATACTTCTTTGTTGTCCATCGCGTACAAATCTTGCCTTCTTTTCCTAGATTGAATATCCTCACCTTACTCCCATACCAATCCTGTCAATTGACCGTCCTTCTAACCTCACATCAAACAATCCCTCATCATCCCACCACCATGTCCGACAAACCCACCACCAACAACAACAAGAATAAACCAGAAGATCCCAAAAGCAACCCCAACAACCCTCCAAACTCCTCCAACCCTCCCTCCAACAACAACAACAGCAACAATGAAACCCCCTCCCTAGCCAACCGCATCCAAACCTCCGCCTCAGGCCTCGCCCGAAACGCCCTCTACGGCTCCGGCCCGTCCGCCGACACGGCACAACTCCTAGCAAGCGGAGGCAGCAAAGCCGCTTCCTCCTCCCCCCGACCATCCGCCTTCGCAGCCGCCCAACAATACCAAGAATCATCGGGACCGTCCTCCGCATCGGCAGCCTCATCCCGCGACCCGGTCCCCGCGCAATCATTCCGCTCTCCGGCGCCGCAACAACAGCAGCAGCAACAAGGCGGATTCGCGCTTCCTGCGCTGTCGGAGGATGAGTTCCAGCGGTCTTATGGGGATGTCTTCCCCAACCAGGACATAACATCGTCATCATCGTCGAAAGGAAAAGAAAAAGCCTCTCAACTACACCCCCACCAACCCCACTCCCACAAAGAATCTACCCTCCACAGCCTACCAACCCAATACCACCACAACGACCAAGACGGCTCCGACGTCCTCACCCTCCTCTCCTCTCCCACATTCGACCCCGAATTCCCCGCCACCGAAACCGAGCCCTTCGAACCCATCGAAACCGACCTCTCAGCAACCCTCACAGACGCCGAACGCACCACCCTCGACTCCTTCCGCCGTCAACACCAACCCTCAACACAGATCACATCCCACAGCCTCATCCCCGACATCGGCTCCTTCCTCGACACAATCCCCGCCTCCGCGCAATCGGACGCGACGCAGCTGCGCGATACCGTACTGAGCGGTCTCCCTGGGGCTGCGGACTGGGTTGCCCTGGAAGAGCAGTACCAGGATGAGGTGTGGGGGTATCTGAAGCCGACGTTGGAGGCTGCTGCGAGGGAGATGGAGGAGAGGGACGAGACTGGGAAGGATGGGAATGGACAGCAGGAGGATGGCCCTGCTGTGAGGAGGTTGAAGATGGTGTTGATGCATATGAGGGGGTAGTTCTACTGTATATCAGGTATATATATATATATATTTAATTATTTATTTGTATATAGCTTGGGTAAGGGAACTTTCTTTTATGCTACGTCTGTAAAGTAACGCGATGGATAGTTGTATAGCACATGGATACAAACATATATACATACATGCGTATATACCTATGCTGTATACGTTGCTTTGGAGCGTTACTACTACTCTCCTCCCCCTCTTACTACGCATAACTAAATATAATTAAACCACCTCCATGTATATATACATGTACCCCACTAACTACGACAACCGTTTCATGTGCAGCCCACCTACGTATCGACTAGAGTGCGACCACTAGTTACTTGAGGTTTCAGTGTAAACCACAGAGTACAGATTGGGACTGATCATGTTTATTGTCGTCATCCATTGCGTTGCACGTGTACGGTTATATAGTCACTTGACTATACCCTTCTGGGTTTTCAGGATTGCTGTTGATGGAGGATTTAGCCGAGGTGGAGTGAGTTGGTCCTGGACTGGGTGGGTAAGGTAGGTACTGAGGTGCTATGTAGGTACGACAGGGGATGGATCGTTGGATACCTTAGGTATCTATCTATCTCTACTACTACACTCTCCATAGGTACTATGTACTACTAGGTAAATAGACAGTTAAAAAATTGTAAGTATCTTACATAAAGGCTCAAACAGGGTCTCGCCCCGAAACTATCATCACAACATAGATCTGTAGTCACAAACAAACATAACAAAAAACGGAGGGTATGTAATCATATGCGTAGGTTTTCTCTTTCCAACATGTATCACCCGGAATTCTATAATCGGTCGAAGATCAATCTGATTTACAGCTCAAGGCTAGGGGTCTGGCCCTTGACGCGGCCGATGACGATGTGGCCGGCGTACTTGGGGATGACCTCGTCGTCGTGGAGCATGGCGAATTCTAAAACAGTTAGCTTTCTGCCTCTTGTGCCTGGTATACATGATGAGGAACATACCTTCCGTGGCGTCACGGCCCATGAAGTTGAACAGGGCGTTGGCACCGCCCGGGTGCTCATCGAGCCAGTTGGTCACGTCGAGGACGACACCCTTGACGACGATCCAAAGGTCTTCCTTCTTGTTGTGCTTGGCGACCTCCTCCATCGTGTACTCGGTGTCGGGCACCTTGAACTTCTTGGGGTCCCGAGCGGCCTCCTTGAGGGGGTCCGCGGCCGGGGCCGCAGCGGGGGCGGCGGCAGCGGCGGCCGGAGTAGCGGCGGCTTGGGCACCACCGGCACCGCCGGCACCGCCCCACTCGACGGAGATCTTGCCCGGCGTGGCGGGGTCGATGTGCAGAGAGATCTGGCCCAGACGCTGCGACGCGGCCGAGGAGCCGCCGCTGATGAGGTTCTGGAAGAGGTGCTGGCTGGCGCTGTCACCGGCGACACGGCCGTAGACGACGCAGCCCAGCAGGGAGGAACCGCCCAGACGGTTGGCGCCGTGGACACCGCCCGCCAGCTCACCGCAGGCGTACAGACCGTCGAAGGGCTTCTGCTCGGCGTTGAGGACCTGGGCGTGCTCGTTGATCTCGATACCACCCATGGTGAAGTGCAGCACGGGCTCCATGAGGGCGACGTAGAAGTCGTCGTCGATGCTGAAGGGCAGATTGTGGAAGAAACGCTTGTTCCAGGGGTCCTTCTTCTTGCCGTCGGCGATCTGGTTGTATTCGTCGAAGGTCTTCTTGAGGGCGGCCTCGCCGCAGCCAATGTCCTTGGCAAGCTCCTTGCCGGTCATCTTCCGCATCAGACCACGGCCGGCGTAGTGACGGGTGTGGAAGTCCAGGACGTTGGAGGCCTTGCTGTTGAGGATCAGGCGGATGGGCCACTTGCCCTTCTCCTTCTCCTTCCACATCTGACCCGAGACGTAGTCACGGTGACCCAGCTCGTCGGAGAACCGGTCGCCGTCGGAGTTGAGCAGCAGACCACCCTCGCCACGGAGGGCCTCGGCGGCCAGGAACTTGAACTTGGCGTTGGGGTCCTTGGGGTCGACGAGACCCGTGGGGTGGACCTGGACCTTGTCCATGTCGATGCCGTTGGCACCGATCTCCATCAGCATCTTCTGGCCATCACCGGTGGCGTGGGCGCCGTTGGTGCTGGACAGACCGAAGGTATCGGGGCGGTGGGTCTTCAGGAGCGACCCATCGCCAAAGTCGGCAGCGTAGCCACCCGTGGCAAGGACAACGACACCATCCGCCGAGGCGGACTGGCCGTCGTGCTCGTAGGTGACGCCGGTGACATTGTTGCCGCTCTTGTTGATGGAGGTGACACGGGCCTTCTTGACGATCTGGACGCGGGTGGGGTCCGCGTCGGCCAGCTCCTCTAACCGCTGCATGAGCGCATAGGTGATGGCCATACCGGGGAACTTGGCATCGTGGCCACGGTGCGTCCGGGGCTGGGAGTGGCCACCGAGACGGGAGACGAGGGTCAGGTCGAGGTTGAAGACGTCCTGCAGCCACTCAACGGCGGCGGCGGACTTGTAGGTGAGAACCTTGATCAGCTCGGGACGAGCCTTGTCTCGGGCCGACTTGAGGGTATCATCGTAGAACTGCTTGACGCTGTCTTGGATCTTCAGGTCGACCTGGGTGCGCGTGAGGGCGCCGTTGATACCGGAGGTAGCCTTGGTGGAGTTGCCACCGAAGAACGCTGCACGAGGTTAGTTGATGGTTACCCTTCCCTTGATTTGCAGTATGGGATGCAAACCTTGCTTATCGAGGACGAGAACATTTCCACCATTCAGGTAGACGGTGTGAGCGGCACTGAGACCGGACACTGTGCGACGAAACCATGGTCAGTAAACTGGGGGGAGACAGTCGGGGAAAGCTATGGAGACTCACATCCACCACCGACAACGATGACTCTCGGAGGGGCAGCCATTATGAGAGGGAAACAAAGAAGTGTAGAAGGAAGAAAGGTGGAAGAGTAGGGAATGACAGAGAGGAGAGAGGAGAGTAGAAGGAAGAAAGAAGAAAGAAGAGAAGTGAAAGGGAAGAAGCCAGATGGAGAGATCTTAAACCCGTTGACCGAGGAGGATCTGTGTGGGGGGGGAAAGAGAGGAGAGAGAGAGAGAGAGGAGAGAAGCCGACTGGGGATTGCTCTATCGGCCGAGGCTCATCTGCTTTATTTTACAGTTACGGCTAATACCGTGGGCGACTACATCTGTTGACCGAATGCAGGAGCGGGGTACGGTAACCGGTTTACACAACCATACCCCTACTATGCTTGTTCTTGCTAATAATATGACCTGCATTAGCTCTAGTATTTACCTCGGAATTACACTCAGACCGATTTAGATGAATATTCAAATTGAGCATGATTCTTTCACGATCATAGAGCTTGCACCTGGTGATGATATCTGAATCCAGATTCTAGCCATGACGGAAGATGGGGTAGCAGAGTGGAGTTGGCTGGGGAGAAAGTGGCTCCGGCCTTAGTAATGCCGTATTACCATCACGCTGGTTTGTTCGTCGTGATGGATCACCCATCATGAGAGATATTGGTACCAGAATAGCTGGTACTGAAGGAGAATGCCATTAATTGGATATTACACGCTCGATCAAATGTCTACCAAGGTTTACATAAGGGGGAAGTCCTAGGTATGTGGCAAGGATTCGACATTCACATGCTCGACTCCCAGCAGTAAGGAAGAAATGACCCTGTCGAATGACATGATAACAGGAAGATCCCTCCTCAGGATTCATGACACCATGAATTATTTTCACATGTCTCTCTTTTCTAGGTTTGAGGTGTATTTTTTCCTTTCTATCCCTCCAGCAAATGACAGAAATGAAACATCCGCTTATGTTAGCCCCACGTCATCGGTTGATGAGTATTCCTCCACTGCTAATTGCTGCCCGGACTCCAAGTGATCGGCGACTCAACAAAAAAAAGGGGGGCCTGGATGGGGTTGCCCTGGGGTTGCCCCGTAGAGCCAAGGTCAATCCGGGGCCGCTTGATGATACCTGATAGTGAGATGTACGGAGTATAAAATATGGAAATATATGCAATCTTCAACATATGTCGCTTGTCACATAATAATCTCTCCGGTTTATGGTACGTACTGTGAAGCACTTTTAACTCCGTCCAAAACCCCCGTACTAGCAGGTTAGTTGCACTACGGCGTACTTTAGTGGGTGCTTGGGAGCCCCAGATACATGGCATGACACTCTCATTACCTACAAAACATCAGACCACTCCCTCGTGATGATAAGACCTCTCAACAGCCAACCCACAACCACGGGAATCGACATTATGAATTTCTCATCATTCTACCATACTTCCTCAAAACAAACAGGTAATAATTCCCGGCTCATCCTCTGTTAAATATGCAGACAGCCTTAGGTATAGTTAGCGTCCCCAGGAAACACTAGAAATACCCCGGACCGATCCGTATTATTACCCCAGACATACGGAGGACACTCTTCCTTATCGCTCTTGGTCAGTGTCACAGCTTGGACCTCGGCCCGACTACATCTCTCTCCCCTAAGCTGGAGGTTGCCATGGAGAAACCCCTTATCCTCATGTTTGACTGCAACCTTAGGTAGTCTGGACTAGGATTTAGATCGGTTCTACGCCGGCCTCGTTTACATGAGCTGTTATTCGCTGGGATGCTTTGTTCTGGGCGCATCTATACCTGCGTGGTTGGAAGTTATAAAATTATACTGATCAACTTGGCTATTGCCGATACGGAGCATGATCCAGTCTGCCGTGTGAGTGTTAGCCATCAACCAGTTATTCACTATATGTGTATGTCTCTATTGCGTGTAGTAGGTCATGAATTACGGCATATTGTGTATTTACCGGTTAGACAGATTATGAAGTTAGCCCGAGGTTAACAGATATATATATACGCTACATGCACCCTTGTAGCACTATAGATCTCTAGAGATTTCAAATATCAAGGACTTATTAATATGAACTCTAATGAAATTATTAATGAACATAATCAGAACACGATAGAAAAATGAACACTGCCAAAAAACAAAGAAAAAAATGAAGGAGAAGAAAATACCTACTCTAGAGTAACTCCAGATGCACAATTACGATAGCTAAACTCCCACAATATGCCACCCCTTATTCAACCACACCCATCCCATTTCTAGAAGTCTGTCTCACTCTCAGACAGACAATTATCCCCTCCCCAGTAAACTGCACCCCAGCCCGGGGGTAGAGTCAAGAGCCGAATTCAACTACGCGCAAGAAAAACCGATGAGAACCAATGATATGGATGGAGTTTGCCCACGAAAGCATACTACCTACCTGGTTCTAGATATTAGCGGCAATAAAAGGAGCAATAATTTCCTGCAGCAGAAGCTTTTCTGTACCCAGCTTTTCCAGCTGTATTTGACAGATTGTAGTCACTGGCGATGTGCGCGCTTCACTTCCTCATGGGCAGCTGAATATTTATTGATCTCCTGCGGATGGGATTAAATATTAGAAAAGAAGCTAGGGACGGCTTCTTTCCTACGGTTAGTACGGCGTCTTTTCCAATTGTTTTTCAAGGAGGCCAGTGATCACGATCTAGCTGCGTCTGTGATGAAGCAATGGAGCTAGAGAGTGGGCGTTGAAAAAGGATAGGTCAACATAGGCTGGGTATATGCCTTCTTCAACACCTGTCGTATATCCTGGCGAGTATCATTGTTTATTTCTAGGTAACGTATGTACCAGATAAAACTGTATATTACTTCTTGATAGATGGACTATATAGGATTGTACCTTCTACTACTACTACTACTACTACTACTACTACTACCACCACCACCACCACTGTATAAGTAAACCTCTCGAAATCCGCATACTTACGTGTACTACGGATTCTCCGTACCCCTAGTAGATCTTCATACTAGCATTTCATCCCCTGTCCATATATGCAGCCAAGAGTTGCTGCTGCGCACTAGGTCCGTCAGCCTTGGATGATCTCGGGGCTGACGAGGTTGGTATTTACGTCTGCTTTTGGTAGATGTTGGAATTGATGCTAGTATACTCTATATTATGGAGTTGATGCTATCCCTTGTTCCATTGTACTGACTGAACCGAGGAAATAGGGGGTAAGCTATTGTGTATTGGTTAAGGTGATTGATATGCAGGCTGTAGATATAGTACATACGCGGTGACTGCCCCTACTGACTAGGGTCTTGCCATAGATTATAACCACAATAGTATAAGTGAAGTAGACGTGATCCCAACACAAGATAGTCTGATAGTATCCAGGAAAGCAATACAATAAACGAATAATAAACAAGCTCGATTAGATAGGAAGTAATCATGCAAAATATCCACCCCTAGTGTGATATCCGCACAACCAAACTATATACACTGTCCCATCAATCAAACCATTAACCAGACCAGCTCATACGTGCATTTCCATTCATAACTCATTAATCCATCCAAGTCACACTCTTAGTAACCAAGAACTCATCCAACCCCTGCTCCGCATTAAAGCGACCCCACCCGCTGTTCTTGACGCCTCCATGCGGCAGAGCCGGCTCATCGTGGATAGTCATGCTGTTGATGTGGACAGCCCTGCGCGAATTAGCATCGTCACGCTATAGAATAAAAAGACAGCGAAGAACGAAAAAGGAAGGGCATACCCAGACTGAATCTTCTTCGCCATAGCGAGTCCCTTTCGCAAATCCTCGGTAAACACCGCCGCAGACAATCCATACCCGCTGCTGTTAGCGATGCGGATCGCCTCCTCGTCGCTGTCGACGACCATGCACGCCGCCAGCGACGCGAACGCTTCCTCCTTCCACACTGTCATGTCTTCGTTGACACCGCCTAGGAGTACGGGCGCCATGCGCACGCCGTCAGATGGGGGTGTCTGGTCGGCAGAGCCGTGGATGAGATGTGCGCCGCTTGATAGGGCGTCTGCGATGAGGCCTTCGACACGGGCTTTGGACGCGATGTTGACGAGCGTTGGGGGCGGGGTGGAGGTGTCGATGTTGGAGCTTAGGGCGGCCTTCAGCGCGTCGATGAAGGCTGGTGCGATGGAGGAGTGCACGAGGATGCGGTCGGTTGCCATGCAGATTTGGCCGGACTATAGATATTGTGGTTAGAATAGGTCACCAACAGTGGTGGAAGAAGAAATTGGAGAAGGAGGGAGTAGGAGAACATACATTCAAATAAGCACCCGCCAAAACCGCCTTAACGGCGGTATCAAGATTAGCATCAGCGCAAACAATGGAGCTATTCTTCCCGCCCAACTCCATCAAACAGGGTTTGAGGTTCTGTCCACAGGAGCGCGCAATCTTGCGACCAACGGCCGTGCTGCCGGTGAAGTTGATCTTGCGCACAGCCGGGTGCTCGATCATGGTGTTGACGACCTCGGGGGCGTCTTGCGGGCGGCACGAGACCAAGTTCAGGCAGCCGGGGGGCAGACCGGCGTCCTCGAAGGCGCGAACAAGGGCCCAGTACGAGCAGGGGGAGTTTTCGGAGGATTTCAGGATGGTCGTGTTACCGGCTGCGAGGGCGCATGCGGCGCCGCGGACGCCAAAGACGTATGGCGCATTCCTGTAGTTGATCTGGTTAATCTACATTCTTGTAATATAGAACGCTATAGATGGAGAGGATGGGTCATAAGAGAAATGAAAAGATAAAAGAGATACATACCAAGGCACAATCGATAGAACCACCCCCATAGCCTCCTTGTAAACAATAGCACTCTGACCCTCCTCCTCCAGCACCGGTACGCTACCGCAGATCGACGTGATGCGCCCCGCGATGTCCCGCAGCATGCGGATACCCAGCGGGACGATGAAGAACTGCGACGCACCCACATCGGCGCCCATCTCGGTGCGCATGTACTCTGCATTCTGGATGAGACGGCTCTCCAGGATGTCGGCCGCCTTCAGCAAGATATCCCGGCGCGCAGTAGGTTTGGTTTGCGACCAAGCGGGGAATGCGGCGTCCGCAGCCTCAGCGGCGCGGATGGCATCCTGGGGCGTGGCGGAGGCCGTGGACCAGCAACGCTCGTTTGTGTAGGGACTGATCACGTCGAAGGTCGAATCGCCGACTTCCTCTTTGCCATTGATGATCATGGGAATGACGGAGGGCGGGGCGGGGGCGGGGGCGGACATTCTGAGGGGATAAAGGGGTGACGTGATGGGATATCAAGAAAAAAAAAAAGAATTATACAATTGATACAGACCCCGAGGAGAAGGAACTCAGCTATTGATGCAGGCACCGTAAAACTCCAGGTTGCGTGATATACACAGATAACGGTAGCCGTGGGAGCCGAAAAAAAAGAGGGTCAGTGGATTTAATAGTCATGATGGTACTCCGTCCTGTAGAGTATATTCGGAGCCTAACAATACCGAATAACAATAGCATTATCAATAGCGGGATGGCAGACCCAGTGCAGGTGAATCAGTTCCGTTGTTTCTGCTGGGAGCCGAATATCTCATTGGCCGTGGGTTTTGTTGCTCCAACTTCCCCACAGTTACCTTTTCACCGTACCACTACCGTCACTACCGTGTACAATGCCGAGATGATCCTTGCATGCTCAAAGTAGGGGACAGAAACAAGGAGGATTGGGGGCTGGATGATCGATGGCTTGGAAGGATGTTAGTAAACACAGCATTCCATGGTTATACTTGTCGAAAGGGCTACAACTCAGGGTTGCGCGACATTGTCCTGATACCCCAATGAAGCATATCATAGTTATGTTGAGGGAATTTCCTCTTCAAGAAATGCATAGACCAGGTGGAACCTCGACCTCCAAGGTTCTCCAAGGATCTGATCTCGGTAATTGTTCAAATATTTATTTTTCTATTTTTTTTTTTTTTTTTTTTAAGAAATGAAAAGGGGCGACCACTTTCTGGCTCCTGATATCTCCCGCTGTAGGGCAAGGGGCACCCACGTGCGTGCGGACATAAAACTCCAACGGTCCAACCCCTCCATGATTTTCCACGACCTACAGACTATCACTACACTTACAGACCTGAGACTATAAAATGATAGGCAGCCTCGGAGCCAAGATGGGGCCCGAAAACCACATGGCATCTCGCTCGATCAAGGACCCTATACGATTAACGTTCGTAACTATTGCGCGACTATTAATTTTTTGGCAGCGACTATCGTCATCCATGTGGAAAGAGGAAAGGGACAGGTCCAATCGATACGGATCGCAACAGACAAAAGCTCTAAAAGGAACTAGCGCCGTGAAACTCGTTGTTCATTCTAGGAATCGGGGGCGTCGATCAGATTAGCCGACCGCGGTTGAGTTCATTTGGGCTCAAGGGCTGCGGTCTCCAGTTTTGTGCGCTGATAGGCCAAGGAGACCACAGCCTCGAGATGAAGCCCGACTTTTTCTCTGCCAAGGGTGGAACGAGCGCTCCACCCAGTGGAGATCGCACCGGCAAAGTCAACACCAATGAGAGATCCCCGAGCGATCTCGGGTTGACAGCGGGAGGAACACCACCCTCAACCAGTTCAAGGTGACCGGCACTAATCGTCTTAGTCTTGGTCGGATCCAGCTTAGATCCGAAATCGCTTATCAAGCTACGAGCTGTTGACGCGGCGGTTCAGACAAGAAAGTCGCAGCGAGTGCCACTAATGTGCACAATCGGTGGCACTATTGAACCCTTCGCCGCAGATCATTCTTGGAGTAGGGTTGCCATCTTTGGTAATTGTATGGAGTACACAACCACAGTTCCTTTTCTCTCCCGACCACCCCGGCCCGGTACCTGGGCGCACATGGATGACGACTTATGGGTTGAAATTAACCTTAGAGGAACCATCATCCAGATAGTCGACGAACCAGGCAATCGGTTTGACCCCGTGCTTCCTGGTCTGAATTTTGGGAGAATCATCCGTCGTGCGTCAGGTCCTTTATCTGAAAAGAGTTATCATCAGGTAGATCCGTCCTTCGATCCAGGGTTCCGAGTGTTCTTGATGAAAGGGGCAGGTCTCGGGTCTGAGATGAGTTTTGTCCCCCGGGCTCTCATAGATCGGCCATCCTTGGTTACATGCAGGCCTCCTCCTCCTGCTCTTCCTATATGATGTATGCAACGTAGCTAGCCGCGCAGTTAATTGCACAATCATATATGAAACTTTGGAATGAAACCAACTGTCGGTGGAGGCTAAATGGTAATAGTCGGTCTATCACCGTCAGAATTTGACACCGTCCGGATCGTCGCCGGCTTTATGGGGCCATCGCTTGCCACGAGGGGGCGGCTTTTTTTTTCCTTCCCTCTTTTTTTTTCATTTTTTCCCATTTAATTTATGTTAGGGCCTGCTCATCATTCCAAATCAGATCGTGGGCAGACCCCGTAGCGGCTTTTATGTCATGGTTGGCCGAGCTGGTGGTGACTCCACAGTTTATCGCCTACGGTCCCATGGATTCGCCGACGACCTAAAGGCAGGAATATATCGATAATTCAGACAAGGATTCGCGCCTGGCGAAGCCCACCACATGTAACATATTGACTCGTGTTCTCCGTCAGCGATGATCCCCCCATTGGGCTATCGGGGACCCATCAAGCAAGTACCCGTCCCACTTTCTCCATGGGCGTGCCCCGTGTGGTAGGCGTAGACTCGTAGTACATATGCACGAGGCTGTCCGTCCTCTTGGGTCGACTTCTTCCTCCTTTCTCCAGGATTCTCATCTTCCTCCAGGATAAGGCCGCACGCCAACAGTTCTTTCTCGCGGCGGAATCTACACTGGAGTATCTTGTGTGGAGAGATCAACGACAATTTGCTCCATACGTTTTATGATTCGCCATCTGTGGTGCACTCTCGCCATTGCAATCTATCCCTTGCAGTCTGACGGATACATCCCACCCCTTGGAACAGACCGTATACTACTATATCACTCCTTCGAGTAGTATATCTAGGGGATTGTCGGATTTTCTTGATTTATCGTGCTGTCACTGTCGCTCCTTGAATATTCACTATGATTCCCGAAAGAGGAATTGCGATGATCGTCATCGTGGCGGTCCTCGTCGGACTGGGCTTCATCACCACCGTCCTTCGAGTCTTCGCACGATTGAAGCGTCGGGTGGGCTTCGGGATAGACGACTATCTCGCCTTCGGAGCTATGTTCTTGTTGATTGGAATGTTGATCGAACTGGTTTTATGTAAGTGTTGTGGGAACGTCCGGACAGAGCTGAGCCCTAACTAACCACCCAAAAGGGGTCACGGAAGGAGGCAACGGAACACACATGAACGAACTGAGCCCGGAGACATTGATGAATTATCAAAAGGTAAGAAACAGCCCCCCATATTGAGGAAGACAACCGTTGACAAGTCCCACCAGATCTTCCTCGCCAATCAATTCACCTACTTCCTCCTTTGCCCAATGATCAAGATCTCCATCATCTGCTTCTACCGCCGCATCTTCACAATGAAGCCCTTCCGGATGATCACCTTGGGCCTCAACACGCTGATCACGGTGTGGGGTGTGGCCATTTTCCTGACATGCGCGCTGCAGTGCCGCCCGCTCCGCGCCTACTGGGACAATAGCGTCGACGGATCCTGCATCGACGGCATGAAGTTCATCATCGCCAATCAAGCTTTCAACGTGCTCATGGACTTTGCCATCCTGGCGCTGCCGGTACCCATGATCTGGGGTCTGCAGCGTGCGTGGCAGGACAAGCTGGCCCTGAACGGTGTCTTCGCCCTAGGTGGCTTCGTCTGCTTCGCCAGTATTTACCGTATCGTCGTGCTCTTCTGGATGGATCCCGCCGACGCGACCTACACCGTCTACCAGGCCACCCTCTGGACCCACATAGAGCCCAGTATCGGCCTCATCTGCGCCTGTCTGCCCATCGTCCGTGGCCTGTTCCCTAAGCTGAAGCTCGCCGGTAGTCGCCGGTACACCAAGAATCCCTATTACATCAACACCGACATCAGCACCTCCCACTTTGCTACCTCTGTGGCCAGCCCGCGGTCGCCGATTGAGTACTACAAGATGGAGGAGGGTCTGTCTCGCGCTGCTAGCGATACCACCCAGGTGCCGGACAACTCATACCTGGGTCCTCTGGATATTTCCGTCCGCACGGATATCAAAGTCGACGCCGCATCTATGAGATCTCAGAACTCCCAAAGATGAACTTGCTCTCGACGATACGGAGATTCCTCACATCCAGGTCACCGATCATCTGCAATGGATAGATAGATCGTTGCACCAACCCCAAACCGCATGTTCACTGGTCCAGCCGCGAGACCACCTTGTCCTGGCGAAATCATCACCATGCATCTGCACCTCAGAAACGAGACTGACGCCAGTCCATTCGAGAGATGTCGCCAGTCCTATACTGACCTGCAACGAAGAAAGGCATACCAACGACTACCACTCCAATCCAGTCAAAGACTGCTACCTTCTTGCCTGACTGGTCTGCTATCACACAAGACTCACAGTGGAACTCATCGCGGCCCCTCTCCCCATCCACACTCGGCCAGGGTTCAAGCCCTCAGCCTCCAACGACAATACTTTCCTCTCTGGACACGTTCTTTGCTTTATCTCAACGATAATACCCAATGTGTATGCATGTTCACGTTGAGTCATTACGATCATGAGACTCTATTGCATTACATTCCCATGTCACTATCTACGTTCACTTATACATTCACTAATACTCCCCACCCACCACTGCTCTTCAGCGAATTCATTTATGACACATGCCTGGCTTTGTTCCTATACATATGAAGCGCTTTTCTTTTCTTTTCTTCTCATCTATTGGATATATACTCTGTCGGTTAGCTAGATCAATCGGTTACCGGGCTAAGAATAGAGGGTCTGCTTAGACTTTTGACCCGCAAGGGAATGAACCTATACAACCACATTTTCTTTAAATTGAAAGTATCTCTCATGTCTGGATAGTAGTGTTTGTAAATCATTATAAATCCTACCCTTGATATGGATTTGACTCCATCTCCTTCTGATACCTCATACGTACTACTCCGTACTGCCTCACGCATCTGGAATCGAATTACCTAGGCCATCAATCAATCCACCAAGGACCCCAAACCAAGCTTTCCCTACATGACTCGTAAACTTTCCTAGCAAGTATCCTAGCATTCCAGCCCCCCTCCCCCTCCTCCCCTCCCCCCACTAGCGGCAATCAACACCGGCTAGTAGGACTGGTCTCATTAGTAACGTACCTTGAAGAGGAAAGAGTATGCTTTACACCGTCGACTACATCGAGAATCAATGACGTCGAATTTATAAGCAATCGTCTACCCACGATACAAGGCACTAGCGCTTATAGCCAGCCGGGCCCTAAGAGCTTGCCTGCTTGCTTGCACAAGCGTAGTTACGTAGGGGACTAGTACTGTCCGCTTATAGTCTATTTGGATGAAGGATTTGAGCTGGGATGGGGTATTTGCGTTGGATAAACCATCGGAGAAAAATGGGATGTAAAATGATAGTCTACTACCATCTCTACTATACCCAGGGCCATTACGGATACTAAACCTATCTCTCCCATTCAGCCAGCCAGCCAGCCAGATAGCCAGATACTAAGACTTCGCCACGCCCAGGAACCAGACGGCCCATATCCGAGACAAATTAAATCAATCATTTAATTAATGTGGGGACCTCAAAGAACAATCAAAGAAAAAGAAAGAAAGGAAAAAAGAAATTAAATTACCCGAAGATCTCCCCCATTCGTGACTCAACCGAGCCTGGAAGGTGATCGACGTGGACTTATTTGCTCGACCACGCGAAGATCGGCATTATTGTGTTGATCAGGTAGATACTAGTGTCTTTTTGCGCATCATCAGCCGTGCTTTTTCGATCTGCCCCTTTAATATCATACTTGCTTCTTTGTTAGCCTGTGTCCTGCAATAAGCTAGGGGATCTGCCGGGATGCGATGGCTTGTGGAAATTATGCTTTTCAGCGGAGGAGGGAGTGGAGGTGAAGTAAAGTTAGGAAGTGATAGACTAGCTGGGAGTATATATTGTAGTAGCAAACATTGTGGAGTTTATAAACGAGTATGGCTATCATGACCTACTTCAGTAGCTAATTGAGGCCAGACCAATGTCTTCATCTCATTTTTCCTAGTTGAATTTTTCCTAGTTGGAGAATTAATATCAAGTGATGATGCTTCTCTTTCAAGTCCCGGAATCCTTGAATTAGCTGCTGAAATGAGATTGGCGTTATCTGAAACATATCAAACTCATGCCTCAGCCACCGAAATCATGCATCTCAGCACCGAAGCCCTTCAAAGACCCCGTTGGCAAGTCACAGTAACTTGGAGGTTGGCGGAGGCCTTGTTATTTCCACACCCGAACGCTTCAGCGCCTCGGCCTTCCCAATCCAACACAACGCTCAGCAGTAGCATCAGCAATGATGTTAATTTCCACCAATATCATAGACAAACACTCGTGAAACCTGACACGACTTAAACCTCAATGTTTTGCCATTGTTGATTATGTCATCAATCACTCCCAGCCACCACCATCTCTCCCAAAAGTACCAGTTACACCTCTCTATTCCAGTATGCACTCTTGACTATGGCTTCCCTCTTGAGATGGGCACGGACGGCAATTAGAAGAGCCCCATCGCCCCCTGCGTTGTTTCCGACGAGCGGCTTTGAAACAATACACGCATCTGAGGTGATCGAGGAAGAACGATTCGAAGGATTCAAGAAAGGGCGCTACTATCCGGTCAACATTGGCGAGGTCTTTAGTTCCAAGTATCAGGTTGTTGGTAAGCTGGGATTTGGTGTTACTTCCACAGTATGGCTTGCCCATGATCTTCAGTGAGCTACCTTGTCTTATCATATGGTGCCTTGCGACAAGCTGATGAGCTAGGGACCATCGATATGTCACGTTGAAAGTGTATACATGCAATGAAACGAGCCAGGAAGAATTCCAGATCTATAAATATTTGAGCCAGATGAATACGTCACATTCCGGCTATGCGCATGTAAGAGCAGCTTTAGATGCGTTTACCATCCATCGTGCTTCAGAGAACAGCCACCACTGTCTTGTTCAGAAGCCCATGTGGGAGAGTTTCGGGGATTTGCTCTTTCGTAACCCTGAACATCGGTTCACGGAAGACCTCCTCAAAGCTGGTCTTATGCAGGTCTTCCTTGCTTTGGACTACCTGCATTCCGAGTGCAAGCTTGTGCACACAGGTAGGGCAGATCTTCTTTACTTTACCCCAAGGAAAGGTCACCGATAGCTAGGATGAATATCAAGAGCGACAATAATCTCCAGGATATAGAGGACGCTTCCATTCTGAAAACTTTACCAAAGCTGAAATGAAGCATCCTTCACCGCGGAAGTTCACCGAGGGTGGGCCAGTTTATGCGTCACGGCATTTTGACTTGCCGCGGAACTTCGGCAAAGCAGTCCTGAGTGATTGTGGTTCCGCTGTGTGAGGGGATGAAAAGAGAAACCATGATGCTCAGCCCAACGTGTACAGGTCTCCTGGAGTAACGCTGAAGACGGAATGGAGTTATCCGGTGGATATCTGGAATGTCGGTGCTATGGTGTGTTCGATCTAATATAATCCTCTGCCAAAAGCACAGTCTAGGTCACTAATACGTTCGAGAAAATCAGGTATGGGATCTATTCGAGGATAGACACATGTTCTACGGCAATGACCCCGACGGGAAAGGCTATTCGACCCGTGCGCACTTTGCAGAAGTCATTGGAGTGCTGGGACCACCTCCTTTGGATATGCTAGAGCGCGGAAAACGAAGTCATGAATTTTTCGATGAAGACGGTGTGTGATCCTTCCTCATTACGATAAACAAATGGAGGCTTCCTATCAATGCTTACAGAAGATTTGACAGGGAAATGGAGAATTACTGTAGAGATACCTCGAGATTCGTCCTTAGAAAATCTGGAACAGTATCTCGAGGGACGAAACAAGGAAATGTTTATGCACTTCATGAGAGGCATGCTTCAGTGGAGACCGCAAGATAGAAAGACAGCGAAGGAGCTGCTGCGGGATCCGTGGTTGAATGCTGATTTAACCTAGCTTGTCTATGCATGTATGATTGAGGGTTTATATTAGTGGTTAGTATCATGACGAATTCGCAGTATATGATTTATGATAACATTGGTTTATTGATTACATGATCATTGGACTTGTCTTGTCTTGTTATCCTAGATGTGTGCTGGGACGGCAGATTATAGCTCCCTAGATACCTATCGCCGTAGGAATCTCATCATAAGAGAAAATCCAATTGTGATGCCTACAATATTGAACATGTTTCTCAGGATACAAGGACACCTGAGACAGCTATTCGATTGTCTATATCGCACTTGTAGGGCTGTCTTTACACCCTCATTCCACCTCTCAACGGGAACACAGACGTATGTAAGAGATGGCTGGCCCATTCCACTCCCGTATCTGCTGTGCAGTATAGTCATACCCTTAGTGTATGCAGCAATCTATCGCTCAAATTCAGTTCATTCGTGATTCGTATTTTATAAGCTAGTCTATTGAACAGGCTGTCCGCCAGGGGCAAAATCCTGTCATCATGGAAACGTAAGTACCATGTTATGATTAAACAGCTAGAGAATGTTGGATAGTTGACTTACGGGAAATGCATCCGTAATGCTGCTCGCCACTCTTTCCACATCCTCAGCTAGACCCTGTACGCCGGCATCCCACTGCCGAATGTGTCGGCCTGTCCCGCCGGTGCTCGACTCGAAGTAGATGACGCCGTCGATCTGGTCGATGCTTCCGCGCAGACGGCCCTGCTCGACCATGCGCGCGGCATATGCCTCGGCCTTTTCTCCAGCGCTGAACTCGCCGCTCGCCTGCAGGCCCAGGATGGCGCCCAGGGCGTCGGTCGTGATGTTCTCGTAGAGCTTACTGGCGGCGACAAGGTTGTGCTCGACGACAGCCTTGTCCAGCACAGTGGTGCCGTCAGCGGTCTGAGCCAGCTGGTGGGGCGCCAGTCGCTCCGAAAAGGCCGCAACCTCTTCGGGGTTTAGCAACCGGTCGAGGAACATCTTCTCGAGGATGCCGAATTCTTCGACAGAGGTGGCGCGGTCATCTTTGTACAGTGTCGCCAGGATACGGGAACGCTGCGGACCCGCGGGTCCCAGTACGGCGCAGCGGATGGCGGCTGCCAGCGCCTCTAACCGATCGGCCTCGTCGACGCCGGCGGCCAGACTGACGGTGAAGTACTCCTGGCTGGCGTCTAGGAAGCGGCGGTACGAGTCGTGGATGCGCGCCTGCGATAGCCGGAAGTGCAGCTTCAGCTCGTGGTCTTCGATTTTGCTAGGAAGGTTCTTGATTCGGTTTAGGACCGCCTCCGCGCTCAATGTGTCGTCTTCCTCCAGATAGAGCCGCACAATCCGGACCCACAGTCGCGCTTTGGCATCGTCTGACACCAGCCGCTGCGAGCTGTCGATGTGGATTCCCCGCAGCGCTTGCGCAGCGAGGATGTAGTCTTCGTTTGCCTCATATGCGTCAGCCAGCAGCTCTCGGAGCTGGGCGTCCTGTTCTTCGACCGATGTGGAGCGTGACTGGAGGAGGTTGACGGTGTGTTGGGCAACTTTAATTTGTGTCTCTCTGTCGAGTTTGCGGAGGTGGCTGATGAATGAGTCTAGGATGGGGCGGGCGGCGACGATGCTGATGTCTTCGTTGAGCACGGAGTCAATGTAAAAGATGAGATCCTCGGAGATTTGATCTTCTGGGGTATTCGACACGACGTCTGCGAGGAGGCTGTCGTAGCGGGGAAGCTTGCTTTGAGGACTGCCGGACTGGATCTCCGCCAGGGCGGAGGTCATCTTTTGCGAGGCCATGAGGATGATGACGACAAGAAAAAAATTCCTAGAGAGACGTCATGAGATGTTAAGATCGAAGTGGGGTGGGTAGGGGGAAATGAGGAGGCGCAAGGATAGATAAATAGGTGGTGAAACGATGGGATACTCGGTGGTGATGATGATGGACGACCGTGGAGACCGCTTATCGATAAGGACGCCGCGCAGCTGTGGGTGTTTGTGTTGGCACTACCATGGTTGACGTTTGATTATATGTATACAATATGTGTTGAAAGATTAAAACTACTAGTAATTGGTATTTGGAAGCTCCATAGCTGTTTTTTAAAATTGTAGACATAAATATCATTGTGATTGAACGTTAATTGTTCGACTCGTTCAGACCTTGGTAGCCCTCTACTATACTTTCGGCAGTATCTCAGCCTGCAGTGTAGGATCACGGGATACCATATAATGTCATGTGACACCAAAACCGCGCTAGTGAAACCTCGAGACGTCCAAAAGTCCAAATCCCCACCAAAATCAAGCCGATCAGTTTGCGAAGTGGTCGATTCGAAAGTGATCATTTTTTGGCCGTTTCACAAAGCATCTCCGAATGGAAATTTAATAACATCATTAGAATTTTCCAGTCTAGCTGATTACGATGAATGTAAGATTTTTACTCATTTCCTAAATGCTGTAGAGATTTGAAGGAATAAAGCCTGCCAGTCCGTTCGAGTCACGTGGTACGTGGACAGACTGCTGGCGCTATAACAAGAGAGGAGGGACCACCGCCTTGGACACCGCCTTGGCCCCGACCCGTACTCTAGAAGCCTAGCAGCGCAGGCAGCCAGGCATGGTTGCATAGCGAAACCCTCAGTCTCAACATCACGTCACTTTCTCCGCCGACCTCCTTCATCTCATCGAAATCAGCTTTATTTTACCCGCCCTCGCGCTCGTTCGGGTCGCATAACTGTTTGGTATATACTGCCGTAATATTTACTACGTGACCGGTCTCGCTGGTGTGGCACCATGCCCCCGGTCAAACCAGACCCCGATGCCGCATCGCCGTACATCAAGCCCGACCCAGACAGCAAGGATGCCATCCACACAGACATAGGAGATGATGATATGTATGAAGACGCCGGTGATTTGGACTTCTCCAACTCCGCGCAGAGTGTGTGGCTTTCGCGAATTCCCCGGTCGCTGTGGCAGAACTGGGAGAACCTTGACGACGATGAGGAGATCCAGGTTGGGACTGTGCGGATTGAAGGACCCCCCAATGACATCAAACGGGTATGTTTCTACTTTGCTTTTGGTTCGATGTCTTGCGAGATGCCCTTTTGGTCTAATTGAATCCCACTGATGGGGCCAAACTTGTAGGTCAGTTTGCGCCTCAACGAACGGGAGGACAACCATGAGATCCCCAAGGACTACATCCTCCAGCGGCAGACGATAAACAACGAGAACATCTCACATTCTACGCAGAACACGTATGTGTTCACGGAGAAGGAAATTCCCGGCGGCGATAACCGCATGGTGGTCTTTGGAGAGGCACGATCGGCCCTCTACGAATCCATGAAGCGGGACGCGAGGAAAAAGGAACGCAAGAAGAAATGGGAGCCATATGTTCGGAGGACAGTACCAAGTATGCACCCATACCGTGTGTTTGACAAATGCAAGAAGGCGTTACTCATACATGATAGAATTGACCGCGCTGGTTGGAAGCGTCGGCGAGGAGTTCAACTGCCTCCCCGTGGAGAATGAGGAGTTCCGGATGCTCTCCGAGAAAAAGGCGCTCGAGGCCCTCAAACCCAAGCGGGAGACTGTCTTCATTGACAAGGTCCCCGGGAAACTGCTCCAGGCGAGGAACCTCCTGCCCGGAGAAAAGAGCGCTTTTGTGGTATGTTTCCCTTTATCGCACTACTGTTTCACACTGGCCCGACTAATATACTCCACAGCAAGCGACAAAGGGCCCCAAGCTCAAACCCCAGGAGAACAAGTCTACGCGTATGCCGCAGAACGAGCTGCTGGACCTGATCTACCAGTGTTTCCGCGAATTCAGATACTGGCCGTTTAAGAACCTTAAGGCGCGACTCCGCCAGCCGGAAGCCTATCTGAAACAGACCCTGGAAATGATCGCGCATCTGGTTAAGTCTGGTGATTTTGCCATGACCTGGGAGCTTAAGCCCGAGGCCAAGGAAAGTAACTACGCGAACGCTATGGGCTACGGAGAAGCCAAGGAAGAGCTGCCCCCGGGTACCGACTTGAACTTCGACGAGGGCTCCGAAGAGGAAGCCACGGGCTCGGGCATGGTCACCGATAACGATGAGATGCAATTTGAGAATGTTGTCTAATACAAGGTAGGGGTCAACCTCTGTAGCATAAGCAAGACCACGGCACGGCGTTTGGGTTTCCATTCTACTTTCTGGGTGGTATAAAAGTTGCTTTGGAGTTATTCACGGGCCCAGATGCCTAATTGAACCATACAATATATGGTAGTGAATCAGACTGGTAGATATATCACTACCAATGACAAAGTGATTACAAGTGAAGAAATAGTAACCAGTAGTTAACTAGACCCAAGACATTCATAGTTGAGTGCTGTTGTCATTGTCCTGCAAAATCAGGCAAGAACGTTTATCATGTCACGTGCTGACACTCATAGCGCCACCGCTCGTGGTTCGTCATAACATCAAACACGACTCCCAACCGTATTTAGTCAATCGTCTTTTTTATTCCATCAACCCATCGCGTCATAAAGAGGGATATCGCACAAAGGAATCGAGAAGAAGAAAAAACAAACAACGGTGGTCTTTTGTATTAGCGGAGGTTGATTATTTTGTAATTAGACCAAAATGACTGAAGAGCAGGATCTCTTGGCCAAGATCAGCCAGCTTGCTGGTAAGCGCCCCGAGGTGCGCTGTCATTGCTCGTTGCTGACTCCATATAGGCCAGATCAACAGACACAAACAACATCCTCAGGCCGAAGCTTCCCATGGCGAGTCCCATCACACTTCATATGTGTCCAGACACTCTCGGGCGCGTCCAGGGTGGGCACCATATCGCGGACGACCGTACGCGCGTGGGCGGGGCGGCGCGCCTTCGCACCGCAACCGAACGCTCGTTTTAAACAACACAGCAGGCTCCGCGACTCCCGCGAGCTCAACACCTTCCACTGGTCCTGCGACAGACAATGATATTGAGGGGGCGGCGACGCCGAACGGCTGGGTCGCCAAACGCGACCGCCACATGCAGCTGATCAACTCGGCCATCTATGACAAGGAAGCTCAGGCGCGGACCAAAGCCATGGAAGAAACCCGACAGGCTAAGTCTCGAAAGAAGGCACACGCTGAGCAGACCAAAGTGCTCCGCTATGCGCAAGGCTTCGGTAGACAGCATCCTGCTAGCGCTGCGGCGCCGCAGATGTCTACTACCGCTGGGCCGTCGGCTGAGTACCAGGTTTATTTCAATGATATGCCCTTCCGGGTGTCTCGAGGCGGCAGTAAACTCATTCGAGTATCTGGTGCGGCTCTAGGTGACACTGTGTTCGTCAGGAGAACTAGCTTACCGTTGATAGATGACCCGAACAAGATAAACACCACGCCGAAGAAGGTGACACTCGCCGGTGTAACTTTCGTGCGGAGCAAAAATGGAAACCTCCATCGTCTAGGGGCGGTGACTTCGAAAAGGTGACGGTTTGTGCGACCCACGCCACGAGGTTGGAAGCTCACAGCCACTACAGGAAACAAATACCGAAGAAGAAGAACGAGCTGTGCACAAGATTTACCACCACGGGTACCGACGATTTCCCTCCATACGCCTTCCACCTCACCTTCACCTTTGTATACGTGAACAGTGCTGACTCAAAATTTGAATTTAGGCACCTGCTACAAGGGTCCGACCTGCCCCTACATCCACGATCCCAACAAAGTTGCCATTTGCAAAGACTTCCTCCAGACTGGTAAATGCAACGCAGGTATAAGTTGTGATCTCTCCCATGAACCATCGCCCCACAGATCCCCCACTTGTATGCATTTCCTCCGCGGTCGCTGCGCCAACCCGGAGTGCCGATATGCCCACATCCGCCTGACACCGGGGGCCCCCGTGTGCCGGGACTTTGCCAACCTGGGTTACTGTGAGAAGGGTGAGGCGTGTGAGCAGCGACATGACCATGAGTGTCCGGACTATTCCAATACGGGCACCTGCAATAAGAAGCGCTGCCGGCTGCCGCACATAGACCGGGCCGGGCAGATCAGGAAGAACGCCGCCATCAAGGCCGAGGGAGCCAAGGATGAGGACGAGTCCGACGCCTCCAGCGAGGAAGAAGAGTACGATGAGATCGACTCGGATGACGTTGACTCAGACGAGCTGGACGATGAGCCTGAACTCATCGAAGGGAACGGCAGTGGCGAGCTGTCGCAGCAGCAGGATTACATCCGCTTCTAATTGTATTGCCTACTAACTGCAAAAATAGCAAACGGACATGGAATACTGGCAATCGGAGAAAAAGAAAGACAGAGAAGAACAAAAGGAGAAGAAAAGAAAAGCAAAGAAAAAAGAGAATAGAGGGGATGACTTGATATTGGTGGATGCAGTCCAGTAATTTGGACGCACAGGTTGATTGTTTCGGGTTGACTTGGTAGTTGATACCCTATTCTTACAGCAAGTTCTTGGTATATGATTATCTGTTTTATTATTTAATTCATGGATGTCCTAGTAAATCAGCCCCTGGCTTTTCAGTAGTGATGCATTAATATCGTACTCGAAGACTCGGGATTCACCTAAGACGTAAATATGTGTGGTTGATGTACTTATGTAGCACCGCAACCCTCCACCCATTGATCAATTCGACAGTACTCCAGTAGGTTCAGGGATACGCTATATAAACAATACCATGTAGGGCAAATAAATCAAAGACACCTGACTCTGAAACGCGGTTTGAGTTAGGCTGATCTTCCCACGCCACCGCCATCTATATACACATCTCCGCAATCAAAACGCGACATTCAATCCATTCCTCCAAAGAACAAGCTACACGCCTCGATACAGCAAAGACGCCACCATACTCCAGCCAATCTCACACGATATAATTAATCTCAGCGTCTCGACGATGGGGTCTGTCACACGCCGTTGACTGTGCAAGTCTCGGGTGCTGTTTTCGAAGTTCAGGCGCTGCTTTTGTATCTATGGGCACATGCTACAATGCTTGGGACCGATACTTTGGGATATTGGTGATATGGAAATCATCTTCAGTGGCGAGTGTATGACTGACCTAAGTAACGTCTCAGCAGAGTACTGCACCCAGAACTCGTCAACAACTTATCGGTAAAAGAACGAATCCAATCCCGAAGCATGCCGACACCCAAACGAAGACAGATATTTATAGCCACCAATACGTGAGTCTCGAGACCGATATGTAGAGATACCACCAACCGGGGATACACAGGCTTGACCAAACTTATACTGATGACCGCATATACAACAAACACGCCAAAGATCACTCCGACCGAGAGACTCGTGCCAACCGTACCGTTTGAGCAGATCCCGAAGTGGTTTGCATAATTTAAGACAGTTGCGAGGCCCGGCTTCAACCGGAGAGGGCATGCAATGCGCTGATGTGGCTTCTTCTCCGCTTATAGCAAACGCTCTGCACGCCGCTCAAACGCCAGAACCACTGGGGGAGTTGACTATGGCTGGTTTGCATCAAACGAGCGGCTGTTGGGCCTAAATGCATTTGTCTGTTAGTCAGTGTCTTGGAAAAGGTGGACTGGCTGGTTTGAATAATTGATACGGCCACCTGGGGCGAAATGAAGCGTCGACTGCTCACTTGGGTGGCTGTATTAGGAGATTCGGTACCTACTTGGAGATCTGCTTCGAAAATAGTCGGCGAGGATTTCAAGTATCGAGATATGCATGACGATCCCTGTCTGGTAGTTTGCATTCCATGGGCTTTCTGCCCATCTGCACTGCTGTTGTTGTCGGCAGTGTGTTTCTTCAAGATAGATAGGGACAGGACACTTGCAGTCTTGGGTTCGGTTCGGCTCTGCACCTGGTGAGATTGAACAGCTGGCTGTTGGCACTTCTCTCTCAACTGTATTGGCTAGGGTGGTGCATGATGCAAGTATCGTGTATTAAGGTGGCAGCGGATGATTCGAAGGAGACAGGGAGAGCGGTTTCATCTCGAGGATGAAACTTCAGTCGTTTTGCATCAGATATTAGGCACTACGGAGTACATAGTCATCAATCAGAATCGTTTCCTCGGTAGGGTATCTATAGCTACATAGGTAGATCCAGGGTTGGATATAGAATCTCCTGCAGTAGCCACCGTCTCTTTACCTCTGCCGATTTGTGGGAAATCCCCAGAACAATGCCAGCTGTACGTCTTTACGAGTTTGGCCGGGAGCATACTGCTGTACAGGGCTGGATGATGTAGTCTTGCTTTGCATTTGCCACGAGTTGTTGACATGGGTAGGAGGTTTGTCTATATTGACTTCTTCACATTTGCGATTACGTCTACATTTACCCCGAAATTGGCTCTCTCCTTGGGTTCGTCCAGGACCTGGGAGCCAAGCATAGAGATAGAGAACCGATAGGATAGCAATACAGCTTCCAGGGCTGGAATGGTCCAACAACGACAGAGCTATGACGTTTCTTCCAGGGATAGAAAGAAATCTACAAGAAACGGTTCTCGTTTGTCTAGAGTGTGGATATCTTGGACTAGAGTCGACCTTAGTGATGTCCAGCCATATCATACCAATACTCGGGGTTTGGATGTTGAGGATATTACAACTCTACAAGAGAGATATACTAGATGGGGCAAGAACAGTGTGATCAACCCAGAATGCGAATTACAATAACAGTCTACCAATACTCCAATCCAACCAGTACACAAAACCGGAAGTGAAGCCATACCACCTCCTCCACCCCATACCTCCAACAGCAACAACCAACAAGAAAGAAAGAAAGCCTTAAAGCAGCACCCTTCAAATGACTCACAACCATAAGCTCAAATCCTCCAAACTCAAGTACTGAAACCAGGAACAACACACAGGCAAGCCAACCCCGACCGCCCACCCCCACGAACCTATCGGCGCCTCCTGCCCTAAGTTTAATTGTCTTAACGGCCCTACCTTACTAGGTACTCTCGAGTCGTGACATCCTCTGGTAGGTCTACATGCAACCATGGAGTTAGGCTAAGTGGAGGCAAAACATTACTGCCTTCTTGCTTACTACCTAGTAAGTGAAAAGGTCGAGTAGAGTAGAGTAGCTACCAGGAAAAAGGAAGCGATCCGATCACTACTGCGCTGCAATGTACTGCACTGTAACTGCACTGCACTGACCTTTTCATCTGTGCCTGACGCATCTCACCACTGGGGCTGTGTGGTTATTGGTTGGTGGACTCGCCTCCACTTGGTTTTGATTTTTGTTTATTGTTTTATTTTGAAATGATTGATTAGGTGTTGTTATTATTTTTGCCTACCCGACAGCCAGTCACGGCTGGGATGGAATTGGAAATGATGGCTTCTGGGGAAGAGACAGGTTGGTTCCGATAGGGGGAGCGTGGGAGAAGGTTATGGGGTTATTCAATTATGCTGGTTATTTATCTTAATCGAAAAAAGATACTTGGAACTATTTTGACTTAACTTACACTGTCTTTACACTGTCTATATAAGTACTTGGTAGTTACATTGGCAGGGCGATGGTATAAAGTACATCTGAGGTAACACCTCCATCACCGCTAGATTGCTGTTTCACTTCAATGTCTATGAGATACTACGGAGTCCTACGGAGTACTTTTGGATTGTACTGATTATAGTAGTATCTGGATATACTATTTATATCTACCAATACCTATCCTTCTTATGATCATTATTGACATTATCATAATTATAATCAAGGCGATTACACCTTTATGGCCACACCAATATCCATAAACTTGTATCAAAACATCTATACCTACTTGTAAGCATAAAAAACACAGACCACTTTCAAGTTTAAACCCCATCTTTACCCGCACAGAAACCAAAAGCACGTTGCGAATGATCAGCAGCAACAGGAGACCTACCTTAAACCATGCAGAAGCCAAAAAAGCCCATGTTGGGCCACAACCCTTTGCATCATGCTTATGCACACGAGTCCGAGTCTTCGCGCATCACTCTTCATTACTGCCACCTTACTAACCCTCATGAGTAAGAATTAACCCTCTGGTACTCTAAGTAATTATTAACCTACTAAGTAATTTATGTATTATCCGTGGATGTCAGTACTCGCTGACTGGCAGATTTGTTGGAGAGGAGACGCCCCACTATGTTTATGCATGCTATATTAGGCTGTACTGCTATGCTAGTACTACTACTAACTAACTACTGCTCCTGCTACTTGCTTAGTACTCAGTACTTAGCAGTTAGTAGTTCTTAGCTACTTATGGCTTTATGAACTTACTGGCTGGATTCGTGGCTGGTGGACTGACTAAGTGCGTCGTCTGGTCGGCGTTCTTGTCGTCGTCGTCGTCGTCTTGTCGCCGTTGCCGATATGGCTGGTTGTTGAGGATGGAGATGGGGATCCATCTATTCGGGAGGGGCGGTTCGGTTGGTCGTTTGATGGATGGATTCTTGGTTTGGTAGTGATGCTGAGGAATGGAGTGAAGATCGTAATTACCTTTGGTTTTGCTCTGTTAGTTATTTTATCTATTTTTTACATTTTATTCTGGTTTATTTGAAGAATGTGTATACCGCCAGAGTGAGTCACAGAGAAGAGGATATCTTTGCGGGAACCGGCTGGTTAGTACGAGTCAGTAAACAGAGAGCGGAAGTCCTCGGCACAAACCACGACTTCATAATTAACTTCATAATAAAAAATCATATTAATTATTATCCAATTCTATTTCTCGAATGGATCAGAAGAATGGAACAAAAGAATCGAAAGAGAGAAAGAAAGAGAGGGGCGGCTATGCTAGTAGCCCCAGCCTCTCCGCTCCACTCAGCAAGTCAAGAAGTTAGTAACAAGATGGATCCATTTTTCTTTCTACACCGCCAGAACGGCCCTCGTCATCAACTCTGTTGCCTCTCCCTTCCGTGTCCTATTCCTTCTTCCTCGGCGGTGCGAGAGTGCAAATCTCCGAGATTATTTCGCATGGACGAAAGACAAAGACAAAGACCATGTGCGACGGACGGACGGATGGACGGACGGCACATGACGGTCTGACTCTCTCCCTCGCTCATAGACTCTCATTTCTTGGTCTTTACGTTTATTGGGATTCCTATTAGTGGAATTGACCGGATGGATAGTGGCGAATGGGTTAGATCGGATTGGATTAATCCATTCATTCCCATCTAGTATCTTACCTACCTACCATACTGTCGGAGCCAATGCCATGCACATCAGCAAGTTTTTTTTTTTTTCTATTTCTGTGCGGTTTCTTGGGGGGATAGGATGCTGGTCTTTGCTGTCGATACTTGATTTGACCTCTGTGGTTGCGGGCCGGAGGGATTCGTAGACCTTTTCTTTTCTTTTCTTTCCCTTCCTTTTTGGGGGAAGGAGGGGAGAGATGGGATCTGAACACATACATACATGCGTTTATTCAGATAATTATGAGGGTTGACTATGTCGTATCCTGGGGCGATACGTAGACGCGCAGGTAAGGAAGGACTGTATGGGGTATGTATGTAGGGTGTAACCTGATCCATATGGCATGATGCACAGCTGTTGGGCGTGACTTGATTTGATTTGGCCTTCGTCTGGTTTTTCTTCAAATATAATGTTGGGTTAGGTGGTGGCATGCTCATTTACACACGCGATTGTCGCGAGTGCCGGCATCAATTCAAACAGCACGATACCGAATCAATCATTTAGGCTCGCAAGAGCATCATCTTTCGGACATTACTGTCGACCGCTCGGTGTGTGCATCGTGAAACGTGGCATGGGTGTATATGGCCGACAGGGCAGAGGTTGGGGTCTGCTTGACAGTACAGCATCATTGAGCACCGGAGACAGACAGACAGAATTTGAAACACGGACGAAATGTCGAGCCCCCCTGATCTGGCAGCCTGGGGAATGCTTCTGCTGCTTCGAGAAGACCGCCTGCCAGAGGGTGTGTGAGTCACACCTCCCGCAGTCTAAGGTACTATGTACCGGCTGGGTTGGGCAGTGGGTCGGGTTGACCGTCGTGTCTTTGTTTCATCTTCGAGCTTGTCTGCTTATGTGGATTTGGGTATTAGTAAGGGTATATCATTGGTGGTATGTTATATTATATTATGGGGGTGGTATTGGATAAGCAACAGTTGCTTAGTAGTACCTTGGTGACATCCTGTTTGGGCAGGCCTGTTGCTCCCGTTACAGTCAAGACGGTGGGTTCATGGAGCGGTGGAGTAGTTCATTCTGGAGTGTGGTGTCTCAGGGTACGATATGAAATCAGGTACGGAGTACACGTTGCAGAAGAAAGGTGCTGGTCAGGGGTATCGCCATGGGATTGGATGGTGGACAGTGAGGAAGGTCAACAACGGTGATGATGTCGGCCGACAAGAGTAGATGTGACTCAACTCTATGGATTCGGCGATAGGAGACTCTTTGTCCAGTGACCTCATGAGCATCACAATTTCAAAGCGACAGCGCAACACCGTATCGAGTCCATTCCTTCTAAGTGATGCTGAACGGTCAACGATCATGTCGGAGATGGTAGTAGTGCACCATGTCATACGGTGCCCCTCCCACTCCCCCCTACCCCTCCTCCCCTCCCCGATATCCGGATAAACATTTCCACCCGTTTCGGTCGATCCCCTCGACCCAAACTCGCCTTGTCTCTGCCTGAGCAGGGTCGGTCTGAAACGCAGGATCGCACCGGCATGATGACATCGTTGAGCGGAGTCCCCGCGTACTTCCAGCTGGGCCTTTACCCTTTTGAGATAGGGTCTGCCTCCCCGGTCGAGCAGCCTTCCCGGGGATGGTCTGACTGGCTGGTGGTTGAGTACGGAGGAGTGATGCAATCTATCTTGCTAGAGAAACAACTGGACGGATGGAGTCTACAAAACTGATGCAATAGTGAAGAATAAGAGTAAAGGATGAAACATGGCAAAACAAGGCTATTCAGCATGTCTCTACTCCGTACTCGATCGATCATATTGTATGGCTGGTTGAAAATCCAATCTGATCTGCCGGTGCTTTTCAGGGTGCATCTGGTGCATCTGCCCTGCTTCCGCGGTACATCCTGTCATCGCCCGAATCGGTGGACGGGGCAGCACGGGGACCGTTCTCCTTGCCTGACATTATGATCATCGAGGACGAGTTGATGAGGAAATGACGGTTTTTACCGGTTTCGGTAGTAGTCATCTTAACTAGACTCTCCTATACTGTACTAAATTATTCCAGACTTATGACCGACTTTTCTGTTCGTAGTAGTATCCTGTATAGTGGATCTCTGGATCTCTCGCCCGGGCCGGGCCTGTGTACCAGCGATGGTCGTTCTTTGGGCGTATGAAACATGGATACCCTTGATGTTTCTCCCCTATTCTTTCTCATGTTTTACTATCCATCATTTTATTCACTTCCTTTCCAAGTATCAGTCGAATGATACAGTAAGCATGGTCCATCCTGGAGCCCTTTCCCTGGTAGGTCAATAAAGCCCGAGAGAGCAATACCAGACAATACGACCCATCAATACAGCTATATTTAACCCGTCACACCAGGTATAGAAATGATTGGCCGTGGGGAGACCCCTCCCGTCGAACATTCTGTCCATCTGATCAGTTGTTCCGTGCCCCTCCAACGTCCACCGTATGGTTTTGTCAGGTAGGTGTATTTTATTCAACATCGACAATACTTCTTACGGCCCTTGGGTCGATCATGAGTGATGCAATGGCCCAGGCTGAGCGCACGGACTTTCTCTTTCGATTTACTTATTACTCTTAATTGATTATTCTATGGTTTCTATTTCATATTCTGTTTCGATCCTTTGGGCATCTGTATAGTGAGGCCAAGAGTCGGTAGGGCCGGTTGGGTCAGGTACCTAGTACTTTATGATATGATCATGATATTCTTGAGAATCGAGACGCTCAATGCCAATCACCGAGGAATCCCTGTGATCTTCTCGTAGTGGTAGTAGTGTTACTACTAGTATCATAGTATGGAGTAGTGAGTATCGGCAATACAGATCGACCGGACCCGTGCGAGAACGATGGATTTGATAGATGCGATAGGCTCTCGATAAGGCTGCCCCACTGCAGATGGCGGTAACAATGTTCAAGTATTTCATAGAAGTCCCTTGATATGAGTATAGGATTCATGTTATGATTGTGTATCTACGGATAGACTGGTAGCTGTCTAGATGACATCCAGATGGAGAGTAATCTAGATCTAGGGATCTCGAGCTGTGTAATGTTGATAACCTCACAGACCCAAGTAACCGGATATTGACTAGAGAAGAGAAACTGTAGAGACAGAGGTAAGTACAGTAGAGACTAGGTAGGTAGATTAATCATACAGCTGCAAGTCTGCCCAACGAAGCATCCAATAACAACCAGCCGTCTAGCTCGGGAAGCATCACAAATCGCCGCCTCGTCTCTTAGACTTTCCCGCTGACCGCTGGACCTGATGGGCTTTTGGCTCTCCAGGTTAGACGGTTTCTGTGCTTCTGTTGATTTCATTTCATTTATTTTATTTTATGTTATTCTTTTTTTTTTTGGATTTTCTCTGTATTTTCTTGCATTATTTTCTTAATTTTATCTCTATTTGATTTAATATTTCATATTTGATTTATTGATCATTATTTTGAATTCAAATCAAATATGATTATTGTAATGGTTAGATCTCTATTCTCGATGATCCAGCCTTGGTCTTGAACTAAAGATCACTGTGAGAATCATTCGAATCATATATCATTCTCTCTCCCTCCTGGTCACTTGCTCTCTCTTTCCCCTCTCCATCAACATCATCATCTTTCAACCACCCCATCCATCTTTGATAAACTCTCGACCCGAGAGTCTCTTGTCTCATCTGATCCCCCAGAGAGACCTTTGTACTTTGACTTCTCTTTACTCTTTCTCCACATTCATCTTTCTTCTCCTCTTCTCCTCTTTATTACTCCTCTTTGAGACATCATCTTCACTTCCCGTCTTCTTTTCCCTCCATCGTTACACTTGATTCTTCCTGCAACCATTCCCAAACCCCCCGCACCCTGGACCTTTCTACTTCTCTTTGCCTCTCCCAGACCAAAGAAAAAATTTAAAAAAAGAAAAAAAAGAGGAAAATCCATCGGACACACCGCCTCTTCCTTCCATAAATCGACCTGTTCGCTTTACCAACCACTTCCCCCATACCAGCATGGCGAGATATTCTCAGCCAGCCTTTGATTTCTATCAACAATCTCCCTCCACATTAAACGCAAAGCCCTCATATACGGAAGACGACGAGATGAGTGTATTAGACGACAAGATCCTGGACTCGACCTCCCCGGAACTGGCCTCGTCCGTCGGCGACCACCGACGGTCGTCTTACGAACAGGCCCCGGAGGCTTTTGCGCATCGAGATTCCGTCTGGTCCGACTTCTCCCAACAGACCCGTCACGAGTCCGCCCACCTCGCTCACCCTCTCTTTGAATCCGCTCCCAACCCCTTCACCCACCCTTCCTCTACATACGGCCACCAGGCATCTTGGCAGATCCCCAAGGACTCTGGTTCTTGCACCCCCGCCGCCATGTATGAGCCGTTTCCCTCCGATCTGGACAACGGCTCTTCAGCCCCCTTCTCCGGCGGCGCGGTGGGTCCCGTCAGCTCTATCAACGTCCCCTCCATGTCATATCGTGCGGGCTTGAACTACCCCGGTGCGGTCGCCATGTCCCCCCAGTCCAGTCAGGGCTGGATGCCGGCTGCCACGGACATCTCCGATTCCATCACCCGTCCCACCAAGAGCCCTACCTACCGACATGGCTCGCCGTTGACGGTCCGACGGGACGGCATCCGGAAGAAGAACGCTCGTTTTGAGATCCCGGCGGAGCGCACGCTCAGCAACATCGACCACCTGATCAGCCAGTCCACCAACGAGGATGAGATCAAGGAGTTGAAACAGCAGAAACGCTTGTTGCGGAATCGTCAAGCTGCGTAAGTTTTTCATCTTTCCATCGATTTCTTATCGATCGCATACTAACGAATACAGGCTGGATTCCCGTCAGCGGAAGAAGCTCCACACCGAGAAGCTTGAGGAAGAGAAGAAGCAGTTCACCCAGGTCATCAACGACCTCGAGGAGGAACTGCAGAACATGAGACTGCGCGAAGCGGAGCTGCTCCGCGAGAAGGGCGAGTGGATGGCCACCCGTGAGGATGTCTCGCAGTACCTCGCCAACATGCACAGGGAAAAGGACGAGATGATCCGGGTGCACACGCTGGAAACCGCGGAGCTTCGCAAAAGAAACAACATCCTCAAGGAGACGGTGGAGAAACTGGAGCGCCAGAGTCGGTCCGCCGCCCCCGCCAACGTGGCCCCCGACTTCTCCGAGTTCGAGAGCATGATGGACAGCAGCCCGTGGGAGGACTTCACCATGGTCAACAGTCTCTCCCTGGATGCGGATCCCGCGCCCCAGCAGCCGATGGCCGTGGCGACGAATGAGAAGCCCACCGACCGCCCCGCAAACAGCGACTACCCCTTCAGCTGGAACGCCTTCTACATGTGCCTCCTGTTCGGTGCCTTTGTGGCCTCCAACAACACCGCCTTCTCCTCGCGCGCGATCCCCCAGATGTCGGAGGAGTACCGTGCGGAGTCGGCCAACGTGCTCAAGGCGGTGCTGTCCGCCACCCCGCCCGAGCTCTCGTCGGCCGGCAACCCGGCCGGCGCCCCGCTGCCGACCACCATCAGCGGCGCCGAGATGGCCCAGATGACCGGGGGTGCCGCTCCCACGTCGAACCTCGACGAGCTGCACAACACGTTGACCATGGCCACCAAGGAGCAGGAGCAGGAGCAGGTCTTCTCGCTCAACCCAGACCAGTACAACTCCTTGACGACCTTCGAGGACACGGACCCCAGCTACAAGACGCAGCAGCCCTCCAACCTACAGCAGGCCCTGGCGGCCATGCGCGGCAATGCCGTCCAGAACCGTGTGCCATCCAAGGCCACCTCGGATGTGTACTCGCGTTCGTTGATGTGGGATCGCGTGCCCGACAAGGTTATCCAGGATTTCCGACGGATGGTCCAGGAGTATGGCGGCGCGACACCCGTGAAAGAGGAGAACTCCGGATTCGCCCAAGTCTGAGTAGTAACCGATAGTCCCACCCCCCTGTTGTCCAGAAAGAAAAAAAAAAGATAAACCTGCCATCCTGCCCCCGCCTGCTCCGCACTCCGCTCTCCACTTGCTCGGATTTCTGCTTCCAAATCTCGCCTCTCTTCTGTCCTTTACCATGAAATTATGCCCACGATCTACGACTGTTGGCCAGAAATTAGCCAGAAATTAGCAACATTATGCATGCATAGACAGCCTACCATTCTTGACCTGTTTACTGTTTCGACTGGAAATTCTCTTGACCGACTTAGCCTTGATGACTTACGTGACCAATTTAGCGCTTGTGTTTATTACTATTTCGCAACTTCGGATTTCTCGGCGTATATACTGGATTTCTTTGCACTTATCGTCTCCGGGAATCGGACCCGGCAAATGGATGCCACGGACCATCATACATAACACAGTGATTTTGTGTATATTCTCTCTACTTCTTCGTGTTTTTTATCATCGTTTTTTATCATCGTTCTTCATTGCTTCGGGCCAGCACGGGTTGAGTACAATGCTCGTTGCTGCGCGAGGCTCGGCACACAGTACGTGGCTTTTGGACGGGATGTTTCTAGCGATGGCGTTATCCTTTTATCTCTTTCCAGCGTGAGCGAGCTTGATCTGATTTGATTTCTATTCTATTCTGTTATTTTGATTTCATTTGATTTGTTTTGCTTGGTTGCATTGCGAGAGTGGGCTGGAAGGGCCGAGGACGGCACCTCTTATGATTGTTATGATATGACCGACATGCTTACGACGACGGGATGTCCGTTAATGTCTTATACGTTTGTGTTTTTCTTTCTGGATAGCCGGGCTGCCCCAGTCTGGTGACCCTCGGGTTTTGTCAGAGCACCTGTCTCTGATTCACGTTCTTTACCACATTTTCTTTGTTACTTCGATTGACGCTGTCATCCATCCATCTGAGAATGGGACAGATACATACTTCAGATATCCTCGCATCCTCGATATGGCGAGCGAGCGAGCGATACTGACTTTGGGCTAAGGCCCGTCCACTCTTTACAAATTATATATTTCCTTTGTTTACTTTACGAACGGGTTGTGACTGGGGTTGTGACTGGCTTTGCATTGTATATATGCCACTACATTTACTTCGTTGTAGATGATAATGATGGTCCAAGATCGGTTTCTAAAGCATTAAACTCCTTCCTTCGTTTATTTCCGTAGATGGCCTGATCAATAATATCTACGTAGTGGTCCAACAAAGAACTATTAGGTCCAACCTACAAGTCTACAGACCCTGAGCGGGGGTGGAGGTGGGGGGTGGCATGAAGAGGGGGAATGAAATCAGTAATAGAAATGGGATACAATGATATGACATGACATAACATGACATCTCACATGACAGCATCCCCTGCACATGTCTTTCTTTCCCAGCCACACATCGTACAGCATATACGTACACATCCAGCTACTGCATACAACATACCATATGCAGGGTAAGGTAGGTGAGGTAAGGTGAGGTGAGGTAAGCAGTTGTGCATCTCACCTGACCTTCTACTACGGGGTACTCCGCAGTAGGTACGTAGGTAGCATCGTTCTCGGTATCACTTACCTGCTTACCGCCTGTCTGTCTGTCTAGCTATGTGTGTATGTAGGCTGTGTTTATGGTGTTATGGGGGCTGGAGTAGGTAGATAGGTGGGTTAGTAAACAGGTGAATAGGTAGATAGATACCTACCTAGGTAGTAGGTATCATAGATAGGCGAGAAGTACCGCAGGAAATACTTACTCACTTACTACGTATTACTGCTGCGGCGCTGCGGCGGCTGATGCTGTTGCTGCTCCCACTCATCTACTATATACTCTTGACTCTAAGTACCTACCAGGTATCTAGTTACCTAGAGCTATCTAGATATACCTACCTGACTAAAATAATACTGGATACTCTAGTACTATACTCCAGTCTAGTATTGGTGTGTGCAGAGGTAGTTGAGTATCACTAGGTGCTGAACTTGACATATAAGTATGTGTGTTTGGTGGTAGTTAGAGTAGTTTTGAATGGTGGGGAAAAGGCATTATTATTATTTCAAGTGTCAATATTTTACATGGTGAGAGAGAATGGGGAATACGTTGAGAGTGTCTGTGTCTCTGTCTGACTGATGTCGTCGTTTCGTGGGGGGGAAAACGAGAGGGAATCAATGGAGAAGAAAGTGGGGGTAGTATCATCCAACGTCGTGATCAACTCATCTCGGCCAAACGTCCCCCGGTGGAGGCTGTCCTGACATTCCTCTAACGTAGTTCTCTTTCCAATAATAGCTGCAGCGGTGCTTCGTCTTCCAGCCCGTGCTAAAGGACGGTATGTTGGACAGTCGCACCATGTTGCACTGCACCGTTGAGGCACGCACAGACAGATACATGCCATCCGGTCGAATGATATGGTTTCTTTCTTCTTTCTTTCTCCCTGAACTAATCACGTCTCGTATATCCGTCCTATTCCCTGGTATACAGCATAGCATAACAGGGTAGAGCAGAGCTTGCGGAAGTTTCAGCTCCACCATCCACCGAGACAAGGCTGTGAGTGCGAGGCTCTCGACTGGCTGGCTGCTGACTGCTCCCCGCCGTGGGAGGTTTTGCAAGGCCTAGCCTACTGTTTCGGATTGTACTTTTCTTTCCAGATCCTAAGACTCCCGAGTCAGCGTGGGTTAGTTACTCTAGTTAGGTAGGTGAGTGGGCGGGTGGGTGGTGGGTGGAGAGGAGAAAAAGGAATGTGGTTGGCTGGTGCTTCGCATGGCGCTGATGCAGAAGGATCCGTGAGAGCCTATCAGTTGGGCCGCTGCCAAGCATGACTGGCTTGCTACTGTACGTAGACACAGACCCCCTCCTCTCCTCTCTGCGGGTGATGTTGAGTGCAGATCATCTGGATGATCATGCTTTTCGTATGGGGCGGTGATATTATAGGCAGTGAGGCTTGGAGAGGGAATGAGAGGCGGGGGTAATGGGTAAAGAAGGCGCTCAGACGTACCATGAATTTCCCACTGATTTGCTCCCTTTTTGCTCGGCCAATCGGTAGTATTTGGCTGCTGCGAACTAATTCGACAATTTTAAGTCAGTAAAAGGTACCATGGCGAGCCTGAGGATGATACTCGAGCCGCAAGTGAGGCGGATCTTAGGTAGGCATTGATGCCCGAGCTGCGGATCTGGTCTCGGAGACGGGCAAATCACGGCGACAACTGGGATAAGGAACTATCTGACGATCCAATGATCAAACTCACCTTATCCTTCTTCCCCCCAAATCCTTCCAGGTAGCACCAGGCGACCTCGTTCATGGCGTCCGTGTCTCCCAGATTCGCCGCCGTCTCGAAGTACTGCCGCGCTGCCATGGGGTCCTTTTGCACGCCCCAGCCGTTGCGGAAGCAGTTGCCCAGTTCGAAGATCGCGAGCACCAGCTCGCCTTTGGCAATCCCGCCTTTTTTCATGCCTGCTTGCAGGGCTTGAGACTCGACTGTCGCCGAGTTGGTTGCAGCTGCGGAGAGGTAGGTGATGGCGCGTTCTGGGTCCTCGGGACAGCCCCAGCCGTGTCTGTGATGCTTCGTTAATAAGATGTCCCTTAAGGCACTGGGTTATGTTTGGATCGACAGCCATCGAACTCAAGACAGGTGAAGGTGGGTCTTACCTCAATGCGAGTCCGTAAAGCACTTGACTCAGCGAATTGTTAGCACCGTACGGATCTGCTAGCTTCCGAAACATCTCTGTCGACTTTTCTAACTCTGTCGCATACAGTATCAGCACAAGTCCAATCCCCCGCTGTGATCGGTCTTACCGCCAGCCTCGTGAAGACGAATCGCCTCTTGGATATTGACCTATATTCTGTCAGAGCTTGTTTGTTTGGATCCTCGGCGCAATGCACAACTCACATCCCCTTCCGCATCAACACCACTATGACTGGAACTTCTCGATCGCGACGAGCCCGGCGATAACCCAAGCTGCGGATTGCCCTGCGCTAACATTGTCGCCCGCTTCTCCCATAGCGCCTCCCTGTCCTGTTCAGACCCTGCATCCGAGGAGATCTGAGGCAGATCAGACGGTATATGCACTGAGGGAGCGCGATTGAGCGAACTGGGCCGGTCCAGGCGCAGCAGCTGCGATAGTCGTCGCGGACGACTAGTCGAGGGCGTCTCCGGAGACAGGGGTTCGTGCGGCGGCGACGAGCGATGGAACGGGTTGAAAGACCGTCGAGGCGACGACGGGGGTTCCGCATGATGAGCGACGGTAGGCGACATGATGACTTCATGCGTCGTCGTATCCGATCGGATGAAGGTGATGTCGGGGACGGGGTTCACCGACGCTGTTGGGATGCCTCTCGCATACTGTCCACTGTCGGGAACTCCGAGCCTCTCCTTTTTCTGGAGGATGTCGCGCAACGGCATGACGGCTTTTTTTTTTTCGTATGTATCGATTAATAGATGGATTGTTTGCGACGGCGGTGGCTTATCACACGAGGTCAGATTATCGCGGGGTGTGGGGGCGAAGCCCTATCCAAAGTAGGTGGAAATTACTAGGCGTCCTCGTGCAGGAACTTTGGGAATCAAGGGCGATGTAATGAAGTAAATAGATAGATGCATCGAAGGGAAATCAAAAGGCGTGAAATAAGCAGGTGTTCGGATCCTGAAATAGAACCTTGACCCCATGCAGCACAAGCCACCTCCATGATTCGGTTCTATTTGTGGCAGGGCACAAGGCTGGGGGCTGTGTATATCGTTTGTCTTTGGTGCCTGTGATTAGCACGGACTACCGCGTGATATTGATTGATGTTTCGGGTTCATCCATGGATGGCGGCCTGTTCCGGCACTCTGATTGCCCGGTTCTGGATATTTCTGTTCATGCTTTGATGAAGCATGTCGCATGTAGACAACGCTCTCTAGCCTGCTTGTGGCACGGATTCTCTGGATGAATGGCTGTCATTGTACTCTGTATTCTGACTGATGATCTCTATGCTAAGGGTAGAATCCCTAAACTTATAGCCAGTCAAAGCACTAGACCAGCAGTTCGAGAAAAGTGGAACTCAAACTACTCCGTAAAGTTGACGCACTCCAGAATTTTATTCCTTCGTTTTTGGTGTGCATAGATTTGTCAACATTAATACAGTTGTTATGCATATCAAACGGTCCGCCCGAAAATCTTCGAATTTTTTGATGGGATATCGTGGATTCTTTCTTTGTTTCCTCGATTTTACCACTGTTTACTATTTTTTATATCTGTCTCCTCTGTTTTTTCTTGTGGTTACTTATCTCGTGTAAGACAAAATATGGTAAAAAGATCACAAAGACAAGACTACTATAACTGACTACCATCATTGTGGATTACCTCAGGGAAACATTCCAGGTGATGCTCTCTCTCTCTCTAACAACTAATGAACAACTAATGAGTGATAACAAAGATGTAAGCTGGTGCTACATTACAGCCATTTGTTACATTGAGTTCTCAAACAGTATAATGAATTGTCTAATTTAGCACAGAAACTGGTTTAATTTGTACATGGTGCTAATAGTGAAGCCGTCATTCCCAGTTCGTTTACTAGGCCTTGGCGGACATGATGCCTAAAATTGATCGTTAGTAGTTGATCAGAAAGAGATGGAATGCTAGACTTACGCTCCACATCGGCAACGCTCTGGGACAGGATCTGCTGGAGAACCTTGGGGCTCTCAAGCTCCTTCTGGATCTTGCCGATGATGGTGTCGGCAAGCTCCTTCTGCTGGCGCTGCTTAACCTGGCCCTCGTAGCGGACCCACGAGTCCAGAACCTGCTTGGCCTCGTGGGCCAGAGCAGTACGCTGCTCGAGCTCGTAGGCCTGAGCCTCGAGCTGGGCGGTTTCCTACATCGATTGTCAGCACCCCTCCTTGATAGTAGGACTGGCAAAGATATTGAGGATGGAAGAGAAATCAAATTACCTTGGAAACAGCAAAGAGCTGCTTGGTCAGGTCAACCACGCCGGACAGCTCCTGGACGTTGGTGATACGCTGCTTGACAGCGTCGGTGTGGTCAGCACGGGCGGAGTTCAGGATGTCCTTGTACTTCTGGACCTGACCCTGAGCCCACTCGCTGTACATGGGACCACCGTACTTCGCAGCGGCAGTGAAGACGCTGAGAAGACAGAAAGCAGCCACGGTTTCCTCGTTCATGACGTAGAGTTCGTTGCTGATGGCGGCCACGGAGATACCGGCAGCGGCGGAAAGGAGGGCGGTCTTGGAGACCAGCGAGTTTCCGGGCACAGCATCGAGGATGGACTGAGCCTTCTTCTTGGGGTCCTCGGTGGGGACGTTGGAGTTGAAGCGAGCCGCGGTCAGGTTGGCAGTGACGGGAGCGACAGTGCGCGAGGAGAGGGTCGGGCGGAGCCGGGCAGCACCTAACGGGGGGGTTAGAAAACATATTCAGGGGGTCCAGTGCATTCTAGCGAGTCGGTTGTGGCATACCAGCGGCGCTCTTAACCAAACGCGAAGCCATTGTTGCAAAGGGTAGACCAGGTCAGGATGTGAAGGGTGAACGGAACTGAGGAGTTGAGACTTGAGGTTCTCGGGATGGCGCTTTGGGCGGTGCGGCAGACACTAACCGCTTTGGGCTTGGTCCCGACATTCGGAAAAACCGCTAACCGAGGATCTTCAAAAATTCATGGTTTCAGCAACACGAAAAAGCACCGGCAAGAGAAATTCCGCCAGACACGCTTTGAATCACGATGCCGTCTCTTGTGGATGGAGCCTCGAGCTCCAAAAAGAGAAAGAGCGTCAAAAATGCCACCGCTCCCTCGTCGAAACGCCGCGCAGTCGCCGAGACCGACGGCCCTGATGCGATGGACGACCTCTTGCGCCTGGAGGAACAAATATCGGAGTCACGAAAACACTATAACAACATCGCAACGTTGATCTCCAAGCTGGGTGCCGAGGAGGACCCCAATTTGGCCGTGGCAGTGTCGCTCTGCCGTGTTTTCAGCAGGCTGATCGCCAGCGGGAACATGACGGAGGCAAGCCATTCCGCTGAAAATGAAAAGATTGTCGTCGCATGGCTGAGAGAGCGTTGTCGAGAGTACCAACGGTCGCTGGCCGGTATCATTCGCAAGGGTGATGCGTCGTCTCAGGTTCGTACCCAGACCAGCGCTCGCCTGTCGCCGATTTCACCTAACGTCTTGCAGATCACCGCGTTAACGTTAGCCATGCGCCTTCTCAACGAACGCGCGACACACTTGCACGGCGAGGATATACAGGTGTGGATATCGGGCTTTTTCAAGAACATCGTCGAAGCAGTTGTCGAGGCCAAGGACGGACAGGCACTGCGGGCGGAGTTTGTCGAGAAGTTTGTGAAGCAGTACGAGGACGTGAGATACTATACCTTCACACAGATCTCGTAAGTATCCTCAGCGAAGCCCTATTCCGGACCACTCAATGCTCACAACTCCTGTCTAGTGAGTACGCATCAAGCGAGAGAGACGAGGAAACCCTCGACTCCATCATCTCCATCATCTCAGCGATCGACACCGTCCCCGAGCCGCAGCACAAATTTCAAACCTTCTACTCCAAAGCCAGCAAAGCCAACAAGAAGGTCCTGTCATACAACGCGCACAAAAAAGCCGCTCAGGACGCCTGGCTCGCCGTCCTCCGCGGCAACTTCTCGCAATCCCAGCGCAAGTCCCTGCTGCGCATCATGGCGCACACCATCGAGCCGTGGTTCAGCCGCCCTGAGCTGCTCATGGACTTCCTGACAGACTCGTACAACTTCGGTGGCGCGACCTCCCTCCTCGCCCTCTCCGGCCTCTTCTACCTCATCCAGGAGAAGAACCTCGACTACCCCCAATTCTACCAAAAACTCTACTCCCTCCTCGACGCCGACCTGCTGCACTCCAAACACCGCTCCCGCTTCTTCCGCCTCATGAACACCTTCCTCGCTTCCACCCATCTCCCCGCCGCCCTCATCGCAAGCTTCATCAAGCGCCTCGCCCGCCTCGCCCTCAACGCGCCCCCAACTGCCATAGTCGTCATCGTTCCCTTCATCTACAACCTCTTCAAAAACCACCCCACCTGCACCTTCATGATCCACCGCGAGACCCGCGATCCAGCCCACAAAGCCACCCTCGAAGCAGAAGGCATGGACGACCCCTTCGATCCCGCAGAGCAGGACCCCCTCCTCACAGGCGCCGTCGACAGCTCCCTCTGGGAGATCCACTCCCTCCAGCACCACTACCACCCCAACGTCGCTGCCATCGCACGCATCCTCGCAGAGCAGTTCACGAAGCAGTGGTACAATATCGAGGACTTCTTAGACTATACCTACCAGGGAATGATGGTCGGCGAGCTCGGCACGGAGGAGAGGCCCTTCAAGCGTGTCCCTGTCGTCGAGTACCAAATCCCTAAGCGTATCTTCACGGATCGTTTGCTGCAGGAGGATGGGGGCCTGGATACGGCGCAGGGGAACTTCATGCGTGGGCTGTGGGATTTTGCATAATGGGTTGTGTTAAGGTTTATAAAAATGGATAGGTTTTTATCAGTTTAGTTTCGATTCGAGCGTATATTATTAGAATTCTTTTTTTTCTTTCTTTACTTCTTTTATCTTTCTCACGTCCTCCATTATCAGTGAATGGGCCTACAAGCCCATTATATTCAGACAAAAAAAATATAGTTGATTCAAAAATCTATCACCAACACCGTAATCGCTATTCAAACAAGTACACTGAAATGAAGAAAAGTCTCCAAATACGCTATGTAGTAATACAATGTCCATCGAACGAACCAAATCCCCTCCCTCCGCCTCAGATAACATGCGTCGGATCATACCCGTGCTCACTCGGCGCGTTGACCCAATCCTCCGCATATCCCACGTAGAGGTTATTGCTCGTATAAGCCTCCAAAGGCGGGTACGCCCCCGACGTCCCGGACTGCTGCCACTGTCGATACAGGTAGGGCGAGACGGCCGTCCGACCCGTGGTCTGATGGACGGCGAAGAACTCCGACCAGGTGGCTTCGTGCGCCTCGGCGACGGGATCCCCCGGGTGGTAGTCGCAGAAGACGTCCAGGGCAAAGATGCCGCGCTTCATGTCGTCGAAGAGGTCGTCGCTGACTTTGACGGGGATGGTCTCGATGCTGCTGCGCATCTTGTTGAGAATGGCTTGGGCACGACGCCGGCGCCGGCGGCGTCGCACGCCGACTTCGTCTTCCATTCGCTCGAGGATGTGTAGGATCTCTTTATCGGAGGAGGCGACTGTCGCCGCGTGTATCATGCCCTGGGTCAGCTGGTGCAGGTCTGTGGAGACTGCGCGGAAGAGGGTGTCGACTTTTGCGAGGGCGCTGCTGACGCGCGAGGCTAGCGTGCGTGCGAATTGTCGCTCGTAGAGACGCTCCCAGAAGGCGGTCCAGTAGAAGAGGCCGGTCCGTGATTTGCGCAGCCGGGTCAGCTCGAGTGTTGTGATGACGTGTGAGCAGAGGTTCAGCGTCTGGACGGCGCCTCGCCGGGTGAGCTCCAGGTCTGACTCCGAGTCTTCGTCCTCTGATGCTGCGCTGCGGATGGATCCTGGGGAGCTTGCTCGCGTGCCGCCGTCTAGGGAGCTGTAGAATCGGCGGGACTGGGTTACAACTTGTAGTCTTGTCGGTGTGGACGTGGATGCTGTTGTGGAGGTCGCTTCGCTGCCTGTTTGAGAAGACGCTTCGCTGCCTGTTTGGGAGGATGTTTCCCGGGCTTTGGGCACCATGGGGAGGTCGGTTCGCAACATTTTCAGTGGAATGAGCTCGATAGAATAGACTGATTGAGCTCTGTCTTCTGTCAATCTCGCAGGCGTGGAATGGATATTGTAGTTCAACGAATGTGTGGTCGTAATGAGCGGCTGAGTAGACTATGCCATGCATATATAGGTATAGAAAATGATAAAAATTGACCGATATCTGGATTTCCTCGTAGCGAGCGTCGAAGGCGAGAGTTCCTCTACAGAAGCAAAGGATCCTCTCAAATCACCATCTTCACGCTTGCTGAGAGGTGTCTCAGAATTATAATCTCAGTGATGCCCAGTAGGAAGGAACGCCTTAGCCGGGGGGAGGCGCGGCAGTCCAGCTATAAGAACAGTGGGATACGCTGACATGGTGCAATGAAACCGGAGATAACCCACCAGGGTCCCAACGAAGCCGGATTCAATAGCTAAATAAGGTAAATATGTGATTAGTTTGGTTGACAATGGTGGCTTCTCCGCCATCGGTCGAGTGCATGTTCGTCTCATTTCCGCTTCCGGTAATCCTGGACTCGACGGGTGCGAATCCGATTGATACCGTTGTTTGCTGCCCACAAAACCGGGGAGATTGGGGCTATTGATTTAAGATTCGAGGATCATCTTGAATGGGGTAAAGTTTTTGATTGTTGTCAATATCTTTACTTCTTTTCTTTGTGATGTGGTTACACCGCTTTGTGGGTATTGAGGTGCTAGTATATGGTGAACTGCCACCAGCCCCCCTTGTTAGGGCTAGATCTGAGGACAATGGTCAAGTTATCCACCACGCATGATGAATGAACCATAGGAAACATGGTATCTCAATAGATAATATCATGCTGGCATCGTCAATAGAAAGTATGAAGTAGAGAAGTGACCCTGCCCAAGATGGTTGTCTTCCACCTGGCTGCCATTAATTAGCCCTAATGCCGGTCCCTCAAGAGTCAGACAACCCCTTATGTTAATCAAAGGGGGGAATTCTATGTCAGCCAAAGGTACTTGTTATGCACAAGCTGACCCAGTGGGGAATAAATTGATGCGAGCATGTCTCCCTTGAATGGAGGCACAACCAAAAATGCTGTGTTGTGTCAATATTGATGCACCCCTCTTCCACCGGGCAACCACAGCATTCTCTAATATGCCATGACACCCTGACTCGCTGTGAATGTTTACAGGCGGTATTCTCAATAGCCTGATGTTGATACAAAAGGAGTTTCATAATGTGGCTATCTGGTTATTTTTTGCTGGGTTTACCATGACTAACGGTGTACGCTTGATTCTTCAGACTCGAAGGGAGAATCCGACAAGTATAGAAGACACCACCGTGATAATCCGCCCCAAAGAATACGAGAAATCTAGTCACGCCTCGGGCCTGTCCTCTTCCTCAAGCTCTCTGGGCACATTCCCCAAGTTGTCGCCGCCAACCAAACATCGCTGGAATGTAAGAAGAAGGCGCGACATACCTTGTCTCGAGGCCAAAATAAAGCCAACAACCAGGAGAATGTTGCAAGATGGGAAATAAATATGCACGCTTTCGCTGTCAGAGCCCAAGTTCTCTCACTCCGCTCTCTATACTTCCTAGATATTGATCTGCATTTGATATCCAGGATTCTAGAAGGTAGACCCTTTTCGAGTGTGGATCACCATTGAGCATCAAGCAGCGTCAACTCCTTCCCTATCGTGTTCCAAGTCTCAATCAGGAAGGGACGTTGGTCGCGAGAAAAAAACCAACTGCATATCCTTTCCTCTGTCTCCCCCCTGTACAACGTGCTCTGATCTGACCAGACTTTTGATATCTCCACTATCTGATCTCTGCATATTCATCGCGCATTGCATATAACATATCACTAAATTCCCGTTCGCATCCACCTGTCCAACCATGCATTTCACCAAGTCCCTGTTCGCCACCTGCGTGTGCTTGGCCCACCTCGGCGTCTCAAACGCGGTCCAGTTCACCCAGTGGCCGTCGACCCTTTATCCCGGAGAGCCTGCCACCGTGAACTGGGAAGGCGACCTTGCCGTGGTAAATACTGCATCCTTCTGAATATTGGCATTGGTATCGCCTTCCTGCTAACCGCAATGGTCGGATAGAACAGTACCATCGATCTCCGCAAAGGCTCTGCGGTTAACCTCGATCACGTCGATACCCTGACCACCGATGCCAAAGGGGGTACCTTCACATGGACCCCGCCAGATGATCTCGAAGATGGCGATGACTACGCCTTTCGAATCACGCAAGGTGGTGGGATCAATTATTCGGGGCTGATCTCTGTGCACCATCCCAACGGCCCTCCCTCCTCCAAGGGACCGCCTCCTCCTCCTTCGCCGGAGCCGTCGGTTGCCAAGGGTAATAACGGTCATGTCAACATGTCCAGCGCTCATACCGCCAATAGCACGGTCGGCAAGAGTGCCTTGCCCGCTGAGATGAAGACTGGCACTGCCTCTTTCCAGGCCCTTTCGCTGAATTTGATCTTTGGCGTGGCGGTTGTCATCTTCTGCTTCACCCGTTAAATCGATCGAGTGGGTATCTTGAACTTGAACGTGGTGACATTCTCTCCAGGTTGAAATGTTCTCCTGGGTGTAGAAGATGTCATACTACGCTATTAGAAGGACTGTCGTTTGTTGGAGGAGAGACATGCGGCGTTCAAGCAGGGATTGCAGTTGGACGTGCACTGAACGGTGTCTTGCAGGGGTGGTTGTCCCGTTTCCATTATGTCTCTATACCCAACGGTGTATCTCTTATATCCTGCCCCGGACCGGGAGGATCAATCCTCTGGAAGGATTCCAGGGGGGTCTGTGGCAAGTATGGATTGGTCATTGTTTGTTTTTCGTTTTTTTATTCGTGTTATTATTTCTGATCTGGTTTCCTTTCTCCCCGCTTTGGGTGCGTGGTGCCCAACAAAGAGATTCAATCGTGACAGGTAGTCCAGTTCAGTCTGCAGGATCCATGCGGATCTTTTTAATTAATTATACCCTCTGATTTTCAACCTGACCATCCTCCATCAGTCCAATAGACCCCAGTGTGACTTGTTTCAGGCGCCAGTTGAGATTTCCCAGCCGGATCCACCGTCAGGATAGGTTCTAGCGCCCGCTTCTAAGTTTGGTTCTTCTTCATCGGAAATCGCAGACTGGGGGATTGTCTCCAGTCATGAAAGAAAAGATACTTGGGGGTTTATTATAATATCGATTTCCTTCTGTCTCTCGCTTTCTCTCTTTCTCTCTCTTTCTCTCTCTTTTTTTTTGTCCCTCTTTCTCACTCGCATATTCCTGTTCATCATTGTTATTACATCAGTTTACAGGCATCATCCCCTGTTCCACTAACCTCCTTTCTCGCCTATATTACTCCTGAGACTATCACGATCGATCCTCCTCTCCCCATTGATTGATTAACCAGCTGCACATTCTGTAGGAAACCACACATCCAGTCTAATAAGTAAGTTGATGCATGATAAATCTCCTTTCCGTGCTTTTCTGTGATCCTCTCGCGTTACCACCATGTTTTGCTGCTGAATAAGCGTCATCATACGGAGTCAACAAATTGCAAGAATCAAACCAAGGACCGACGATTAGCGGACAGATTAAGGATCCATCAAGTCACTATATTCTTCTCGCGTTCATTCGTGTTTCTACTTTTCTGATATTAATTGTTGGTTCATGTTCATTCAGCACTAATTCTCAACAGGCCTGTCACAGATCTGCAATCAACTGAAGCCCTTGATCCACTCCTTGGTATGTTGTACCTTACTGCTTTCAATGCCCGCGCATCCTGCTCGCTCCTCCACGCCATGTCTTGCAATTTCCCCCCCAACTCTTTCCCTTCTATTTTGATTTCAAGTGCCTCTTTGCTGGTCTTCACAAGTTGTTTGAAACCCTGTTTCCCAAGAATTCAAGGCAGCAGCTGGCCTGGGTGTAGTCTTGGAGCTTGTTAATCCCTGAATTGGCTCCTTGCTGCAGCCTCATGGTATCTCCGCCGCTTTGCCCGCTGACTATTTTCCCCTTCCCTCGTCTTGGGCCTCTGATTTCCATTCTTCGGGCTTCTCTCTCCTCTTCCCACTCCCCCGCCATCATTCCTGCCCCTTTTCTTCACCATGCCGACTATGGCCCGATTCGGTCGGGCCAAGAAGTCCCCCAGGACGAACAACGATGCTAACTCGAATTTGCTCGTGGCACCTACGTCAGACCTTCCTCAACCCCCGCGTGTCAACCTACCCCATGTGGAAACCGAATTGAACATGCATCAGTACAACGGCCTCTTCGGGATCGAATCGCCAGAGCAACAACGGGAACCTACCGTGGTGGAGCCCTCTGCAGGTTGGTTGTCTCCGTCATCGTCGGCGTCGTTGACCACCGTGGAGCGAGCCGATTCGAACCTCAAACACTCACCCGGCATGCGCATTCCTACAGAACCTGTGACGCCCCCCTCCTCCCATCACACCAATGGCTCGCCGAACCACTCCCACGGCGACGCGCCCGGCACGGAATGGTCCTCGGCGGTCGGGCACGCGGCGACGGGCAAGTCGGGCCGGGTCATCCACAACCTCCAGGAGGATATCGCCCGTCTGACCCGCGAGTGCGGCGTCTACCGTTCGCGGGCGGAAGAGACCCAGCGGATGAACGAGGTCTTCAAAACTCAGGTCCAGAATATGACCGAGCGGCTTCGGAACTTGGAGCAAGCGAACGACACGAACCTGCAATCGATTGCGCGCAAGGATCGGAAGCTCGACGAACTGCGCGCCGAGGCCCAGGCGGAGAAGGACCGGCGACTGCGCGCCGAGGGGGAAACCAGCAAGGCCAACCGCTTGATGAACGACACCCGCGAGGAGTTCAACCGCCAAACCGCCACGTTGCAGGAGACGGCGCACCATTACCAGGCACAGTACGATGTGCTGGCGAAATCGGGCCAGCGCGAACGTGCGGATCAGCAGAAACGACTTAAGACCATCCGGGACGATTATGTGGCGCTCAAGAAGACCCACGATACGAGGGATGTCAATCTGCAGCGGTACGATGAGCTCTTGGCGGAGAAGGACGGGGAAATTGAGGCCACTCGGACGAAGTTCGACCAGCTGTTCCAGACGTACGAGTCTTATCGGAACGCCAACGACGAGGAAATGCGGATGTTGATTGAGAATGGCCGTCAGAAGGAGGCTGCCTTAGACTCTGCGCTCGCCTCGTTGAAGGAGACCGAAGGACGGATGAAGTGGGTGATGCGCGTTAAAGACGAGGTCAAGGGCGCGGAATGAAGAACGACGCTCTCTGGCCCTTTTCCCTTTTTTACTCGTCGACAATATCTACACCCAGGCCCGATGTGCCCCCATAAGGCAAAACACGCGGGTCGTGCGCGCCTGACCGTAAATACTCAGGTACGCTGTGCTCTACCATCCGGACTTTGTTGACTTGACTAACGAGCTGAAGTTTCTTTTCCGTTCTTCGGAGGACGCACGTCTGCCTACCGTGTGCCCTTTCTTCTTTCTTTTGATATTGTTATTTCTTGATTCCTTTCTTCCTATCTATACTGCATCTATTCGAGTTCGCCACTAGAGGTTGCCGGAGTTCGGGATTGCTTGATACCCAGGGTGAAGATATAGATAGACTGCCATATTCCCTGTGTCAAATTACCATTCTTAATAGTTATTGTCTGGCTTGTTTATAACACATGCCAGAATACCTACATATTTACCACATGTTGCAAGAGACAATGACTTAGCTAGCTAGCAAAGAGCGAATTCAAGTTTCTTGAGGGTCATGCGCGACTTAACCAGAAAGACCTTCGTTCCTTCCTAATTCAGACAATCACTTCCTGCCCATTGCACTTGGTCTTTTATTACTTGGAGGGGTCACTGCCCATGAGGGTCAGTGATTGAGCTGCCTTCCCTTCACCTGCTGCATTGGGCCGTCTGGTGTTTGCCGTGTCGCACTTGCTCATTCAGCATCACGTTGCCCAGTGAATCGCCTTCTTCACTTCCTCCTTTCCTTCAGCATGATCTCTCTTCTTGCCGTTTCTTCCCTCCCTATCCCTCCCTCATCGTTCTTCCTTCTATCATTCTTCCCCCATCACTCTTTCTTTTCTCTCCTTTCTCTCCTTTCTCTCCCCTCTGTTTCATACTCTGCGTCGTTCCTTTGCCATGCAAGCTTGATATCTACAATTTCTTCGGAGTTCTCCCTTCTCTGCCTTGGATGGTTGACACCCCTACTACGCTGCTTCGAGATGGATCCTATGCTCCGACTAACGGTTGGCTCGATGTGGGGCTTTGAGGAGATCGGGGTGAGTGAGGTCTTCAAATCCCACGGCGTCATCTTTTCTCTAACAAAGCGACATTATAGGTTGAGGAACTCGAAAAACGGATCAAGTGAGTCTTTGGATACGGTCGGTAGAACGAGTCTACTGATCTTGGTATCTCAGCACCGCGTACCCTGACGCCAAGTTCCACTGCGAGTATTTTAAACCCGATGAGGTGGGTGTGCGGCCGCTGTAACTACCTGACGCCTTCCACTAACATGCCACTTGTATATAGGTCCTTACGGTGAAAGTACATGATGGAGACCACACCATCAAGGTTGCGGCGGTTGTCTCTGATTTCATCAATGAGCATCAGAACAAAGATCTCTTGGACGTAAGTGCTATCCCCTTTCGACCTCACCTTGCGTGGCTTCATTCGACCATTTACTCACGCTTCTCTCTGCTCAGATGCCTCGAATCCATCAACTGGATGTCCCTCTCAGCCTTTCCGATGAGGACGGCTCCCCGATGGCCACTGCTGATAAGCACGAGACGGGGAGCCTTCTGGATTTGGACGACGGCTCCGACGAGAAGTGTGCGACTTTTGGAAACCCGGTCATCAAAAGCTGGCAATCATCTGCTGGCGGTGCGGGGTGCTTTGCAGTTGACTTTCAAGAGATCCTCGGCCAGATTGGGGATACCACCGGCACTAAGCTTCTGGTGTTGCCCGACCCCAAGGGTATCGAAGTTTCGGGCAGATGCGAGGGGGGCGTCAACGATGCATTGGAGAGACTGACACGAGTTGAGAAACCGTTGGTGAGTCGGCGTCGTCATCGAACTCTAGTAAGCGTTCATCACTGACAATATCCAACAGTTGTACTACAATAGCCCCCTGGTGGCACACGTGGGTATCTCAGAAACGGGCGATCACGTTCGCTACAGTATCCAAAATTACAGCACCCTGAACAATGTTGCTCTGCGTCGTGTCTTGACGGACTCCACCGGGGACGCAAATCTACAACTCGGTCAAATGTTTGTGACGGTGCTTTACTCTTTCGACAAGGATACACAAGAGTATAAAAAGCCTGACAGCCTCGTGCATCCCCCTAATGTGACCAATGAGGCCGGGCCATCGCGTATTTGGAATGATTTTTCTTTTGCAGAGCTAGGCGATGCGGACGAGTTCCTGGCCATGGACACCATTGAGGATAAGGAAATTGGCAGTCTGCAAGCTTTTGCCTCAGGGATCTCCCTTCCGCACCCTTATCTGACAGCGGAAAAAGCTAAGCAGGTAAATCAGTGGGTTGTCGAGCGTGCTGGGATTGAACCAACCGATTCAGACCTTGAGCCTGAGCCTGAATGCCCAGTAACCCCCGTTACAGTAATTAAAAGACCGCCTGGTATCAAAGCAAGGAAGGCTGTCGCTTCAGGTCAGCCTGTATTGATTCCTTCGCCTCCGAAACCTTCATTGGAACCTCTCGCCGAAAAAGTGCAGGACGTTCCAGATGAAGATTCCCCAACCCCTCGCCGACGATGGAAAATGGAGTACAGACCAAACATTTCGGACTCGACTGGCGATTCTGGATCAGGCAACAACGGTGATCATCCCAATGTCCCATCCGTTCCCAAGGCACCTGGGTGGCAACTGGGCCCTCCCATGCCGAACTTTGATGCTACCAAGTATGGTTTGAACAGACTATCACGCCTGTCACCTGTGAGGAAGAATGGAAGTTCCAAGGCTGCAAATCCAAAGGACAACATGCTGTTGGATGTTTTTACTGAGGCCTATGATTCCAATCCTCAGCTCCCACTTGTCTCTTTCGAACAGCCCCCACTTGTTCCTCAAAGGTTATGCTCCAATGAGCTTGTCTTCGTGGATGAAGAACCCTGCTCGTTTCTTGAAGATTTGACCGATCACAAGCGGCGGCTCCTGTATCTGAAGAAGGTTTTGCGCGATCAGACGGGAGAAGTCGGCCGTTCCAGTCAAGAAACTTTACCCATTAGCACCCGTGAGGCTCGGCGTCAGGCAACGAGACAGCTGGCAAAAGAGAAGCTGATGGAACTTGAGCGGGTCCATAGGCTAGACGAGCAACGGCAGTCAGACGAAGTGAGCTCGAGGAAGTTCCACCGAGTCATGTACCACAAGACGGCCAAACAGGTGAAACAAAAGAGACAGGGTACCTTAGAGGACGCCTGGGGGATTATCAAAACGCCTGTGAAAAAGCATCCCGAAACATCACAGAGCCATTCGCACGTCGAAAAGGAGGGGAGATCCGCCAAAGGCACACAGCTATCACAAGCCGAGGCGTGCATAGTCGACGACGTCAAAGGTCTCCATGAAGCGATAGAGCCTATCTTGCAGGTTGCGGAATGTTTTCCGGGTAGACTCACTCTGGAAGTCCAGATTGGGCTCATCCTCGTCCCTCTTCTACCCAAGTCGTACAAAGAAGGCTTGATTTCTTGCAATGAATGGACACGGATCTTCAAGCCTCGTAGCGGTCTCGTTCCTCCGACTACCAAGTTCTTTAATCGACTGACATCCTCGGGGTGTGACGTTGACCACCTTGTGGACCTGAAAACTTCGAAGCAGGATGGAAAGCGTCGCATCTTCGAGCAGGAATACACAGATTACAAGGTCACTTATGAGTTCCACTGCCGAACGAAATCCGACCAACCCCTGATTATTACAGTTGATGAACAAGGTGGATATACAATCGTCAACACAATTGCAGAGTTGGGTGCAGTGAATTTGCATTTCCCTGGCCAGACTTGGGATGCAAGAGCGGTTACAAGTGGCAGCTTCTGCTACGAAGCAGGCTCTCACCCGGAATTCGAAGAAGCCGCCAAGTATCTCGTCGATCACATATGTATCCGGTCTGAAAAGGGCCTGATTCGGATTTTCACCAAAATCCCGGAGGGAAACAACATCGTCATTGAGAAGGCATACATGAAGCGTTGGACGCGCCATCGGTACATCCGCCCAACGGATACGTGCCAACCTGCCGTGAATCCCCCTGCAGCAAACGGTCCTGCTTCATCGAACATATCCCCCAACACAGCAACAGCGGTGGCAGCGGACACGGGAGCTTCAAGCAAAACAGACGTCAAGGACCATGCGAGCGTGGCCACCAGCAGTGACAGTGGATTCCAGGATGTCTTTCTGCAAGTTACGGAAGTGCAAGATCTTTTTATCGGCGTTGGTTCCTCGTGCAAGCAGGCCCTGAGAGCTCGGTGCACGTCATTGCCAGATATGCTCAAGAACGGACGGTTGTGGTATGAAGCCTCTCTCGTAAGCCCTGCTATTGAAGAACTCCTCAGACAAAATGTCAACATCGAAGTCGGGGAGGCGACCGAGGACTGGAGAGGTGTTGATCTGTTTGGAAGAGATGCTGCGCTTTTTGAGAACAGATCTTCGGGATTCACCGGGACCCCAAGTCCAGTCTCAGTGGCCATCGGCACCGCTGGGATCGGAGACCTCTTCCGTATTGCGAAGACTGTCGTCGAAAAGACCGACGGTCTGGGTTACTGGAACGTCGGACCGGGGATTGACGTTGCACGAGTGGGGGCTTCTGGGTCTCTGAATACCCCGATAATCTCAAGCGGCAAGGTCACCAACTCGGCCGCAGAGCAGAAGGCAGTCGTCAAGATGTCCGTGTTTGGACAGGAGAGTCCCAAAGAGATAGAGAGCGACAACCCCTACAACCAAGACATGACGCTTGCGTCTTCTATACCATCCGTTCCTTTGGATTACTGGTGATTAGGTTCCATTTGTGGTGGATTTCACTACTGATTTTTTTTTTTTTTTGATGCTTCATTCGTTGCTTTGCTTCATTGCCCCCCGCCCCCGGCCCAACACCAAACATCCGGACCCCTTCTATGGCGAGCACGGTCATTCAGGACCATTTTGTTCCCAATTTGATAAGAAGTAGAGGGTGTGGTGGGTATCATGAGTTATCGGAGCTGGTGGGGGTGGCTGTATGATGAGACAGTGCGGCGGTAGGGCTCAGCTTGGAGGTGAGAGAAGTGCAGATCAGACCCATGGCATAGTCGTTTTGTAGCTCACCCCCGGGCAATCGTCATTTTCAGCTGCAGGCTCGTGGCCCGGAGGCCTACATTAGGTTCGACCATTGTTAGCTAGTATGAGGAATGAGTGTTGAAAGTTGTCTATTCCACGATCATTGAACTGTCAAAACCAAATCAAACTAGACTATATTTCACCTGAAGAGGCAACTCCGGTGATTCTATATCTCAGTCATCGTTCACTCTCATCCCCAGAAGTAAAGCATAGCATAACACAGCATAAAGCATAACAATAATAGAAGAAAAAGTAACATCTAAAAAAACAAAAAATCTACAACAGAATTTTATTCAATCATCCAACCAATCAATCAACCAATAAATCAAAATCAATCCTCCTCCTCAGGCGCATCATCCACCCCCCTCAACCAAGCCGCCCTAGCATCCACAGCAGCCTTCCGCACATCTCTCTTCGGATCATCCAACACAAATCGCAACGCCCGCAACACCTGACTCTTAACCGGCAAAAGCGGAGACAGCTTCCCAGCCCTAGCCACAGCAGGCGCATCAGCGTGAGAATGCTGTCCCGCCGCCAGCAACGCCAGACACTTGACTGCGTCGGCGCGGAGACGGGGGCTGTTGTTACTGGTACCAGCGGAGGGAGAAGATGACTTTGAGACGGTGGTTGTGTTGAGCAGACGCGTGACGAGGCTCTGCACGTGTCCGCATTCCTCGATCACGGAGACGCCGTTGTCGCGGATTATGACGGCCAGGGTCTCGAGGGTTGCTGCGCGGACGGCGAGCGAGTCTGAGTCTGCGGTGCGGAGGTCGAGACTTTGGAGGAGGAGCGGGAGGAGGGTGGGGAGTTCGGGGGTTACGAGTTTTGGGGAGATTGTGGAGAGGAGGCCGGATAGGGCTGTTAGGTGGGCGGGTTTGATGTGGTCTGGGGTTGTTTTTTGGTCGGTGTTGTTGTTGGTGATGTTGACGTCGCGGATGCGAGTGGAGATTAGGGGGACGAGAGTTGTGAAGACGCGTTGCTTTGAGAGGAGGCGGATTGTGGCGCCGTTTGTGGGGGAGAGGATGTCGTCGTCGGAGAGGAGGATGGAGAAGCTGCGGGAGGCTGTTGTGCTTGTTTGGGGGGAGGGGGAGGAGAGGAGGGAGAGGAGGGATGTTAGGAGGTCGGTTGTTTTGGGGGCGAGGCGGAGGACGAGCGCTTTGGTGAGCCAGAAGGCGGTTTTGATGGTTCCTGTTGTGTGGGGGGTTTGTTGCTCGGTGATCTGGTGGAGGAGGGTGAAGACTGCGTCGGTTGCGAGGTTGAGGTCTGTCTTCGGGAGGAACTTGTTGACTAGGAGGGCGCTGTGGCGGAGGAAGGCGAGGTGCGTTGCGGGTTCGCCGGACTCGGACGAGGTGATTGAGCGGTTGGTGATGTCTGAGAGGAGGGCCGACATGTTGGGGTGCGTGTGGGGGAGCTTGGCGGTGTCGGCTGGGAGGCCTGCGAGGAGGTAGGTCGAGAGAATCATCGTGCGCTGGTGGGAGTCGCTGGTCGAAGGGGCGAATGGGACCGGGGAGAAGTCTTCTGCGCTGGCGAAGAGCGTGTAGATGTTCTCTGCGACTTCGTCTTGCTTACTCCTGGGGAGGGACCGGACGATCAGGTTCGACAGTCTGCCGAGGATGTCTAGGACGGTGGCATCGGCTAGGATGTTGTTGGTGGCCTTGCCTGATGCGGTCGCTGCGGCGCTGCGGCATAGGCTGACGACGATGCGGTCGTAGTAGAGATCCAGGTTCGGGTCTTTGCTCATGTCTCGCTGGTTCATCACGTAGAGGATTGTTAAGAGCAGGGCCCGCGGGTACTCGGCACTGCCAGGCTGTTCCTTTTGCAGCAGAACGGTCAGCTTGCTCAAGAGCCGTCGGACCAGCGTCTCGAAAATGTCCTTCTCGATGCTGATTTGGGCAAGGCTTTCCAGCGTCGTGATGTAGTTGGGGCCGTTCCCATCGTCGGTTTCAGGGAGGGTCGCCACGAACGCCGGGAAGGTGATGTCCATAATCAGTCGAGGGGTGTGCTTCGAAATCACGGCCAGGGCGTTGATTGCTTCTTTTTTGAGGTCGTCCCGACCAATTGATTCTTCCTTCAAGAGGATTTCATCGAGATACTGCACGAATAGGCCAATCTCGTTGTCTTGGAAGTAGTTGCGCAAGGTCGAGAGGCGCAGGAGGCCCTTGAGTGCAGATGACCGGAAAGAGACCTCTTCTTTGATGACACCCATCAGAGCCTGGCCAAAGATCTCTGAGAATTGATCCTTAAATTCAAGCAAAGGATTCTCCATGGTGGGTTCGGGGTCGGAGGATTTCCACTCTCCAAACACCTTTATGGCAGAGTCGAATAGAACCACTAGGGTCTCCAGGAGAGCTCGCTGTTTAACGATGCCATCGGCTTCCTGATAGAAGGTCAGGAGCGGTGCAACCATCGTCCGCACGACCAATGTAAACGAGACAGCAGAGGCGGCAGATGTCGAGCTGAGGATTTGCTGGGCGGGCTTCGCTTGCTTCTGCTGGGGCTCGCGCAATTGATCGTTACATTCCCTTGTAATTGGCCGCAAGTACTGTGCCAGAGGCAATTGGTCGGAGATTTCCGTGACGCCTTCCGACAAGCGGGCAGCGATATCGCGCAGAACCTGCAGAGAGAGCTCGGAGAGAAATTCTTCCTGGGCGTTAAGGATCTCGAACTTCAAGGCATCCCAGATTGTGATCGAGTACGTGGACACAACATCCGCATTGTAGGAGTGGATGCAGGCAATCAACGCGTTGAGGGCATCTTTCTGTAAGAAGTTAGTGTGTCTGCGTGCGGGATGGAGAGGGCATTCCTCACCTTCACATTTGGGGAGGTGGAGTCAAGTTTATCCAGCAAAGACGGGATGGAATGGGGCGCGAATTGGCTGTTGGAAGCAATACAGTCCTGAAGGCGGTCTTTCAAGTCCTGCGCGGTGATGCCGTAGGGATCGTTCGGGGGCGGTCTGAAGGTGATTGGGAAGTAGTTATATACAGCGTCGAACAAGACCTTCGACAGTTAGCTGGCGGTCGAAAAGGGGTAGGACCAGAGAATACATACCTCGGCATGGTTAGAGATATCCCATTCCACCATTACAACCTTTAGAATCGAGAAAACGAGCATCAGGTTCCGCGGGTCCTTTTCGCCGGTCATAAGGTCCACTATTCCCACCAAAGACTCATCGCCCATCTCATGCAGAGCTATTTATTCTGGTCAAAACCCATGCCCTGATATCAAGTACAGGTGTACGTACCGTCTCGGTGGTTCAGCATCAACTCATTGAGCAGCTGATATACTTGGAAACGTTGGGACTGAGACCTCGACTGCAGTTCCTGGAAGCGCCCGAAAATCCTATCCACTTGTCAGCCACTGCCTCTTTTTTCCTCATTGCTCATGCGATCATATAGATCGAAAAAAACAACAATCTTGCACTTACGCCTGTGCAACCTCTTCCGCCAATGCCTTGTTGAACCGGTCCAGTTTTTGCAGTGTCTCCAACCCCGCAACAGCCCCTCCATCCTCGATGCGGTCACAAAAGAACGTGGTCAGGACTTGGATTTGCTGCCTCGTGAGGAACTTCGGAGGAAGCGCTTTAATGACAGCGGTGAGGTAGGATACCGCCTTGCCGCGCAATATAGGGTCTTCGTCATTGATATACTCCCCCAGGGACTGCACGACCTCGATCAGAGTCGTCTTCTTGTTCTCTACATCTTCACGAATTGTTAGAACTCAGTTGCCTGTCAGGGAACTATTCCGTCCTTACCGTGAGCAATTCGTTCCGCGATCTGCTTGGCCTCCTGCTTATCATGGTCAGCGACCAGCAGGAATGTCTGCAATGCGGACATGATTGCGAAATATGCAGGGAAAACGAGTGGGATGGACTTCTTTTCCCCTCAAGAAATGACGCCTTTTGTGGCCGATGGGCCCTTATCGATAAACCCTCGCTCGTCACGTGCCCTTCGTTCCTCCGCAAATCACGTGTGGGACGTTGGCAATCCGGCCTGTTGCGTCATCCCCCGATGACCACATCGAGCACTTCCTTGGCCTATCGCTCTCAATTATCAGACCCTCGCGGTCATTCATCAACATCATCATGTTGCGGCACATGCTGACTATCTCGGTATTTATCTTTCTTGCAATAACCTGCACTGTCAGCGCTTGGGATCTTCCTACTTTCTCCCTCCGCAAGCGTCTACCTGGCTTCCTCGTCGATTCACCACACCTGCGCCACGAACGCCCCCTCGCAGACAACAGTGAAGTCAAGCAGTGGCTCAGCAAACAACAGCCCTTGATGGGAGGTGCTCTTCCCAAGATTGTCATGCCTGGTTCAAACAACAACGAGGGCGCTAACGCCCGCGACCCGATCATCTCGGACGTCCTTCCCAAGACCCGCGGCATCAACATCTTTGCCTCGCTCACTCGCGATTTCGAGTCCATCGAATCTCACCTCAACAATACGTCCAAGAACGTCACCGTTCTTGCGCCCCGCAACTCTGCCATCCAGGGTCTGCCTCGCAAGCCCTGGGAGAACCCCGATGACTATAACCAGTATGGCGAGGCGCAGGCGTATGAGGGACAGGCGGGCCAGGATCGCGCCAGGAAGAACCTGGAGCGTTTTGTCGGAGCTCACATCGTTACTACCAGTCCTTGGAAGGAGGGCGTAGAGGCGGAGACGCTTGCGGGTGAGAAGCTGA